TGCTGCTTTCGTCGGGTGTCAGTGCTTCAGACACCTGGGGGCTGCATCCTCTGCCTTAGTGCAGCGCCTGTCTGTGCCGGGCATGCATACATTGGATCGTCTCTACATAGAGTCTAGAAGTACGGAGTAGATAGGTGCGACATCCTACCTATGCTTGGCTTGAGATGATGGGAGTCCAACGTGGGAAAAGGGTCCTGGCTGAGGCGTTAGGTACCTGGAGCTCATGACTGAATGTTGGACATTAGCAGCGTCGTCTCCAGCGTCTCCAGCGTCTCCATGTTCCCCCATGTTGCTCCATCCGCCAATCTCGAAGCAACCCTTTTTTCGTTTTTTTTCTTCTACGGAGTACTGCGTAAATCCTCTACCAGGAGTCAAGGACCCATGGCCTTACCTAATTAGACACCTCACCTTTCTCTCTCTACCTCAGCAAAAAGTACTGGCTCAATTCCTTCCTCTGCCTGACCTGACCTTACCTGACCTTACCTTAGCCCGGCAATCTCCCAGCTTCCCAATTCCTCCTTCACCCCTCTCACTCTCTCTCACTCTGTTCAGCTCCTTTGCCACTGTTCAGAGCTTCCCAACCTGTAGATATCACGACGGCATTTCCGTGTCGTTTCGTGCGTCATCTGTACTCTTTGTTTCGGGCTTCCTTCCAATTCTCTTGTTGCCATCCGTCTGTTGATTTCCCCGCGGTGAGAGTTTAAGCTTTCCCAAACAAGGAAAGTCAAGCAGCAAGGAGAAGGACAAGAAGCAAAAGAAAGAAGAAAAAAAAAAGGAGACGATCAAGCAAGACACCACCACGTCCGACGTGTCGCAAAGTAAGTCACAACAACCAAGCACCATTTGAGTTCCTCGCTGGCCTCAGTTATTGTCTTTGAGACCTCAATGCAGCTCTGCACAACCATCTTACTCCCCCCCAGGAATGCTGGAATGCTGTGGCTCCCATCACACTGTTCCTCTTCCGCCTTCTTCCCTCCTTCGTCTCTCCCAATTCCTGCAGCTACCCGAGAATCCCTTCCCCATCACTTCCCCATGAACTGCCCTGGCTAACCTGGATACGCGCAAGCAGAACTACCCGAACGACGACACCCTTTCCTCCCGGACGTCCCATCATCGTCTACAGCAATGTCCGACACCGGTAGCTTCGAGGTCGTTCAGCACGACGAGGCCCCTAAGCCCGCCGCCGCTGCCCCCGCCACCACCTCGCCGAGCACAAAGTCCACCGTCTCGACTGCCTCCTCTATGAAGAAGCCTGCTTCGAGCTCTGGAACCACCTCCGCCGCCCGCCGCCCGACTACCTCCACCTCGAGCACCGGAAAGCCCGCGAGCACCACCTCCTCAACTACCTCCCGTGTCGCCGGCGGCCTGGCCAAGCCTCCCACCCGTCCCCCTGGAAGCAGCTCTAGCACTACTAGCAGCACCGTCCGCAAGCCAGCAAGTACCTCGTCTACGGCCACCCACCGCTCGCGACCCAGCGTATCTGCCTCCGAGGACGAATCCAAGAGGACCGCTCGCCGCACCTCCACTGTTCCCAGCAGCAGTGCCGGCTCTCCGAGCAAGGAGAGGAGGACTTCCACCCTCGGTTCCGCCACGGCCGCCGCCAGGAAACCCGCCAGCTCTACTGGCAGCTCGTCCACTGCTCCGCGACTTTCCTCGACGACATCGCGCACCCCGAACTCCGTAGCCCCGCGTCCCTCCTCGATCAGCTCACGCTCCTCGGCCGCCACCGGCCCCGTCGCCGAGGCCAAGAAGCGCCTGTCCACCGCCTCCGCCTCGACCACCTCCTCCTCCGCCGCCCCTAGACGCTCGATCCGCCCCGATTCGTCCGGCGCCTCCGAGGCCCTAGGAAAGGAGGTCGAATCTCTCAAGGCCCAGCTCACCGAGAAGGAGACCCAGCTCGCGGACAAGGAGTCGCAACTGAACGAGCTCAAGACACAGGTTCAGCAGACCCAGGACAAGCTCACCCAGTACACCGACGGGGTGAACAGAGATGCCGTTCAGGTGAGGAACGCCGTGTACAACATCCAAAAGGCCCACCAGGACCAGGTTTCCGAGTTGAAGGCTAAGCAGACGGAGCTCGAGAACCAGGTGGATGAGGCCAATGAACATCTGATGGCCACCGATGCTGACTACGAGAAACAGCAGAGCGACTACACTGAGGCTGTTGCCGCCAAGGAAGCCGCCGAGGCTGAACTCGCCTCGATGAAGCAGTCCCTCGAAACCCTCCAAGCGGAGCACGAGGAGAAGCTCAAGGAGAGCGAGTCCGCCCTGGCCAAGGCCTCGGAAGAGCACGCCGCCAAGCTCGAGGAGCTGCAGAACTCCCTATCGGACCAGCACAAGTCTGCCATTGACACTCTCGAGGCCAAGCACACCGAGGCGCTCAGCCAGGGCCAATCCGCCTCGGCCGATAACGAGGAAGCGCTGGCCAAGATGAAGGACAGCCACGAGACCGCCATCGCCGAGCTCCAGAAGAAGATTGACGAGCTCACCGCCTCCCAGACCGAGCTTGAGTCGGCGCACGAGAGCAAGGTCACTGCCGAGGTCGAGTCGCACAACACCAAGCTCGCCGCCGTTGAGGGAGAGATCGCCGAGCTCAAGACCAAGCTCGAGGCTGCCGAGCAGACAGCAGAGCAAGCCAAGGTCGACCTTGACGCCAAGACGGCTGAGCTGGCCGAGGTCCAGGCCAGCGTTGCTGATCTCGAGAGCAAGCTTGCGGCTGCCGAGTCCGACGTCGCCAAGGCCAAGGAGGAGGCTCTCGAGTTCCAGAAGCAGATTGACAGCATCAAGGAGGAAATCACCGCCAAGGATGAGGCCCTGGAGAAGGCCAAGGCGGAGCACTCTGCGCAGGTCAAGAAGCACGACGCCGAGCTCAAGCAGATTTCTCAGGATTACGAGGAGGAGATTGAGTCTCTCAAAGGAGACGCCTTCTTCAAGCGCAAGTTCCAGGACCTCGAGGTCAAGCACACCGAGCTCGAGACCGAGCACGGCGACCTGAAGACGAAGCACACCGATCTGGAGTCGCTGCATAGCGACCTCACCAACAAGCACGGCGAGCTGGAGTCGAGGCACACCGAGCTTACCACCAAGCACGGCGAACTCGAGACCCAACACGGCGACCTTTCCAAGAGCCTTGCCGACGGTACCGAGACAAGCACGAAGGCTCTCGAGGCAGCCAAGGCTGATCTCGCCGCCGCTGTTACTGCCCTGGAAGCCCGGGAAGCCGAACACCAGAAGGCTCTCGACGCCATCCGCGCCAGCCACGCCGAGGAGCTAGAGGGCGCCAAGAGCGGAGCTTCTGCAGACAAGGACGCTCAGCTTGCCGAGCTCCAGAGCCTGAAGGACAGCCACGCGAAGCAGCTCGAAATCCTTAAGACCGACAGCGAGGCCAGCCTTGCCAAGGAGCTTGAGGCTCTCAAGGCCTCTCACTCTGAGGTCGTCGACGCTCTCAACGCAGAGACTGCTGGCGACAAGGAGAAGTTGCTCGCCGAGATTGCTGCCGAGCGGGAGAAGGCCCTGGCCGAGAGCTCTGGTAGCAAGGAGGAGCTTCTTGCTGCCCACAAGAAGGAGCTCGAGTCCATCACCGAAAAGTTGCGCGCCGACCACGAGGCCGAGCTTGCCGAGGCCAAGGAGAAGCTGGCGAGCTCCCACGAGACTGAGCTCGAGGAGATCAAGGCCAAGCTGCAGCAGTCGCACCAGGCTGAAATTGAAGAGGCCAAGGCGAAGCTTGCCGAGGCCCACAAGGCCGAGCTGGCTTCCGCAAAGCAGGCTGGTGACAGCGCACACACCGAGGAGCTTTCCACCCTCAAGCTTCAGCTTGATGAGGCTTTGACCCGCATCCGCGAGACCGAGACGTCAAGCGCGGCCGCTCTTGCCGAGGCCAAGAGAAACCTCGACGACTCTCACTCCGCCGAGGTTGAGAAGCTTATCTCTAGCCACGCAGAGCAGGTAGAGGCACTGAAGCAGCAGAGCTCCTCTGGAGCCCGCGCTGAGCTCGAAGAGATCAACAAGGCTCACTCCAAGGTTGTTGAAGAGCTGACGAGCCAATACGAGACCAGAAATGAGTCGCTTGCCAAGGAGATTGAGAAGATCTCGGCCGATGCCTCCAAGCTCGAATCTGCTCTCCAGGCTGCCAAGGCATCTGTTGCCCAGGCAGAGGCTGACAAGAACAAGACCCAGGCCCGCGCCGCCGAGCTCGAGGCCTCTCTCTCCGCTGCCAAAGACTCTGTCACCAAGGCCGAGGCGGAGAAGTCCAGTCTCGAGGAGGAGTTGGGCGAGCTCGGTGCCATGATCTCGACTGAGAAGATGGCGCGCGCTGAGGCTGAGGCGGCTCTCGATGCGGTCAAGAACAAAACGCCTGACACCGCTGAGGCGGACAACCTCCGTGAACAACTGAACAACACCAAGAAGGGACTTGAGCAGGAGCTCACTGTGGTGCAAAAGAGCCTCACCATTGCGAAGCAGGAGGTCGAGGACGTCAAGGAGGACCTGCTGCTCGCGCAGAAGGAGCTTGAAGCATCTCAGTTTGAGGCCGACAAGCAGCTCAAGACATACAAGGCCGACTACGAGGAGCTCAACGACACAATGACCAAGATTGTGGAGGAGGAGCAGGCCAAGCGCAGAGCGCTGGAGGAGCAGGTTGAGAGCCTGAGAAAGTCATTGGCCGACAAGGAGAAGGGCGTCGAGGAGTTCCAGGCGCAACTCAAGGTCAAGGATGCCGAGATTGCAGAGGCCAAGGTACATTTTTGTTGTCTTAGGTGCGGCTCGGGCGAATAAATCACTAACACGACGTAGGCCAACGCATCGGCTGCCAAGCCTAAGGGACTCGCGGCCAGCAGATTTGCCGTTGGCGACGACGAGGACGAGGCGGACGGCTCAGCGGCCAAGCCCGCGGAAGGTGAGGAAGAAGACCATTCCTCCGAGGCACTGGCTGTGGTGCGAACGCCCTGCTTGATGCTCCCTTTGTTTGCAGAGACGGGAACAAAATGCTAACTGTGGAATTTGCAGCTACAACGAGCTAGAGTGAACGCGAATCAGATCCACAACATGGACCGCGACATGCAGGAGAAGAACCTGGCCATGCTTGAGTCCATTACGGATTTCCAGCAATCACCGCACCTCAACAATAACAACAATAACTAAACACTGTCCAGCACGGATTTCAAAAGAAGAAAGACGAGCAATTTGAGGACACACAAAAAATGGCAAAAGAAATGTCTAGTTTGGCTAGCAGGCTCGTCAACGGCCTCACAGCCCCCGCAACTCAAGGCTCGTTGGCCGCTTCTCCTCGCACCCCCCGCCTGGCCGGGACCGAGGTTTCTTGTTTTAATATACAGCACGGGGGTTTGGAAATTGTTGGCGCGTCTAGTAGACATGTGCAAGTATTGCACTTGCTTGACTACAGGCGCGCTGGCAACGGAAAGGGAAGAGAAGTGCTTGTTTTGCGTACTGGTACCCAAATTGATTTGCAGGAGATGGATAGAGAGAAGGGAGAAAGAGCTGGCTGTTGTTGGTCGTGTTGGTGCTGTGCTGTATTGCGTGTCAAAGTAAGTAGCTTGGCATGTGGTTGATGCTGCGATTCTTGCACACGGCGATGGATGAGGAAGTGTTTGTGTGTGTGTGTGTGTGTGAATATTTGGAGGAATTTGCGTGTGACGGGACGAGGTAGCAATGGACGATACCCCCTTTTTCCTCTCGCATGCCCAATTTGCCAGTTCCCAACTTTCCGAGTCTGAGGGTCTCCATTGCGACATTGTAACTTTGAATATTGAGTTGCCGTGCCTGGTGATGTTGCCCTCGGCCGTGACACCATGGCTACAATGCCTATGGACGTATGGGAAAAAAGACTATCTTCTTCATGGTAATTAGAATCGCACCAGACCCCCGAACTGAGTCGAGAGGGACGGGTTCCTGGTCCGATTTTCCACATTCAGGTTCTAAGTCCCATAGTCCAGGCTCTGCCATACTGACTAGGTAGTAGTAATTACTTATATTCTAGACAAAGTAGACAAAGCCACAAGGTGCCGTGGTGGCAGTGTACGAAGGAAGCTACGAGTGGGTAGTGCTGCTCCGGTCTCCCGCGGGCCGGGTTCCCTGCTAGCTACCTTAGTCTAGTGGTCTACAAGTAATGTTGACGCGGCTCGTGGAAGGGGGCTTTTGGAGCTAAGATTGAACTTGGTTAGGTAGCCGTGAGTAGTCTTTGTGTGTTGAAGATTGCTGTGGTCCCCTTTTTTTTCCCCTTTGGGGTCACTCTCTCTTCTCTTTCTTGGGGCCAGACCGAGGTTGCGGTTTTTGGTGATGAGGTGTTTTGGGAAGTCGGGTTGGATGTGGTGATGCGCCACGAAGGCTTTCGTCAGCGGCCTGGCCCCGAGTGGAGGTGGGATACCGTGAATTACCTATCTTACTTACGCGGGTAAGTTGCTTTTTGGCCGCTGAGTAAAGCTGTCTTTTGTCACATTCTACTGCGACATTTCCCCATCATTCGTCAGATCTTTCGCCTTCTCTCTCTCTCTCTCTCTCTCTCTCTCCCCGCCTCCCGATCTACGGATACATACACGGCAAGCTGTTTGGTTTCACGGGATGCGGGCGGGCGGGCGGCATATACAGTAGAAACAACTGTAACACAGTCCCTAGAGATGAACAGTGGCATGACCACACACTGCCACAGGATGGCATTCTTGATGCAAAGACATGAATCGCTTCTACCCAATCACCTGCAAAGAATTGCGGCGGGACAGTGGGGGAGGGAGGGGTGGACGCGCGCGCCGGTGGAGGATTAGCTGATGATGGATGGGTGGATTTTCTGCCTCTGCTCCCCTCTCTCTTCGTTGAGAGAACGTGTGAGAGTGGGTGAGTGAGGTGACTTCGTTCCAAGACGCGATGAAACTTCAACTTTGTCCAGCTTTTTTTTCTTTCTCCTATTTAACACGGAATTGCCGTTGAGATTCCTCTGCTAGCCGTTGGAGTATCTATAATTTGACCGACTCCTCTTCTGCTTTGACCTCGTTACTTTGTGTTTATCCACATTCTCATCTACCGAAAGGCAATTGTCGTTCGATTCTTGCATTCCAAAGGATTGTTAGCGGGAAGATCTCTCTCTTTCTATTCCTCTTGGGACCTTTTCGGAAGCTTATCCGGCTTAAGCTTGCTTTCATAGCAAACAAAAACCAGAACCGCAATTCGTCCCTTTTCGCCGAACATTATTAACTCAATCTGGTCCAGCCGCATACCTACTACGCGGTGCTCGTACTCCGTACCAAACCCCCCAGCTACCCGGCTTGGAGCTCCAGTCGGCCGGCAGAGTCTAGACAGGGCCCTTTTCCTACTAGCCAAGCACAAGCGAGGCGTGCGAGCCCCTTCGAGGTTACGCAGACTGGCAGGCTTATCCAAGCTGCTCGTAACACCTCGTTTGATTTGATAACGACTAGCGTACAAACGTGAGAGAGCTGGGGGCTTGTCTTGCGAAATCCGAGAGAAGTCCTCCTGGTTTACGGGGAGTGAGATAAAACAAACAAATAGCTCTCCAAGGGACGCAGTATTTAGGGCTTTTGAGGCGCCGCGCTGGTTTCCCTTCAGCTAAAAAGGTGCCTTTACCCACGTTTACTCGCCCATATCGAGTCCAAACCAATCCATTGAGAGACGAAGGACGACTACAGAAAACGGATTCCATTGAAGCCCTACACAAGCTTACATTATCTACCTACGCCCGCCAAAGCTCAGCTTGCATATACTAGACTCGACGCCTTCCTCCTCCTTGGCCCTTTGAGTCTTTGTCAGGCAGCCCGCGCCCGGGACCCGGATTCAGCTCCAGATTTTGCCGGGAATACCAGGGCCCGATCCGTTGTCTCAATATCACAAGCTCAAGCCGTAACGATACCTACGGTCTGCCTTACTATCGAGCAACAGAGGGGAAACCCCAGCAGCAAAGGAAGAGAGAAGCTTGGACGAAGAAGAACCAAGACGGGACGGAAATTAGAGCAAGACGCCATCATTCTTTCACACCTAGCACGGAAACACCCCGATCTGAACGCGGCTCACCCCGCGATCTACGATACGACTCCTTATAACATCCCACCAACCCGCAGATCCTGCCTTGTCCCCGAAAAGTCGACTCAATGAGAATCCCTCGACTCGCAAAGATGCAGGCGGAACAGCAGCAGCAGCAGCAGCAGCAGCAACAACAATCCTCATCGGCCGCCGCGCCCCTCCCAATTCTCTACGCAGAAGACACCCCCTTCTCAGAATACTCCACCGCCGTCTGGGGCCGCGTCTTCAACGCCCGCCGCGACTTCTCCCGCCGCCCTGCCGCCGTCGTCACCGCCACGCGCAAGGCCCACGTCGTCGAGGCCGTCAAGATTGCCAACGAAAAGGGGTGGCGCGTGAGTGTTCGCTCGGGAGGGCATTCGTGGGCCGCGTGGTCTGTTCGCGATGAGGCGCTGTTGATTGATTTGGGGAGTATGGGCAAGGGGTTGGCGGGCAGTGGGAACGAGGACGGGATCGCGTATGATTCCAAGACGGGGGTTGTGAGTGTTGCGCCGGCGAGGACGGGGAGGGAGGTGAATGGGTTTTTGGCGGGACAGATTGGCGGGCCTGGGGATGATAGTGTCGAGGGGATGGGGAGGTGGTTTGCTGGTGGTCATTGTCCTGATGTTGGGCTTGGAGGGTTTCTGTTGCAGGGTGGGATGGGGTGGAATTGCAAGGTGAGTTCTCTTGTTATTGGAGGCGAACGTTTGGGATTTGTGGTATGATGCGGTAAAACTGACATAAAGACAGAACTGGGGTTGGGCTTGTGAGAACATCATCGCCATTGAGGTCGTCACGGCCGATGGGCGGGAGCTCCGGTGCTCCGAGACGGAGAACGCCGAACTCTTCTGGGCCGCGCGCGGCGCCGGACCGGGTATGTCAATCCCGATACCCCGCCGTCCTCCCCGAATCACCAAAGCAGAGAAAGGAAACCCAAGCTAACAACTCACAATAGGCTTCCCTGCCATCGTCACCCGCTTCCACCTCCGCACGCGCCCCCTGACGGGCATGTTCCAGTCTCTCTACTTTTACTCCCTCGACCGCTTCGAGGAGATTCTGAACTGGGTGATCAAGGTACGCTCTTTCTCCTCCTCTCCCTCCCTCTCTCGATGTACCCGGCATCATCTAACCAACACACCAAACAGGTCTGCCCAAAAGCCTCGCCAGAACTCGAAATCGTCCTCCTCGCCCTCACACCACCAGGCCAAACCACCCCGCAAATCATGGCAAACTTCCTCTCCTTCTCCCCGAACCCGGAAGCTCTCATCCCCCTCCACTCCTCCCACCCCTCCCGCGCGCTCGCCACCGTCTTCGCCACCCCGACCTCCCTCCCGCAGCAGTACGTCGAGCAAGACGCCGCCAACCCGCCCGCGCACCGCTACATTTCCGAAAACGCCTACGTCTCCAACGACGCCGACGTGCCCAAGGTCCTCAAGAAGGCGTTTACGGAGCTCCCTACGCCGCAGTCGTTTGCGTTGTACTTTTCAATGAACCCTTGCTCTCGGCGCGCGCAGCAGACCGCTGGCGAAACCTCCAATGGCACCAGCAACGGCGCGGCAAAGACCACCATGCCTGATATGGCTCTTAGCATGCAGTCGGACCACTACTTTGCCCTGTACACAATCTACCCGGACGCCGAGGACGACGAGCGGTGCCAGGGGTGGGTGAGCGACGTCATGGCCGGCGTCGAGAGGCACGCGGCGGGTTCGTACCTGGGTGACGCCGACTTCCGGTACCGCAGGACCAAATTCTGGGGTGATGAGCAGGGGAAGAGACTGATGGAAGTGCGCAAGGTGTGGGATCCCAAGGGGCGGATCGCGGGCTTCTTGGACGTTGAGGATGGGAGTGGTGTTGAGGGGTTGAAGAATGAATTCGAGTGGGCTTGAGTGAGCTTTGCTGTTTCTTCCTTTGCCACCCACCTCTTCTTTTTGAGAGGGAGTTATCAGCCCTTTCTGTTATTGCTTGGGCGTCTAGACGGACGCATATATACCTGTTGCCGAAAGATATCCTGTTCGCAGATTACATTATACAAAAGGAGGAGCCTATGAGATGCGAATTGGTGTAGACAGCCGTGGATGAGGGTCGCTAGTCATCACTGCTTGTTCTTGGAGGAGAACAAGACCTGTTGCCGAAATACAATCCTGTAAAAGATAACTCACGAGATGATGCAAGTACATGTGCATGTCAAGGACAACATGGTATGAACAAAATGTGGTTTTTGATATATTTACTTCTATAGTGTCGTCAATCTCGTCAACCAAGGGTCCATTCACAACCAACATTTCCCAGAGTCTATGACTCGACCTTCTCGCTGGCACTCTCCTTGGTAATGATATCCCTCCTGTAGAACTTGGCCTGGAAGTTGTTCTGCTTGACGAACCACGCGTTGACGAGCTCCCACTCTTGGCTCGGGTCCTTGAAGGAAATCTGGTAATTGTCAGCATCAACAGTTCTTTTCCTTCAATGTAGCAGGGTGTAAGTAACTTACGTCAAATCTCCTGAGCAAGCTCGGGATGACCTTGTAGATCTCCAACAGACTGATGTTCTTCCCGATACACGTCCGGCTGCCCATGCCAAACTGGAACATGTGCCCGTTCATCTCCTTGATTCTCTTCTCCTCCGCCGCAGCATCCTTGCCCTCTTCCGGCAGCCAGCGCTCGGGGCGGTAGGTATCGACATCGTCGCCCCAGATCTCCGGTCGGCGGTGAATAATCCACGCGCTGCAGCCCACAATCGTACCACCCTTGACAAAGTGGCCCGCAATCTCGGCGCCCTGATCAGGGACGATGCGCTCCAGGGGCAAACCGGCGGCCGGGTGCATACGGAAAGCCTCCTTGATACAGGCGTCGAGGTACACGAGCTTCTGGCTCTCAGTCCACGTCACGAGTCCCGTCTCGTTATCACTGAAGCCGCCCTCCCTCGCAAACGAATCCAGCTCCTCCCTCAGCCGCGCCAGCGCCGTCGGGGTGCGGAGCAGGTAGTAAAACACGGCAGCGAGGCTGATGGCGGTGGTCTCGGAGCCGGCAAAGGCCATGCTGACGGCCATGGTCTGGACGAGGACGTCGGACATGAACTCGGGGCGGGCCTCGCGCGCGGCCAGGAACTTGGATAGCAGGTCGGGCTGGTCGGCGAGCTTCTTGCCCGAGGTGACGGGGAGGAGGGGTTCCTTGCCGTCGAGCTCGGGCAGGCGCTCGGCCATGCGGTCGCGGGCGAAGCGGGCTACGGGGAAGGTGGCGTCGATGAAGCCCCATTGGGAGAGCTTTAGGTAGATTGGGTTCTTGAGGAGCAGGAGGTCGAGGAAGGGGATTTGGCCAATCTTTGTTGAGACGTGTTAGCTAGTTGTCTCGAGCTAGCTCATAGCGAGGTACAACTTACCGGTGCAACGTAGAGGAACAGCTTGCCCAGGTAGGCTACGATGCCATCAATGTCCTCGTTCTTCTCAATGAAGCCGTGACGCTTGCTGTAGGTGATTTCTCCGATGACGTCGAATGCGTAGAACTGCAACCACGTGGTGAAATCACATCCCTCGGGGTTTCCAGCAAACAACTTCTCCGTCTGAGAGAGGAAGAGCTTTGTCGTGTTGTCGACAAAGGGCTCGTACTGAACCAAGGCGGACATGGAGAACGCCGAGTTGACGCAGCGACGGAACTGAGAGTGGAAGTCATTGTTCGTCGTGCTGAAGAGGGACTCCAGTCTGAAGCCCTTGGCAATAGACTGTTGAACGATATAAAAGTCGGACTGAGACTGTTAGCTGCAGTCAAATTTGAGAAGGCAACCTAATTCTACCTTTACGAAACCCTTGTTCAGGCCGTAGATGCTCTTCAAAGCAGCCGGGTCGGCAAACGACAGTGTATTGGGGCCGAGTCGGACGACGTCACCGTATTTTGCGTGCAACTTTTGATGTGTGACTTCCGGACGGCAACCTTTCACGTCGAAGAAGCGCCACCAGTCTGTTAATGAGGCCAGGATAGGTCCTGGGTACTTGTTGAGGCCATTGTTATAGCGGTTCTTCACCAGCCAGGCTACAATAAGTGACAGGCCTATTGAGAGCCAGTGCTGTGCGAACGTTTCTAGTATGGTTTCTGTAATGCCGTGCATCTTGACGGAAGTTGTGTTGTCATGAGACGGATCTTGGCCGTTGGGTATAACAAGCGTGGTGAGAGGCGGTGGTGGTGGCGGCGCCCTTGGTATAAGAAGTCTGTCAAGCAAACCTCCAAGCGGGTGGATCCAAGTAGATGTAGCCGGGCGTCAGATGGAATTCCCGGGTCAGGTACCGAAGTGCAATTTACCCTGTTTCTATGTTGGGATGTATCGACCGGATCCTATGGGGCATACAGGAAGAGGTATGCGAGGGGGCATGCCGTGTGGTCGACGTGCAGGTCCTGCGGACTGTGCCTCGGCGGGGTGGAGCAAAGGAGGAACAGGCGTCACGTCGAGATGGCAGATGCGCTTAGCTTTTTCGTGTTGTGTGTGTCTGGGTTTTTGCGGCGGCAGGTCGGCAAGTAATTATTGGAACCTCTCGGCGATCTATGGGCACCGCCAGTAATGTAGCCAAGACGAGACGGCACCGCGGAAGTGCAAGGTAGGATGAAGCTCGGAGAGTAAGTGGAGGGGCAACACTGAGAAGAGCCTAGGAGGATAAACTAGGAACTTGAGAAGGTTTCCAACCCTTGACGAGGTATCCTCTGCCTAGTGTATGACTATGAATACCTTGGTCTCCACGGCCGAGAGAAGAGCGTTGGACATACGGCGCAGAGTCTCGTGCGACATGAGACAAGACAAGAGGGCGGGAGCAGAATAAAGTTAGAATTCCGCAAGGGTGTTTGCGCTTTCTGGGATATGGGTTGGGGGACTGGCGGATCCGAAGTGGGAAAATGTGGAAAATTTGGAGAGACCTGGGAACTTGGGAGACAAGAAGGCGGTAATGGTAGGCGCCGTGCCGAAGGGAGAGGCGGCGGCGGCGAGAGTGAGTAAGGTGTCACAGACTCACTGCTGTAGGATAAAGCCACCCGGAAGAGGCTGGAAGAACACGAAGATGAGGTAAGATGGGTGTCGTCGAGGCCGAGAGGTGCCGTTCGGGGTGACCAGGACTAAGACTTTACCAACCGTCCGGTGTCCCAGGCCACGCGAGTTTAGAAGATGAAGACGTTGACGATTACACTCATCACCAATTGTGGTGGACTAGAATCGTGTACTAACGCAGTAGCTTGGTAGACGGGTCGTCGGCTGGTCGTTTGAGGATGGAGTGAGTCGTCCGGTCCAACAAGAGAGCAGGACTCACAGTGTGACAAGTCCAATAGGGAGGCAAACATCAGCAGAGAGTGTCACCAAAGGCGCCGGCGTCTGTTTCCAGAGCCGTAGCCGTGGCCGTACACTAGAACTTAGCCGTAGGGCGTTGGCATAGCGCGGGAAGAAAGCAGCCCATCGAATCGCCCCTAGACGACCCGAGGAATCAAGACTCTACACGGTACTCCGTAGGCTTTAAGAGGTACGAGTACTTTGTACAGGTGGGAATCCCCAACGTCATGTCATGAGAGAGAGAGAAGACGAGAGCAAATGGAATGCCACACCTTACGCAGCAAGCTCGTCGACGCTAGCTCGGGTCTCAGGTACCGCAGCTTGCGGTGGCCACTCAGAGGCTCGCAGAATGACACCGGCGGGATGTTCTAGTGTGAGTGGTACAGCATGTTCAGCTCCCACTGTGCGCGCGAGGGATTCCAGCCAAGGCGTGAGAGATCCTGGGGTAGTAGCCTGTAGCCTGTAGGGGGAATGAGAGACACTAGTCCAAGCCCGCCGTCCATCGTCTACGAGAGAGGGTGTGTGTGACCGCTGCCGAAGGGACCGAGCCGGGAGATGCTGTGGGCGACGGGCGACGGCAGCTCGTTGCTGTCATTGTCATCACTCATGTTGTGCCATCATGGTCCTCCTCCATCGGGGGGTCGCACTCGCTGCGAGACAGATCGGCTGTCATCCAGAGCTGGAATGAGGGGTTCGATTGCCTGCCGAAGCAGCGTCAACGTCAACGCTTCGTGTTGGCAAGGACACGGACACCCACAGGACTGAATGAAGTCTATAAGGAAGAGTTGCCGCCAAAGCACCCCCCCCCCCCCCCCCCCCCCCAGCCCGGTCGAGGGGTGCTGGACACCTTGGTCGGGATGTTGGAGGTTGGTCATGACTGATGGAATCTTCGGCAGATGCATTTCTCATATTTCTGTGGTGAGGACAATCGTCCCAAGTGCGGGCACTCGCCTAACCGTACTGCTCACTGACAGTAATGAACCCGAAGATACGATCCTGATCGAGACATTGAGCGCTGATTCGGGATATCCGAGGGCTTGGCCGGAGTCGTATGATATCCAGACGCATTGCTGCCGCCTGAGAACGAACCCCGCGAGACTCGTGAGAGACAGGCACATCGGAGGCGGAAGAGAGTGCAAGAGAGCTATGCAGAAACGGGAAGATGGAGCCGCCTCTCCCATACCTGTCTTGGATAATGCTCCAGTCTCAACTGCGCGACCGACTGCTCAGTGCTCCGGAGCACTCCTCATGGCATCCCGTCAGCTGCAAGTTGCAGCATCGTGTCGGCGGTAAGCTGCGCAGGACTCCGTGCGGCGCGCCGACCCACCGTTGGGGTACCTTATCTGCGGGGGAGGGGCCCCGTAGGATGCTGGAAACAGGCATGACATGGCCATGGCATCTGGTGGGGGGCACGGCAGTTGTAAATGCGCTCACTTGCTCTCTCAGGCTGTCTCTCAGGCTGTTTCTCAGGCTCTCTCTTACACTGAGTCTCACTCTCACTCTCATTCCCGTCTCACCTTCATTCTCACAGTCTCACTCTTGGCTGTTGATTCAAGCACTCATACTCTCATTCTTGGGTAGATAGTTTTGAATCTTGACGGCCTCAAGCATCACAGCAGAGTCATCCTCTGCCATTGACCAGGCCTTTGTCCACGAATTCTCGGCCTACCAGACCATGATACTGATCCATTTTACCATTCTTGCCATCCATAAACATACCGAGTGCCCTTTGTCAACGTGTCTCACTTTTTTGCTCCTCGCCGACACCGCCGAGACAAGCGAAACAACTGACATGTTTGCCTTCGTTTCTGATTATCAATTCATAATCTCATAGCAATCAGAGACATCCAAGCTCGACTTCGATCCGACTTTCATTTGCCGACTCTCTGGCCCGAAGTCCATCCCAACTCCCGTAGTCCAAGACATCACAGGGCTCCACGGGTCCCCAACTTTTGGGGTTGATCCATGTAGACCCCTTCCCTAGCTACAGTAGGCCCTAGGCCCTGACGCAGTGTCGCTTGGAATGAGGCGTGATTGGTGCCGGGGGCGACGGTCAAACGCTTTCGGCCCCGAAGGAGGGGGAAACAGGCGCCGCGGCCCCCCCCCTTCATGCCATGATACCTTGTTTTCACCGTGGACACGGAGCTTCACAAGCTCGAGATTGTGGAAACGAGATACTCGTACCCCGTAGCGAGCGGCACAGTTGCGATCCCATGCGAATGAGGGCTATGCGACGAGCTCTCGAGCTTCGGTCTCGGCGCCCATTCATCCTCCGCCCTCCGACTAACCCGCTCCTCTCGGCCCTCTCGTAGGCTCTCTCTCGTCGGAGTTTCCTGTTCTCATTCACGGTTCTGGAACCTCCCCCTCCATGCGCCGCATAGCCGCTCCCGCCCCGGACATCTACCTGCCTCTCTGACAACTCAAGGGTTCCCCGCACATGCATCACCCGGTGACGCCTTACCGCCGCAAGGGTTAGGTAGCCGAGGGGAGGTGTAAAAAGAGTAATATCTGAGATGTGGTTGGGTTACAGCACATGAGCTTGCCGTTTACGTTGCCTCCTCCCAACGCGCGTTCTTGACTCTCCGTGCTGATTTGAGGAATTCCAGTTCGTGACGACTTTGCTCGTGATTACCTACAATATCTAAACCGCACGAAAGAATGGAGAACCAATCCACAGCGACTTGGCTCAGGGTTCCCTTTTACACTGTACGTACAGACACCGTAGCAAAGAATGGAAAAGCAAACCACAATCGGACAGTTTACCGCCCCGGCTTTAGACTGGAAACTTGAAGCAGAAGCTTCGAACAGGAACTACAAGCCACAGTAAGATATTTCGAACGCTAATGACTCAACCAAGTTCCAAAACAAGAAGCCTCGAGATTCAGTTTCCTCGGCAAATGATCCGGCCAGCTCTGTTGATCGCCCCCAAAAACACACTCCAAAGCCAAGGCCTAAAAGCCGCCGTCTGGTCCTAACTCCCTGGCCACCCTTCCATCTCACGTGTCGAAGGCCGAAAGAACCGTACGCTTGTGCGCTGGCGCGACGCCCTAAATGCTACCCCAGTGGTATGCAACCGTTCGCGAAAGGGAAAGTCGCCGGTCCGGCGGTTCACACAGTTAAAACGTATTTTGTATTCCGTAATTAGTGTAAGTGTCTGATGGAATTCAAATCCCCTGGGCTTAGGCCCATGCCTGAAAGGTTTCTGGTATGTCGGCAAACTCAACCGTTCTCTCTTGTCTTATCTCCAGCTCGTGAATCTCACTCGCTCCCAGAAACTCAAGCAAGTGGTCGCTCTCGCGATCTTCCCTTCACTATACGAGATTGAGAGAGCGAGAGGGTTGTTTACAGACTACTGCGTACAGTTGACAATTCCCTCCACAGAGTGAGACATCCCCGAATCTTCCAGGGACCAGCCCTCATCCCCCATCTCCCACTCTTCCAAATCCTCCTCCCAAAAACCATCTGCCGAAGGCCCCACGGCCAGCGCACCCCAGTCGTACCCCCCATCCCCCCAAACCAACGGGCCCCAGTGTCACGGCGTCGCCTACGTGGCTTATCAGCCCCCCCCCCGAAGCCAAAATCTTCGGCAGATGTTTTTGCGCGTGTTCTGGCGGCCGCCGCAACCAGAGGAGGTGGAGGTTCCAGAAGTTCCAGAGCTCGGGGTGCCTTTTCCCTTTCCCTCACTCTCTAGTGTAGGTCGGTAGGTACGGTATCTCTTCTTGTCCTTACGGCCATTGTTTCCCACGCCCCCTTGCGCCGACCGTCCGTTTCCTTTGTCCGCCCCCAGCCCAGTGACACGAACAGGTGGGATCGGATCGGAGGTGCCCACGTGGGAAGAAGAGGAATCGACACCACACAGACTACACTGTGGCCGCTCACCTATGCCGTTTCCGGATACTGCTATAGCCCACTTACTTCTGTACTAAGGAGACCACCTCACGGCGTCATTTTGACTTCGTATCGTGATATCGTCTCTCCATGGTCGAATCCTGAACACCGTCTACGTATCAAAGTGTTGCTGTTGTGTCCGGTAGTTGAGGCACGATTCATGCTGTTCGCTTACTGCAACTGCATAGAGCAAATGGTTTGGTAATAATTGAAATCTTCCGAAACACCGACTCCGAGTCATCACCGCCGATTAAGCGTACGGTAGTAGGCGAAACCCTGCGCGCAGACATGAGTGAATATGATGAATGCAGGCTTTCTTGTATGCCCGAAATAATGATATTGAGACGCTCGATATGAACGCGTGGGTATCCTCAAAAACAATAAACTCGCAGCTAGTGTATCCCCAACAGGCGGCCCTTTCCAGCTCAAACAGCTGCAAATGCCGGAACCTCCTTGCCTCTCTGTGCTGCGTGTGCTCTGGCGCTTTGCTTGAGCAAACTGATCATGGCTATGACATCGTCTTCGCTGCGTTCAAGCATCATTGCAAGCGCTTGAGAGTCGGTGTCTGGCCTTGCGGACAACGTCTGCAGAAGCCACTTGGCATCTGCTTCAGGCCAGGCACAGGGCTCAGCATCCACCGATCCTCGCGTTGCCTCTAGATGGCGATTCACTGGCACGCGCTGCTGTCTCTCGTGCCTGCCTCTTTGACTCTGTTGCGGGGAGCTTATCCCTCTCCGTGCTTTCTCGGCTGCAATCCGCTCCTCCAGTCGCCTATCACAAAATTCCCGTTGTCGTCGTCTAGTCTCTTCGTACTCGTGTCGTTCTCGCTGTTCCTTCTGTTTCTTTTCAAGAGACCGCTGCTCGTAGAGTCGTTGCCGCTGAATCGTGTGATTGACCTTGTTCCAAGTCATATCCAGCTCTAGTTTGAAGCCTTTCAAATACACGGCGAGCTTTTCTCGGCTGAGCTTCTTGGATAGCAGTTGTTCCTTCTGTCTCCTCCTCGCAAGGTTTGAGAGCATGCCATAGTACAGCTTCTGAATCCAAGCAACCAGTCTGTGCATGATTTGCAGCATCGGCTTCGTGAATGTTCCGGCATATTGGGATCCATCGTGGTCAGTACCCTTTCGGAATACATTCCCAAGGGTAACCACAAGTAAAGGGATGATACTTTCGTACAGCTCCTTGACGAAACGTGGGGCCGGCATATCAGATTCGTCGCCGGGGCTGGGCTTCTTCGCTTTCGTGGCTATTTTATGAACAAGCTTGTCGACTTCCTTGAAAGTGAGCCTGGCATCGACCGCATCTACATTGATCGAATGCAAATAGTCGCATTGTCTGCTAAACAGGGGCGCGCGAGGGGCTCCTTCCCAGAAGATGTTGAGTGATTGAATGCGGTCCCATAGAGGCTGGGTCTTCTGCGAGAGCTGCGCCGGCCCAGTTGTAAGGTCAACTGCTCTTCCATCCTTGGAACGAGTCCAACCCACTCCGTTCATCAACTCCTTGATGCTCTTCAGGGATGGTGATTTGACCGGCGCCGCGGTCAATCGGTCTTGATCTTCAGGCTTGTGAAAGATAAAATGATCGTCCGGGTACTCGTAGTCAACCTCAGGGAAGAGGTCAGGAGTTGGCGGGTCCAGATCACCGACAAAACGACGAATCTGCGCAGTTGCCTCTACTGGTTGTGGCTCCATTTGGGAGTCTGTGTCGCCCGGATAGGCAGCATCTTCCCTTGCTTGTGCAGACGGCGGCAACTCAGCCATAGTCGGATCGTTGTAAAGTTGCTCATCATCATCACCCTCCTCGTCGCCCTTCTCTGTGCCCTCCTCATCTGTGCCCTCCTCATCTGTGCCCTCCTCATCTGTGCCCTCCTCATATGTGCCCTCCTCATATGTGCCCTCCTCATATGTGCCCTCCTCATATGTGCCCTCCTCATATGTGCCCTCCTCATATGTGCCCTCCTCATATGTGCCCTCCTCATATGTGCCCTGCTCATCTGCACTCTGAATCTCGCGCTCAACAAACAACCCATTGCCGGTGTCAGGGTTCTCTGAATCTGATCGCGAATCGGACGATTCAGCCTCTTGGTATGATGACATTGTAAGGTCAACTGCGACGGCAGACCCTCTAGGTGGACTACTCGCAAACTCATAATTGTCCGTCCTGACCTTTGCAGTGGCGGCTGGTTCGTCCTCGTTATCCGGGTCTGGCGTTGGTTGTGAAGCTTCGGGATTCGGCAAGCCTTTACTTTGTTTCTTCGCCTTCATTCTCGAAGATCGACTTGACTCTTGAGTCGTCTGCCCCTTCCCGACACGGCTCGCATTCGTGCGATGGGTATTTGTTGCTTCCTTACGCAACGTATCTACCCGGAGATCCTCACGTATCTTTCTCGGCCGGCCTCGTTTTCTGGCAGTCTGCAGCAGAAACTGTTAGCATCTTGAATTAGTCGGTCATGGCTCGAGCTTACTGGTGGTTCGGCAGGCGCCTCCGTTGCCAGAAGTAGAGCTGCGTTTTCGCGATGGTCGTCTATTGCTTCTTCTCCGTCTTCTCCTTCTTCGTTTTGGCCGTCTTCCGTGCCCTGGTCGTCGTCGTCGTCGCCTTGGTCGTCTTCTATGACGCTGCCTTGGTCTGTGTCCACCTGATCTTCTTCTTCTTCTTCTTCTTCTTCTCCTCCCTCCACAGCCTTCTGACTTCTTCGTCTCCTCTTTACTCGTATGGCCTCGAAATGTCTAATGTCTTCCACATCAACATGACCGAGACGCTTGCTGCGCCGGGTTCCCGCCGGAAGCTCATCGATTCTGCTGGTCGGTAAAGCCTTGTCGTCGTCCCCCGCAGCTTGACTTTTTGTCGGCCGACCAAGTCGTTTCCTGGTGGCTACCGGCATCGCCGCCTTTCAACCCGGGTTCCGGTGATATCCAGGGGGAAAGCTGAAGTAAAGAATGTGCTCTCGAGCAAAGCGACGTGGCTGCAATTGAGGTCCAGTGCTCTTGGCGTCTCATTGTCGACGATCCGTCGTTCGTCCAATGACGCGGATGAAGCAGCTACCATGGAGCATCGCGACTGGAACGCGCTTCATTAGGTATGCCTTCCGACCAGAGCGCGTGCCTGGGCAGGGATTATCATGCAAGTGCCCGCAGGCGGGGCCGACCAAGGCCCGTCCTTCTGGCTGAGTCAGCAAGAAGGGTCTTTTAGATGCTGAATACAACGTAGAGGCATCGATGTTTCTTACCTCAGCATATTCAACACCATCCTTACTGTTTGTGCTCACGGTAACACGTACAAGCAACCCGATGGCCATTGCATCCGAGTGCGGTTTCGGAGGCTCTTCTCTACCTAGGACAACTGCGTCCGCCAACCGGATTTCACATGTTCACTCCTCTCCGTGCTTACTTGACTCGCTCTCCTCCCCGACGATAACTCATCGCTCCTTTGGCCGAGACCTTCTCCAAAATGTTGATCGAGGTTGCTTCATTCCGTTCTCCAACGCATTAGAACATTCTGATTCGGCGGCTTTTCAATTGGTCAAGTCTTCAAGTGCCTAATGACGAATACGACTACCTGGAGTGATTCCTCCGTCTGAGCGTCATCAACACGGTAATCGAGGAAGAGACCAAGGCTTGCATGTGCAGCCCTTATCATCATGAACAACTTTCTCGCTAATCCCTATTTATGAAGTTGGAATACAATCAATGCAAAAAGGCATCAGGTCTAGCTTAAACGTAGTGGTCCGACATGGGAGGGCCTCTCGATCTTTAGCTTTCATGATAGGCTCGCGGATGAGTTTAAGGTAGTTCGACGAGGCGGAAGAAGCCAGCATCATGGCAGAGGCAACCCTTACCCTCACACCACTTCGAAGCGTACCCGTGTAGCCGTGATGGGAGCTTTACTCTCTTCGACCAACACACAGACTCGTCGAGCATGGAGGTCCATGTCAAACAGCGATGTGTTCCAACCCAATCGCTATCCAACTCCACCACGTTTCACACACCACCTGTCGGACGCTAATCTCCTTCTGCACCTCTCACTCGTTCATCGGTCTTTTTCAGCTGAAGTGGTCTTTCTCTCTCTCTACCTATATACTTGGATCCTGTTGAAAACAATCGTGCCGATCGTGCATGATGCGGCTCAGCAAGTGGAAGAGCCAACAGGCCCACAGCCTTTTTTTTCGTCTGAAAAGCTGCGACATGTCCCGTTCCCGCCCTCAGCTTCCCGGAGCTAGAGCTTCATGCCGTCATGTAGCGTCGAAGTTTGTTGGCCATAGACTTCTAGTGGCGACCGCGTCCGTTTCGTCCCTACTCGATTCTCGGCCAGGCACGCCAGAACTGTGATGGGAGACGCAAGGAAGAACGAGGCCGTCCTTTCCGTTGTGGGTGTCGAGGTGCCGGACAATAGATAGGTTCTTCCCGTCCCGGACACGACCAGATAAATCTTGTTGCCGGAAGCAACGGTCTACTCGATCAAGCAACTCTGCAAAGCAGGTTTTTCCTTTTTTTCTTTTTTGACTTTCTCATGAGATTCGAGAGTTAAAGAAAAGTTCCAACGGGGCCGGCAATTTGTACTCGGCGAAGCATACATTCCCTACCATTGTTTTCTTCGTTTCCGCTTTCGCTTTGGTAGCCTATCTACTTATGCCAGCTATTTGTCTTTACAGAAAAACTGATTTAATGTCGATTGCCCTCCAAGTCAATCATTCACGAGCTCCTATCGCCGAACGGCGCCGTCGCCCAAGATGCGGTTCAGCGTGGGAATTGTACTTCTTATCGGCCAGGCCATGGCTTCACCTCATTCGCTCCAGCAACTTCAGCAAAGACAAGACAATAAAGACTGTCCACCAATCCACATCTTTGGGGCACGAGAGACAACGGCTCCGCCAGGCTTTGGTGCCGCGGCCGGCATCGTCGACGACCTTACCAAGGCGAATCAGGGGGCGACGAACGAGGCTATCAACTATCCCGCATGCGGAGGGTCGTCGGACTGTTTAGGCATCAGCTACGCGGACTCGGTGAAGAATGGAACCGCGGCTGTTGCCACGGCCGTGAACGATTTCAACAAGAAGTGCCCCAAGACGAAGATTGTTATGTTGGGGTTCTCTCAGGTAGGTTATGCACGTTGTTCACTGGCCGTGTAAAGTCAAGACTGACGGAACTAAGGGAGCTCAAATCATGGACAACGCATACTGCGGTGGTGGAGACAGCATCGAAGGGGTCAAGGACGTCAACGTTCTCATCTCCAAAGAGGCACTTGGCGCGGTGAAGGTAGCCATCTTCATGGGCGACCCACGTTACGTCGCTGGACTTCCCTACGAGGTTGGCACATGCAAAACGCAAGGGGTAAGTTAGTGGAAGGAAGAAAAATATCAAATGGAAGAAGAAGAGGAAGCATTGATTAACGTACTCCAGTTTGCACCACGACCTCAGGGATTTCAATGCCCGAACGGAGGCAACATTAAGTCATTCTGCGATTCAGCAGACCCGTTCTGCTGCAACGGCAACGATCCCGTTGCTCATCTACAGTATCCAAGCATCTACGGCGACCAGATTAAACAGTTTGTAAGCGACAAACTGAAATAGAAGAAACGAAGAGAAGGGTGAATTCCACCCTACCGATATACCAACGAACTCAACTCAACAAACTCGCACTTGCAAACACCCGACCTGGGTGTCGCACGAACTCCAGGGCCGCTCGGTCTTGGATCTAATAGATGGCTTCTTCGCAACAAGCGCCATAGTGTCCTTTTCGGGTCATTCTTGTCACCAACCTTTTACTTTTTTTTTTCCTTACCTGTACCAAAGAGTTCAAACAGAGGTACATACAGTCCATAATAGGGAGGCCATAGACGGCGCTCAGACAGACCAAGGTTTGGATAGAACCTAAGCATAGACGTAATTAATACATTTTGATACATGATCTCGGTCTCGCACTGGAAGGGAAGTATGAGCCCGTTTGACACATCAAGAATTCTGCTTTGAGCCGAAAGTCAATTCAGTGTGTTGTCAGGAAAGTCTCTCGTGTTAGTAGACCCTGAAGTTGCGGCCGCTGACTAAGGCACTGTGTCGTCACTCCTCACTGTTCACCCCTCCATCATCTCAAACGACGTGCGCCTACAGAGTAGAGCTCCAAGCTATCACCCGCAGCCAAAACCTCACACAACCACATCCAACCCAACATCTCGATACCCCCTTCGGCCCTTTCGTCCCAACCCACGCATACACACACAATCAAATCAACAATGGATCCTCCAAAACCATCGCCATCAATCTCATCGACAACACCACCCGACAAACCATCCTTCCCCGCCATCACACCCCTCCCAAAGACCCCGCGCACCTTCCAAACCCCCACCAAGCGCATCAACACCGGCACCGACCTCGCAACCTTTCTCACAACAACAGCCTACCGCGACATCCTCCTCTTCCTCCTCCAACTAAACCGATCCCTCTGCCCGCGCCGCAACCCAACCCGCCCAACAGGGCCCTCCACAACCTTCCCCCTCTCCTCCGTCCCCTCCACCCCGGAACGCGGCCTCCCGCCCTCCATAGCCCGCCTCCAAACCCTCCTCGCCGAAGCCGAAGCCCTCATTGACCTCGCGCCTCCGGACCCGGGCCCCCGCCGCTTCGGCAACGTCTCCTTCCGCAAGTGGCACGAGCTCCTCGCCGAACGCGCCCCTGCCCTGCTGTCCAAACACATCCCCGACGCCGTCCTCGCTTTCCCCGCGACCCCGTCCTCCGAGCCCCCGGCCGCCGAGCTCCTCGCCTACCTCCTCGGCTCCTTTGGCTCCGCGCAGCGCCTAGACTACGGAACAGGCCACGAGCTCGCCTTCCTCGCCTTCCTCGGCTCTCTCTACAAACTCTCCTACTTCTCCGATGACACCACCACCACCACTACCACTACCGCCGCCGCTTCAGAAAATGCCGAGCCCACTACCGCAGCGGCAGCGCCAGACACATCCGCCCTAGACCGCATCATAGTCCTCGGCGTAATCGAACCCTACCTCCGCGTCGTCCGCCGCCTCATCCTCACATACACCCTCGAACCAGCAGGCTCCCACGGCGTATGGGGCCTCGACGACCACTCCTTCCTCCCCTACATCTTCGGCTCCGCCCAGCTTACGGCCCCCGTGTCCTCGACCTCGGACCCGATGCCGACAGAGGGCTCCGTCCGCGGCGCGCCCAAGACGGGGGATATCGTCAAGGCCGCCGTCGTCGAGGACCAGCGTTCTGAAAACATGTACTTCTCCGCCGTCGGGTTTATCAATGATGTCAAAAAGGGTCCGTTTTGGGAACATAGTCCCATCCTATTTGACGTGTCTGGCGTCAAGGACGGTTGGGGCAAGATCAACAAGGTGAGTGTTTTCCCCATGTTCTCTCTCGCATCATTGTAGGCAAGTTGATCGCATAGTTACTAACAAGCTTCCCAGGGCATGCTCAAAATGTTCAACGCAGAAGTCCTCCAGAAATTCCCCGTCGTCCAGCACTTCACCTTTGGCTCCCTCTTCGCCTGGGACCAAGACCCACACGCCGCGCCCGTATCCCAGTCCGTCCACGCCGCGAACCAGCCCTCGTATAACTACCCAGCAACGGCGCCTCCCCCGCCTCAAGCAGGCGCAGGCACGGCCGCGCCGTGGGCGACAACAGGTGGCGCTGGTGCTGGTGCTGGTGCTGTCCCCATGGGCCGGATGCCCCCTCCCCCTGGCGGCGCTGGTATTCCCTACTCGCGACAACCGCCACCACCGCCGCCGTCATCAGCGGCTTCGGCGCGAGGGCAACCTCCTGGTATGATGTCCATGCCTCCTGGCGCGCAGCAGGCGAGGCAGGGAACGACGGATGCGCAGAGTTCGTTGACTAAGGCACCGTGGGCAAAGTGAGAGGTCGAAGAGAAAAGAAGAATCGAAAAATAGGAGTTGTATGAGATAGATACCCTCGACTGGTTCTGGCTCAAGTTAAGCAGAACTCAGTCTGAACGCCTGGGTGGAGATGGAACTTCAAAGGGTCCAGATGCATGTCTAGATACGGCTGAATGAGACCAACGGCATCTACATATCCTTTGATACACCGCTTTACTTACTCCGGTGCGTCTGTACCGTATGAGAATGGGCTTACTGGACGAGTCGTCAAAAAGGAAAAAGATACCATATCAGTATAAGTAAAGTACGCTCGATTCAACTACTCGACTAATGGGTATCCGACAATTAAGCAAATGAACATGAGTAGACCAACGGTCTGAAAGCAAGAAAACCATCTAACCCCCCAAATGTGTGTGTGCCGCTTTTCTCCTCCTGTGACTGTGGTGGTTTCGTTATGGTGGACGGAGGTTCGAGAAATAACGCTACGGGGTTAAGTCGCTTGCATCAATCGCCCTCCCCTCCTCTGCCAACCAAATCCCGTGGCCTCTGGCCGACTCTAGTCCTCCTTTAGCCCAGAAACCAGTCACTGGGGCCGAAATCCAGCGGCGCAATCTAGGCGGTGGCAGCGGTCTCCTTCTTCTCCTCAGGCTTGGCGGCCTCGGTGGGGGCAGCGGCGGCCGGAGCAGCGGCGGCAGCGGGCGCGGGCACGGTCTCAGCAGCGGGGGCGGCGGCCGGGGCGGTAGGGGCGGGAGTCTCCTCCGTCTTTGCGGGCTCGGTGGCGGCCGGAGCAGCAACAGGAGCGGGCGCGGTGGCGGGCTCAGGGGCCTTGGGGGCCTCGGCGGCTACGGCAGGGGATGCGGGCGCGGCGGGAGCTGTACGAGAGCATCGGGTCAGTCATTTGGGTTTTTTGTCTTCATGAAGATTGCGTGACGGAGACTTACCAGCCTCGGGAGCCTTGGCGGGCTCGGTAGTAGCAGGAGCATCCTCCTTCTTGGCCTCAGGCTCGGGGGCCTTGGCTGGCTCAACAGCGGCAGCAGGAGCGGGGGCAGCAGCGGGCTCGGCTGTTTGTAGTCGGTCAGTAAAGAGCTTATCAAGGCGACAACCCGGCAGAACTATGTTCGCGAGGACGAGAAGAAAGGAGACAAGGAAAGGAAAAGAAAAAACATACTGGCCGGGGCCGCGGCGGGAGCAGCTTCGGTCTTGGTGGGCTCGGTGGCAGCGGGCGTGGTGGTCGTCGCAGCAGGCTTGGTCTCGTCGGGCTTTGCCTCGGCCTTCTTCTCCTCCTTCTTCTTGAAGATGGCCTTGAACTTGGACTTGAGATTGTCCAGGGCGTCGATGGCTAGGTGGGAAACATCGCGTGTTAGTGATTTTCCTTGGCATTTTTTTTTATCAAGGTATTGTTTGCGTCGCTGCCTCGAGCAACGTCATGTGCCTTTGGGAAGCTCTGGCAGTTTCTTTGCCGCTTTCGCAGTAGATGCCCAAGGGAGAATCGGGCAAGGGGGAGAGGGCAGACTTACGAACTCCAGGCATGATGACTGATTTCGAGTGAGGACGTGTGTGTGTGTGTAACAGCTGGTGTGGTCGTGTACGAATATACGGTGTGTAAGCGATTGCGGCAATGGAGTTACGATACTCAGCGACGATGGATGCTGGAGAGATGTAGTTGGGACGACGACGGGGTCAGGGCAGGTCTATGTAAGAAGCAAGAAAGTCAAAAAGAGGCCACCGACGATGAGGTGGGCAAAAAGGGTCAGGGGGGTCTTCCCATTAAGAGAGAGAGAGAGAGAGAGAGAGAGAGAGATGGAAATAGACCATAGACGCCCACCGCAGGCCTCAGAGAAGGGTCTCGTCTCCAGGTCTCGTCTCAGCACAGCATAGCACAGCACAGCATGGCAGTCACGCGTTGGGCTTGGCATAATGTCTCTCTCCTCTGTACATTCAGTAAAAGGTAAAGTAGTGTACTTCCCTGGGCATGACGGCAGACGGAGCGGGCGGTGAGTGTGGGCAACCAAGGGAAGAGCCCAGGATGCCATGCCGGGACTTTCCAGCCAAAGGCAAAATGATCAAGGTGGGAACCAATGGGGCTGCATAACTTTCCATGGCTGAGGCAGTGACAATCAATGGGGATTCGGGGATGGGGGTGATGGATACTTGGCCTGTACTTGTTGGCGATGCTCGTCATTTCTCGTCTTTTCCGTAGTTCTTCCTTTGGTGTGTGCCTCCTCTTCAATATGTTGTCTTGCTCGCCTTGTTCCTCGCCATGTTGCATTATTGAAGTGATATAAAAGAATAAAGAACGAGGACCGTCTCTTTGGGCATCTCCCAGAGTTGTCTGTAAAGTTCTTGTCTGTCTGTACCTTAGCCTGGACTCAGAGGTACCTTATGGAGGTAGGTAGTGAGAGGTGGTAGGGATGGCAGCTGCACGGCCTTTCCACTAACAGATGCACGGGGCCCGTAGGGGCGGTACGTATCTGAGCTTAGCCCACGATAACTCGTCAAGTCCCGTCTGGAGCAGTGGAGAGAGGGACTCGTGGAGAGCATCTTATCCACCAGACAGACACCTGAGCTTGATTGATCCATCAAGCCAAGAAGAGACTGTTCTGGCGTCTGTTGTAGATATGTCTCAGAGCGTAGAGAGTTCACTCTGCTGTCGAGCTCGCTTCTGGACCGTGTACGACCTCGTTGTTGAACATCAGTCGGGAGGGACCAAATGTCCAAAGTCCAAAGTTCAGAGTTCATCCGTTATCGGAGATTCGCGCGCCAGTTCGTATCGATTTCCGCCGTAAGTTTGATGAACAGGATGGGCACTCGACGGGATGCTGAAACCCTGCTTTTCCTGCCCACCATCTGCCATCCATCTTCCCTCTGCCCTCTCTGGCTGGCCGTCGGTTGCTTGCTCACTTGCAGCTGCAAGCCAAGAATATCCCATAATCTGCTGCCGCCGTATCTGGTGCTGCTGCTGCACCCAACTCTCCTGTCGCCTGCGAATCTGCCCTGACCAAGGCATCTCGTCTATATCATTCATTCCGTCAGGCAGACTGCAGACTGCTGCCCTGGAGGGTGGCATCCAGACGCATCGTACGTTGGGGGTTTTCCTGGTTCCAAGATATGTGTGTGTGTGTATGAGCTACCTTAGCGTTGCGCGCATGGTTGAAGAGAGACACAGAATCTGACGGAATGCCGTCATTTCACTCACGCCAGATTCAGGACCAGGGTCCTTTCAACACTACACAAAATCGAGGCAACCCAGCGCACTAGGCACTCCGTGGTCTGGTTCACCAAATTCTGCCATCTGTTGTTCGGGTTAGCTATCCCCCAAGAAGAATAGCGGGAATACTCTGTTCTCCGTACGTAGTAAAGAACAATCAGGCAGGCGAACCACCGGATACCAAACGTTGGATCGATTTGCACCCGGTGGGCTTCGAGATTGCTCGAAATTGGCGCGGATGGGAGGGGGGCGGGCAGCCCTGGGGCTTGGCCAAGCCTGCTGCTTTCCCTCGTCCCGCTGCGACGCCGCTCATCTCGACTCGTCTGTTGATCCTCACATTGCAGGTTCAACGTTCCCACGGACGGAGATGCATGCAAAGTATAGAAAAAAGGGCTGTCAAGTGTCAGCACGTTGGTGGGTGCACTCGTCTGCACTCACCACCACTGCACAATTTGTATACACCACGACGTTAACTTCAAATCCAACCCGAACTAGAACCAGGACCGAAACCGACATCATCAGTACTTGGTAAATGATGCGAAAAAAGAGAACAAGAACCGATTGGCAGGGTCAAATGCCACAGAAAGCAAAAGAATGGGGCTCAACCGGGGATCGAACCCGGGGCCTCTCGCAGGAGTAGATTCCGAGGAATCAAGAACCCAAAGCGAGAATCATACCTCTAGACCATTGAGCCGAACCAAGCCGTTTAGCGACCAGGAATGCAGGGGGCTGCGATGACGAGAGAGCTCGATTGGCCGCCTATGTTGCGTGTCAGGCGCAATAGTGGGGCAGACCTTTTTTCTCAGCGTGTTGGCGCCGCACTCAGCTTGCCGTGGAGAGTCCTAGGATCTGGGGTGTGCAGAATATCACGATCTCATAGGCCGCGGGCAAGAAGATCCGAAGAGAGGATAAGTTTCAGACGGGAAAGATGATCCAAATGCCAGAGCTGGGTATTGATAAAGAATGGATCTCAGATTTATTTATTTTTTTCTCTTTCTTGGCCGGGTGGCAGAAATTAATTTTGAAGCGTTCGGGAGCTGGCAGGCCGGCCCTTGCTAGATGCTTTCCATCCTCCAATCAATAATTAGCCAGTCTCCGCCCGCCGATATGATTTTCCTGGCTAAGGACTGACTACGTGCCTTTACAGTGACAACTGTCGGGCGGTGAAGGTCCAGATCGAAACGAGCACGCTGTTGGTCGGGTAGGTATCACCTTCAAGTTGGTTGTAGCGGGAACGTACAGCCAGCACACTAGACGTCATTTTCATCCCAGCCAGTAAATAACCAGTACATTCAATTCGAGAAGAGACTCATGGAATGAAAGTGTTTTTTGAGGTCGATATAACATACTTGCTCGTGCCGTCAAGCATATGATTTGCTAATATCAACTTGGCCCTGCCAGACACATCATCAGAAACAACCTGTTTCATCCAGCATTATCAACGTATGCAGCCCACGAATCATGGTACCAGAATATCAAGTCCTCCAAGTTTTGCTTTATTTCTAGTGAGATGCCGCATCCTATATCATTTCAATGGAAGACCTTGTCTCGATGAAAGAAACATCAAGCCGCGATCCTACATGTAAGTGGCAAGCCGAGTTGATTCCTACATCTCGAGGGAAAAGTCCACCCTGACGCCCGTGATTTCTTCCCCAATGGACAAGGGTTTGTAGGACTTTGAATCATGCAAGGTCAGTCTACTCTAAATCAAGAAGTTCTGGCGCTTACATTGTCATCGAAACTGGGGATACGGTCGATCTCCATGTTTTGTGTCACATATTGATTCGACATGCAAGAACTGAACACAACTGAACCTCTCAGAGGCAAACATCATATAGAATCGAAGGAAAGTGGACTTGAAGATTGCTCCATCGTCGCAAGAATTGTTTACTCGCCTTTCATATACCACCCCCTATTAAATCCGACTACCACTTCAGCCGTCTCGTATATGGCATACATCATATAGCATCGAATATACAAACATTTCATCAAGTCATCAGTCATAACAACGTCCAAAACGTGCGAATACTGTCTTCACCCCCTCCCACCTTCATCACCACAAACCAAAACACCCTCAGTTACTATTATGAGCATTCAACACCAACAACACCAAATTCGCGACAACCATAATAGTAATCATCAACCACAGCAGCACAGCCAACACCGTAACCCACCACGAATTCGCCATCTTCACGCCCACAGCACTAAACCGCCGCGCCGGCACAACACCCGTATCAGACCCGTAGCTCGCCGCCCCAGGCACGACAGTCATGTACTTGTTAAACGAAGTGAAATAGATAAGCGGCGCCGTGATGACGGGCAACACCGTGCTCAGCACGACCTGCGTCCCCGTCAAAGCATTGCTGAGCCCAGATTGCCCCGCGACAGCAACGACGACGATGGTGGGGGTGACACTTATAAGCCGCGTCGCGAGGCGGCGGAGCCAAGGGCGCATGCGCCAGTTTAGCGCGCCTTCGCTGACGAGTTGGCCGGCAATGGTACACACCAGGCCCGCGGATACACCCGAGAGAAGCAACGCAAAGGCAAAGATGATTCCAGCGGCAGAGGAGATGCTGTTGGCGAGTAAATCGTGCATACCGAAAATATCAGAGGCGAGGGAGGTCTGGCCCTGGTAGAGCGCCGAGCCCGCCACGATAAGGATGGCCGAGTTGACGAACAGCGCAAAGATGAAGAGGGAGAAGACGATCTCGGCGATGGAGAATTTCATGCAGTGCTTTATGGCGGCCATGGAGGGGAAGTAAAAGACCTTGTGGTAGCTGTCGACGGTGGTCATTGTGTCGGAGCGGGGGAGTTCTTGGAGGTTGCCCTCCTTCATGTCAAAGTCTTTGAGGCGAGATTGGACGACGCCTGAGCCGAGGTGGAGGCTGTGAGGCATCACTGTTGCGCCTAGGATACCGCAAGATTGGTATAATCTGTCATCGTTTTTGTTAGCATAACCCATTGGATCGTAGGGGGTTCTTTTCTACATACCCCTGAGTCTGGATGATGGAGCTGGATGGGAGGTATCCGCGGAACACTTGTCCAACAGTCGTATTCTCAATCAACGAAAGCTGGATGCAGAAGCAGACGACAACACCGAGCACAAGGAAACAGACGCCAATCTCAAACAACCGCAGACCGCGCATCGAGCCGTCGGGGCGGTAAAATACGACAATGAAGACGACATCCACAATAGTCAGGACGACGCAGGCGATCAACGGCAACTTTGGTATCAGCAGGTGTATAGCCGTAGCGGTTCCGATGACGACGGCCATATCCGTCGCGACAATGGCAATCTCGGCGAGCGCGTAGACGATGATGTTCATCCATTTCGGGAGGAAGACACGGCAGGCTGTCGCCAGATCGAGGCCCGTAATAGTCCCGAGTTTGATAGCCAGCCCCTGGAGGAATATCGCAACAACGTTGCTCAGCAAGACGATGAAGAGCAGGTCAAAGTGATAGGAAGCACCGGCGGCGATGTCAGTGGCATAGTTTCCGGGATCGACTGTATCAGAGGGTCAGTCGTCACTACATTCTCAACACCTCATTCCCCGAAGAAACCTACTATATGCGACGGCAATCATGAACCCGGGCCCTACAAACTTGCCGAATGTGAGGAGATCGCTCCATCTCCTGTTGATCCACCTCTTCTCCCTCTTGTGAACGGCGTGACTCGGCAAGGGAAGCGTGGGTCCCTCAAGGAGCGAAAACGGGCCCTCGCCGTCGATCCGCGTCTGCTTCTTGAGCGTCTTTGGCGGAAAATCCTCAGTGCTGGCCGACGTACCCTGCGACGACACAATGGCATTGAGGTTGATAAAATCAGGCGGCACGTCCCCGCTCAGGCGCCTAGATTCCGAGTGCGACTGACCATGGAGGGTCTGGCTGATGGTGTAGTCGGCGGTGAAAGGACTGACGCTGGATCGGCGGGAACTGCCCCCTTGCTGAGCAACGGGCTCATCCAGCCAGGTAGGCTTCATGGTATCCCAGGTAGCAACGACAGATTTCGATCTGGTCCGCGAGGCTACATTCCACGAGGGTGGTCAGAATCGATGATAACGTGTGACACCAATGAATGTAAGCAAACTCTGTCAAGACTTACCATGGGAGCGCTTATGAGCGGCAGCGTTGGATCCTCTGCAGGAACGTCAAAGAGGGGAGGGAAAAGAGAACAAAAGAATCCTCGGTTTGAGGAAGAAAACGGGAAACAGCATGTTTTTGTTAGCCCAAAGGTGCTGATGCCGAAAGCAGACTCGGAAACACCACAAGATCCTCACTCAACGGCAAACAACATTCCGAATGCGGTCTCCGCGATGGCCTACGGCGCCTCCGTATGAGACACCACATCGTCATGAGAGCAAGCCGCGGGTACCATCCGACCGAGCCACCGGGACGCTCCAGGAAGACGGAATTGAATCCAGCAGCGGGTTACTACTTGGAAACAAGTCCAGATGTACGTGGGTAATCTTGGCTAGTGCGTACGAGGCGGGACGAGCAAAGAAGGACGCTCCAAGAATCGCCCGCCACTAGCAGTCGGTCGAGTCTTGGAAGAATGCTTCTGGACCAGGTGTCCTGAGACCTTCTGTCCGCCTTCGGCATAGCCGGTGGGAGAGCCCATATGCTAATGTTGACCAACATGGCGAAATCAACGATTACGGAATGGCTTGCCTGTTCATGTATGTGGGAGTGGATAAACGCAGAAGTGGAAGCTGTGGCGTAACGGAGGCGCCCAACCATATGTCATGTAAATTGCATCTTCTGGTTGGCCTGACTAGAAGCGAAGTTTCTTTGGTCTGAATCACGAAAAGTAATAGGTATTCGACAGCCGAACTCTGTTGAAGGCTGATATCCATTTTTCCCTCTTCTTCCTTGGCGGGCCGTTTTGGGCTTGACTCGGCCGGCCGCCTTCGGGAAGATGTGTGTGTGCGTGTGGGACGGCCAGCTCACCGGACTGACCGGGCTCACCGGGACCCATATCGTCGCATGATTCCCCGGCGGGGACCTGCGTGGCTCCGTACACCCCCTGCCGCCCGGATCTTGCGCTCGGCCCCGATCCGGAACGGGATGTGGAGATGGGTTTTGTGCTGTTGAAGCTGGGCCTCATTTTCACATTCACCTAATCTTCTTGGTGTCCTTGCCGGCAGCACGTTCGCGGTCTCTCTTGGCATAGATGCCAGCAGTGAAGGGGTTCTCATAGCGCAGGGCAATTTGGTAGACGATGAAGACCCAGACGGTCAACAGGATGCCGGCGGGCTTGCCGTAGATGAGGGCGGCGCCGAGGAAGCTCATTGTGGAACCATTGTACATCGGGGCGTCGGTAATGTTGAAGGGGAAGCCAGTCACGATGCTGTCCATGAGGATGCCGAAGTAGTCACCGAGGAACGTGCCGGTAATACCCAGCTGCCATGTCGAAGAGAGAACGAGAACGTTGCCACATGCCACGAGGGCGTATCCGACATAGGTCACCGCATCGGACGCGAGAAGTGGGTGGGCTGGCTGGAAGCGCAGGGCCCGTTCGTATAGGAGATCACGGAAAATGCCGAGAGAAAAGATGGTGGCAGCCAGACCGTAGCATGCAGCTTGCGAGCGTCCACCAGCGAGCTTGGTGAGAATCTTGTTCTTGTACTCTGGGAACCGGATTAGACGGTGGCTACTTGGACACGACGGCGGCGATTTCACGAACCTTGTCTCGCGACGATGCTACGCATATGTTAGCACACAACTTGGCTGAGGCACGTTGACAGTGGTAGGAGAGCAACTTACTTCCAGAACAACGGGTTAAAGGCAATTGCAGCGGCAGAGACTGTGTGCAAGGACCTGGGTCAGCGAAGGGCAGTCGACGAGAAGTGAAGCTCGATGAGAGGAAGCGAAGGGCCCAAGCTCCACGGGGACGACATGACGTACCGAGTAAGCTCTTCTGGTCAAAGTCGACCAGGGCCTTGTTGTCAATCTGGACGGGCACCATGGTGAATGGCGATGTCAAGTGAGAGGAATGCTGATGCAAAATGCAAGAAATTTCCAAGGCAATGCAATGAGTAGTTTTCCTTTCGAGAGCGAGAAAACCGTTGAGGACAGAGAGTAGCTTATTTAGGAAGAAGAAGAAGGATGGGTTGGGAAGTCTCGTAGGCTTGTGACAGAAGCTTGCTCCACCCCAGGTATTTATGTTAGCGGGGACACCTGGCCATAGCGTCTCGTCATAACGCAGTAATGCACTGCACCGCTCCAGCTGGGGGCACGGGGGGGGGGGGGGGGGGGGGGGTCCAAGGGCGCGGTTTTCGTCCACCTTAGGTAACCCAAGTGCTCTGTACTTTTCATCCTACTACCTTCCCGGACCTTGAGGCAATTATGTAAGTACTTAGGTTACCGTTCGCTTTTGCGCTCAAGGTATTTGCCTTAGGCTTCTTTTCTCACGGGGTTTCGATGGTCTTCGGGGCTGGGGTAAAGTAACCCTCCATCCCCGCCGTAGCTATCCGACGACCCCTTGGCGCGGCAAGCGGTAGCTCATGAAAGAGCACCTTTGCCAGCACATCCGGCTCAATGCACGCTTCAAGGACTCTGCAACATTAGGGAAAGGCAGGTGGCCAAGAAACTAGATCATGAACTAAAAAAGAGTCATCGAAGAATCCGGCATGTATAACTAAGTATAAAACAGCGCGCCGCCTGGAACCAATCGCAATATGGGGGGTATCAAAATTGCAACGTCAACCTCAAAAACACCATGACCCGGACAAGACAGTCCATCAAAGTTAAGCCAACAACGCCCGGGCACCCGTTCACCTGCGATTCCTAGTCTTCTTGGCTACGGTGCCCGTGTCTTCTTCCTCGTCGTCCTGGCCCTTCTTAAGATCGTCCGTTAGGCCCCACTTCTCCTTGTCGTACCAGTCCTCGCCGTCAGACATGTCCCGGTTGGCACCGCTGTGCGCTTCCGACTTGGACCACTCGAGAACTGTGTTGCGTAGCCGATTGGCCTTGAGGAGGCCTTCGTGGAGCTTCATAGCACCACGACAGACCTCCTCTTGCTTTTGTACGTACAATGCTAGCAAGCGGCGGATATCCTCGGCCTCTGCCTCCGGTAGACCCACATCTCGGTCTGGACGAGCGTTGGCCGGCGGCCGGAAGAATGGGTGAACAAAGGTTTCGTCCGCCGCCTCTGATGCTGTTACCATTGACGGCGCATGCGTACCGTTGCCATTAGCCAGTTCTGTTCCGGGCTGCGACGGAGGTATCGTGTTGCCGTCGTGCATTTCAACATCGACTGCCTTTTGTTTCTGCTTCTTGTCGGCTTTGCTTTCGGCATGGGCATCTTTAATCAGCGTGCTGGGCTTTGAGGCTTCGCCGTTTGTTGTCTGGGTTGCGTCTGCTTCAGGTTGAGAGTGCTCCTTATCCGACTTTTCAAGTGCGGCTTTCGCAGCATCCCCCTTCTCGGAGCCGGCATCCGTCATGGTAACGTCGCCATCTCCATTCTCTTTGTCTCCAGACGCCTCGCCATTCGTGCCGTTTGGCGCGTGTTCTGGTTTCGCATCGCCGCTCAACGTACCAGAGGAGGCGTCCTCGTTTGACCCGGCAGCGGTGGCTTTCGTGTTTTGTAGGTAGCCGCGCTCGACATAGTCTGTCGAATACAGGTCGGCATCGTCCGGACCAACCATCATGCCACAGGGCACCCATGTGTAGTCGCCGCAAATCTTTGTGAAGAGATGTCTGACTCTCCACAGGGATGCATTTTCTTTCCGTCGAACATCGCAGCTTTGGTCGGCAATCTCGTCCAGGGTCTTGGCCGTGAAGGGTTTCGAAAGGGTCGGATGTGTTGGCAGATCGATTGAGGCAGTCAAGGGAGCTAGGATCTCTGGTTGAGGGTTAGCTGTGAACATGGGGCCACGATTGGGTGGTACTGACGTTCAATGCGAATGTTGGCATACGGGTCAAGCTCTGTGGCTGAGGAGACAGCCTCTTGAATGCGCTCCTCCTCGTCGTCGCTGTCAATTTCGTAACCTTCTTCGTCTACAATGGGAGGGTTGCGGCTGATTATTGTGCGCTGCTGGCCGGCGTAGTCGATCACCTGCAATCGTCAGTGTCGGTCGGACGCTGTGGGCAAGCGTATGGGAGGGACGCGCAATGTACCTCGTTGTAAACTTCGGGGCCGGAGGGTGGTGCGAGTTGGCCCTTGTGGGAAAAGAGTGCGCGCTTCTGCAGTTTATGACCACGATTGCCGTAGTGGTCAATCTCGTCGTCCGAGTCGGATTCTGCCAGGTACTCGTTAGAATGCGAGGTCGGCGTGGTTCACGGCGGGAAGAGATTCGCGTGCGTACCATATGCTTTCCGCTTGAGAGCCTTCTTCATAGCGGCCACCGTCTCAGCGAAAAGGATCTGTTGACTTGCCATTGCGCCGTTCAGACTCTTGCCCCTGGCGACGTTCCCAAGCGATCACGGAGGTGGGTGCGGGAGCGAGAAGCAGTACGAGGGGAGAGTTGGGGGTCGGTTGGAGCTTTTTCGAGTAAAGAGACTAAACGGTCTCAAAAGACTGGTGTTCAAGTTCGATTCGGGTCGGAAGAGCACCAAGAAGGAGTCATTTACGAGTTCGGTTCGTAGGAAGGTGTAGTGTGGGAGAGGTGTAGGAAAGGTAAAGAGAGAGGATAGCCCTCAATTTCTGCGCGCAGCCTCTGTGACGAGGCGGGAGGAGAAGCAGGCGGGCGGGCGAGGCTGGATTTCCTGGCCCTAGGTGCTGGTCCTAGTGCTGCCAACTGCGCTCAACCGGTTCAGTGGAGGGTACCTTACCTGAGCGCACCTGATAGAGCGACTGCGCTGCGTTGCGCTCTGCGGAAGTCGGGTGGGTCGACCATGACCGCATTTAGGTGTGCAGCCAATCATGGGTTACAGCGTCGGCACCCACTTTACCCGATGCCGAGATGTCCTGCCCGGGCTCCACTGCCAGTTGGTGTGGTCACTGGTGTGGTGGTCGGCTATTTCCCATCAGCGCTGTCCAGGGGTGCCCACCTGCTGTGTGGTCACTGTGTCACTGCGGCGGAACGGTAAGGTACCTGTAGGATTGGTGGGCTGGGATTGCGGGACAAGAGCTTGGGTGACGATACTTTTGACATGTACCTTTCTTTGCTTGCCTCTCACAGAGGACGTAGGACACCACACACCCATGCTTGCGCGCGCTCCTCAACTTGCATGAAGCTCCCCTTTCGCGACGACTTGCAAGTATTCCTCGCCGCACGCTCTCTTGCTTCCATCGCCTGATTTCCTAATTCAAGCGGTCATGCTCCCTTGAGTACCGCCACCGTGAGTGCTCGTTGGCTACTACCCACCAAAAGTACACGCTTCTAATTCATAATATCTAGAGCAACTTTGCGATCCGGCCGACCCCTGCCAAACGAACCGATATCTTCATGGTCACCTTGCGCTGCATGCTCGAACTTAACAACAATGGACGGATACCCGGTGGGAAGCCTGGATCATAACATCCCGCATATCGTCATCGCCGGCTTGACCTCGAGCCCCGCCAAAGCCCTACCTTTGAGCGCAGAGCTTCGAGACCAGGCCCTCTTGATCCGATCCGAGCTGCCAGCCATAGAAAGCCCGAATGCCGAAGCCTTGAAGGACTACATTGTTCGCCAGGATGGGAGGAATCACCCATGGAACGGCAAGGACAGCGGGAAGCCGTACAGGCTGCGAGTCGCCGTTGCTGGTCGAGTACGGCCGCGAGACACCTACATTTGTCCAGTCAAGGCTAACAGGTGGATAGTCTCTTGTTCTTCCTCCTCGCCGCGCTAGACTTCCAGACGGCATAGAAGCTCCCGAGACGCCTGCCGTCCTGCATTCACCCTTTTCTCCCCTCAGTCCAGTCTCTCCATTATATCCTGATGGCTTAATGAACACAGACTGGCTCCAAAAGCACGAGGACCTAGTTCCCAGTGTCTATGTCTCATTCTACACCCTGACGTCTGATCCGACACTTGCTACCCTTCACGATAACCAGCTGAAAACCGACATCAACAACACCAAGACCGCCATCAGCAGATCGGGCTACAGGACTCGCTTTGCCGTCGTACTCTTGAGCGATGGCATTGCTTCAGCTTCCATGCAAGATTTCATGCAGGACAGGCTTGAAAATATCAGGCGAGGCGTTGCTTTGGACAACAAGTCCTTCTTCTATTTGTCACCCCATGACCTGATAACAGATTTGGAGCATACCGCAGACTCCATGCTTGCGGCCGTCTTCTTGCAAGCTATAGAGTATTATCGCGACCTCGGCCGTCACGCTCGCAAGAAGCGCAGTCGTGGAATCGCTCCGCAACCTACAGTGCCGCCTACGAGCACTTCTCAGACGACTTCAGTGCAAGACTGGAATGTACGATACGATTACAAGACGGGAGTCTTTGCCGAGTTTCGACAGGAGATGGACGCGGCGCTGCGCTCGTATGAACAAGCTTATGAGGGGCTCCTCAGTCAGGATGTCATGGACATAATCCCCAGTTGGAGCCCGAGATGGAATGAGGCGCGCATGCTTGCGGATGTGTTGGCGATACGCAGCATCCGATGCCTGCTCTGGGGTTCACAGAACACTGCTGCAGTACGTAAATGGCATACACATCGCGACAGGATAGCCGACTTTGTCGATCGCCGTGGCCGCGGAACGAATAACTACGGGTGGGCTGCATGGGAGTCGAGGTGGGCGGTAGTGATGGCAAATTTGATCGAGAGGGTGGACATTCGCAGCTTGGCGCCATCAACGCGAACGTTATTCCTCCAACCTGAAAAGGCTGCTGCGGCCGACCGCTTGCAACCATGGGAAATGCTGCATCACACGGGATACTGGTACCGAATCGCTGCTGAGCATCTGATGACCCGGCGAAAGCTCGCCCGGTCCATTCCGGAAGAAGACCGGCGTTCACCCGATACCACTCCGGCATCAGCGGTTGCGAGCAAGGCCTTCCAATACGACACGTACATGTGCCCAGATCCTCATGAGGAGTTTCCTCTACAAGGGACGGGCGTCAATCACTCCAAGCTCATTATAGACATTCTGATGGCAGCAAGATCCCAGTTTCAGGCACGACGTCAACTGCGATTATCGGCCGAACTGTCTCTGGAATGCGCGAAAGAAATGGCGAATCTAAAGGCCTGGGATGACATTGTTGCTCTGCTACGGCCTCTATGGGAAGACATGTCATTCAGATCAGAGGGATGGCTCAACATCACCGAGGATCTGAGCTGGGTGCTGCGTGCTGCGGCGGCCCATACCGGTCACGGGGAGCTTGTAGTCGCCATTGACTGGGAGCTGATGAACAGGAGTAAGTGACTTTTTTCCTCTTCATCTTCACAGATACTGACTGCAATACAGAGTTCACGCGGCGACCCAAGTGGCACTACGACGTTTCCAGGTCCCTCGAGGGACTCAACATCGAGCCGAAACCCACTGTAACCATCAACGATGATGTAGTTTCTTCTTTCATCGCCGCATCCTTCATTTTCAAAAGCGAGGATGGCAAAGCTGGCGAGACTTGTCAAGCGCAAGTAGCCATCAGATCCGATGCTTTTCCAGATGCATCGTTGGTGACACTCAAGGGCCTGAGAATCGACTTTGAAGGTAGCCTGAAGACCATCACATTAGATCATGATGCGGAGTCTAACGGTGGGAAGGGCAAGGGCAATGTTACGCTCGCGGATGTGCCCCTGACCGAGGCGGCCCGAGCCGATGAAGAAGGAGAGGAGGGCTCATCAGGGCTAAGCGGATCGGCAAACCTGACCTTGAAGCCAGGCCACACGAACGTTTACGAAATGGCGATACCTCTGCGGGAGCCTGGCGAGGCGCACGCATCCTCGGCGACGTTGGTCCTAGAGACGGATACCTTTTTGCTGAATTATACCGTCACTTTCCGAGACCTGGGGGCGACAGACTTTTGGTTCGGGCCCTCGCTTTCAAGGAGACGAATTGTACGGCAGAGCGCGCATGTTATCCAAGTCCAGGCCAGGCCGCCCAAGCTGGAGATAAAGCTGGCGCAACCTCTGGATCAGTTCTACGCAAACGAGCCAATGGATTTGGTTGTGGATGTCGTCAACGCTGAGGAGACTGAGGCTATCGCCAAGCTTGAAGTTCACGTCTTTGGCGAACAAATCCCGTCCTTCCTTGTTGACATTGAAAGCGAAGGAGAACATACAGCAGAATCTGGCCAGGAAGAAGCCAAACTTACGGGGCTGACACTTGGGACTTTGGCAACATCACAGTCAAAACGTGTCAAGGTCAGGCTTGATCCCGTACAGCTGACCGCATCTTACGATGTCACACTGAGGGTGTTTTATCATCTGGCCACCGACCCGGCGACCTTGATCATGCAGATCCTGCCGGTCCAGCTCAACGTTGTCAATCCCTTTGAAGCAAACTACGACCTTATTCCGCGTCTCCATTCCGACACCTGGCCGAGCTTATTCGATTACGAGGGCGTGCAGGATCCGTCGGCGGACGAAGCCGCGGTTCAACCCCGCGGGCTGGCACAAAAGTGGTGCCTTGTGTGCCACTTTGCATCGTTCGCGACGGAAGACTTGGAGATTGTCAGCATGGACGCCGAAGTCATTGCGTGCCAAAATCATGCGCGATGCAATACGGCGACCCGCCCAGAAATTCCGGCAAGCGGGCTTCGCATACCACCGAAGCAGATGCAAGAGGCCCAGTTCGATCTGGTCGCTCAAAAGTTCAGCCTCGACGATCGGGGACCTGCGTCCCTCGACGTGGCTTTTGTCCTCAAGTGGCGCCGCACGTCGACAACCTCGTCACCAGCGCCGGTCAACACGACCAGGATGCTTGTTCCGAGATACATTGTCCTGGGCACCGAGCCCCGCGTCCTAGCTTCGTACTCCCTCGCCAACCCCGTGACGGGCCTGATCCACCTGGACATCACCATTGAGAACCCGTCGAGTCATTTCCTGACGTTTGGCTTGAACATGGAACCCAGTGACGAGTTTGCCTTTTCTGGCTCCAAGCAGACTACGGCGCATGTCTTGCCAGTGTCTAGACGTACCATTACGTACCGACTGCTCCCTCTGATACGGGGCGACTATATCCGGCCGACGCTCGTGGTCAGGGACAAGTACTTCCAAAAGGTGTTGAGAATCATACCGACGGAGGGGATGAAGATCGACAAGGACGGCTTGCTGGTGTGGATCCCGCCAGAGGAGGGCGAGGAAGAGGAGTAGGAAGGGATGATGATGATGACGATGATGGCTTAGATCAAGATGCCGGGCTTTCTTGTGTACATAGAACTCTACATCTCAAGGTCTCTCTAAACATCCAGCTCCACAAAGGTGCCAAACACTATTATGCTCGCTCCTCTCGGTCTGTCTAAAGTCTCTTCGCTCGTGGGAAAACACAAACACAGCACACAATCTCTACATCTTGGCCTTGGGCGGCCTCGCCGACCCCCCAATCTTGCCTATCCACTCCTCCGTAAGCGTCGTCTTCTCCTCAACACTCAACCTCGTCCACCGCTCATAGTCCTCCTGCTCAACCCTCCACTCCCCCACACACTTTTCAATCCACTCCGCCGTCAACTTCGCACTCACACCCGGAACCTCCATGGGAAACAAATGGCCCGCTCCCTCCAACGTAATTTCTTTCACCCTCTCCCTCTCTACCCCACCGCTACCGCCGACACCGGTCCCCGTCAACCTCATCTTCTCATCGCGCAGCTCCGGCGTGGAGAGATCGCTTGCGCCGCCAAATACGTAGAGACAGCTGGGCCGGAGGTGCGGGAGGCGGACGAGGGTGGAGGCGCCTTCGGAGCGGTAGACGGGGAAGGTGTAGTACCGCTCGTTGAGGGCCGGGTCGAGGTCCGGGACAAGGTCGGGGTGGAGAAGGCGGTGGCCTGTGGAGTCGTAGGCGTGCCAGGAGGGGCGGAAGTAGGTGAAGACTTCTTGGTGTTTTGTTGTGGCGAGGGTTACGCTTTCTTTTGTGAGGGTGGTGTTGGGAGTGTTGGAGGAAGGGGAGGGGTAGAGTTGTGTCGGTACGTCGCGGAGGCCGTGGTCCATCCACGCGTTGAATACCCTCTCATCCCAGCCGCGGTAGAAGGGACTCTTGAGAAAGGCTTTGCGTGCTTCCTCGCGGGACGGCCAGAGGTCTCTTCGTCGAGCGCTCGCTGCGGCGGGTGAAGCGGCGATGGTGCCTTTGGCATTGGAGGACCATTTCGAGATGACGGGGTCGAGGAGGACGACGCCGGAGAAGAGGCGCGGGTTGATGAGGGCGACGTTGGCGATTGCGTTGCCGCCGAAGGAGTGGCCTACGCCCAGCAGGGGACGGGGCGGGCGGAGGGTGTTGATGAGGTGGAGGAGGTCGCGGGGGTGGTCGAACCAGCCTGGGTCGTTGCCGAGGAGGGGTTCGTTTAGGGTCGAGGAGCGGCCTTGCCAGGCTGCGTCTGCGATTATGATGGAGCGGATGCGGAATTTGGAGGTGGGGAGGAGGGATTGGGCGTGGAGGTCTTGCCAGAGGGCCTCGTAGAGTTCCTGTGGTGGTGGTGATTAGTGAGCCGTGGTGTTGGTGGTGGTTATGAGGTGTATAGTTCATGAGGTGTATAGTTCATGAGGAACATGAGATGAAATGAGTCGAGATAGAGTAGAGAGAAATAGGTGAACAAACCTTGGGGAAACCGTTGGCGTGGGCGCCAATGATTGTGACGTCGCCGGGTTGCGGGTTCGGGTTGTCCTTCGGGATGTATTCCTTTACGGCGAGTTTGAGGACGTCGTCTTGGGAGCGGGAGAGGGCGCGGGGGAACTCGCGGATGTGTGAGCCGTCGAGGACGTGTTCCTTGATGCGGAAGACGGAGGACATGGCGAGTGAGGCTGGTTAACTTGGTTGAGTTGAATTGAGATGAAATAAGATGAGATTCAGCGAGTGTGTGAGAGCGATGGCCACGACACACTCAGTCTTTGTGTGTTTTTGCTGTGTAGGCTCAGTGAGTATGTGTGTGTTGAGTGAAGGGAAGGTAAGATGAAAAGAGGTCAAGGTGAGGAGGCCAAGTCTCAAAATTCCGTCGTCTCACAGCTTCATCGGCAACTGGGCAAGGCAAGTTGACGAGGTTAAAAGACGGGACTAGACTTGCGACGAAGGGACCGGGTCTACAGTAAAGGTGAAAGTCTGGGGTCCTGGGGGCGTTGGTGTGGAGCTGGAGATGCCGAGGTACCAGCGGTTACCGGTACGGAGTACGGATACGCCAACCCTTGTCCTGTGTAATGTATATAGGCTTGAGAATCTGTACTGTAGGTCGGCTCATACGCATCCCCGAGGCCGTCGACATCATCCATGTATCACTTTTGAAGGCATTTCCAACCGAGAGTCTCTCACACAGAGAAGAGAAAAAGCAGTTCAAGGGATCGAATGAACCGTGTACATTGATTGTGTCTTGGAGGCAACCGACTCGGGGGGGGACACAAGTTCGACAATGGGCGCCGTCAGCCACACGTTTGAGATGCTGCGGTCTCGTTATTTGAGATGAATTGAGTTTTCAGTTGCCCCCATTGTGCGAGTATTCTTCCTTTTGTGTTTGTGTCTGTGTTTGTGTTGTGGGTGTCACCCGCCTGTCATCCATTCGCTCCCGTGTCTCCCGTCGCGAGTTACCTTGGTGAGCACCCGAGGATTCAGCAAGCACCCGTGGTTTTTGGAGAGAGTACGGAGTACGTTCCAATTAAATTACCCCGCAATCTCCAATCTTCCAGGCACCGCACAGCTTCTCGTCCCCGCAACACTTCATCTGCACAAACTCCGAGGATTCCCCTTCCACACACACCACCTCGCCCGACCAACACCCGACCTCACTTTACCGAACCACTAACACCCGCCGCCGGACCGGAGCCGGTCCAAAGACACCCCTGCATGCCGAAAGTCCTCATCTTCGCCGGCGCCCCCGAGGCCGACTGGTCATCCCCGGATTCCCTCATCCTCTCCGCTCCGCCCGCACCATCCCCAATAAACCTATCGCCGGCCCCCATATCGGCAACTTCATCGCCAACCTCAACACCAGCAAATCAAAATGTAACCGCAGCAAACACAACCACAATAGCCCTCCCCTCCTGGCGATCCCTCCCACTACACCACAAGCCCCTAGCAACAGGCTACTCCCAACCCCACGGCCTCCCCTCAAACTTCCTCCCCCCAGCCCACTTCTTCTCCCTCTCCCGGGACGTCCACACCCAAGAAACAACAACCGACGACACCTCCACAACCACAACAGACTCCCAAGATCATCTCCTCTCCCAGCAATTCTACAACCACTCCCTAGCTCTCCACCACGACCTCGCATCCTCCCAACTCCCACCCCCTCCATCCGCATCACAACCTCCACCCAAGCACACAGACAACACCTCCTTCAACACGACAACATCCTCCTCCTTCGTAACAGAAACAACAGACTCCTTTGAAGATACCACCACAGCAGACCTCTCCACCTCAACCATCCCGCCACCCCTCCAAACATCCCACCACCTCTCCGACCTAGAAGACATACCCCCCGCCCCCTCCCTCCTTGCTCTCGCACCGCAAACCGTAACAGTAAACCTCATCGCGGGCGTGATCTCCATCTCCACCCCGCGTGCCGTGACAACTCGCTGGGGCAACGAGCTATCCCTCGTAGAAGTGCTCATAGGGGATGAGACGCGCGCTGGATTCGGTGTGACGTTTTGGTTACCTTCGATGCCGCCTCCTCCCCCGGCAGCTGCCGAGAAGAGCACCGGGATGACAGCAGCAGCAGGGGGTCCGACGTCGCCGGCAAACCTGCGAAGACAAGACGTCGTGTTACTCCAGAATGTGGCGCTGCATGTTTTCAAAGGGAAAGTGTACGGGCAGAGTCTGCGGAAGGGGTTGACGCGGACGACGGTGCTGTATCGACGGAAGTTGGGGGAGGGTGATGAGGGCGGGTATTATCGTCCTAGGGATCTTGAGAGGTCTATCAACGCCGGCGATGGAGGAGGAGGAGGAGGAGGGGATAGGGATGGGGAACCGACGACGGTGCATCCGCAGCTTATCAAGACTAGGAGGGTGTGGGAGTGGGTGATGAGGTTTGTCGGCGGCGGCGGCGATGAGGAGCAGAGGACGACGGTGAGGGGGGTTATGAGGAGGGGATGGGATGCGTTGCCTGATGATACCCAGTGAGGTGCGAGAATCACTTCGCATTCTGAAAGAAGAAGGGGAGAAATTGAAAGAATGTTGGAAAGGCATGGTTATTTTCAGTATGAACTGGGGTTGAATCGAGTACAGGAATGAAAGCAGCAAGTCAATGGTACGAAATCCTTCTTATCTAATCAACGGCAGCAAGGTCAACATGTTCAGGTGAGAGATAGCATCTCATCTCACTTGGGATCCTTCTCCTCCCGCTCCTATCACTAAGCGCTTCGGGTGGGATGATCGAGGGGGTCCTAGGGGAAGACCCGAGTGTGGATCTCGGTCCCCTCGATCACCTGATCTGACGTTTGGCTTTTGTTCATTCCCATGTGGAGGAACTTCTTATTTCCCTCCTTTCTCTCATAGTCTTGCACCGTTGCGTCTAATCCTTACTCCAGTAACAGGTCTCGCTCACAACTTTACTGTGTGACGGCATAGTAGGTAAAGTCACTTACACCCGAGCATAGACGCTTCGTACACATTTTCAACTCGACATTACAATTTTCTAGTCTAAGTAGAGCAGGGTTCTAAACCGGGTATCCTCTAAATCTCATGTAACCGTTCACTTCATATCGTACAAGACGTTCGTCTCTCAAACAGCAACGGCAGCAGCACCACCCTTGCCCTCCTTCTTGACGCTCTTCCATTGCAGGCCCAGGCAAGCAACAAAAGCAGCACTGGCGCAGGCAACAGTGACGTAAAAGGTGTGTCTAAGTCCAACCATATAAGCCTCAAGCACCACGTCAATGGCATCCGCACGTCCCATCTGCGTTAAGATGTTGCGGACCTGGTCAGCGCCGGCGTTGATAAAGATCTGGGGGTTGATATCCGGTGCGTTCTTGGTGACTCCGTCAATGAGACCCGTCTGGAACAGTGTCTGAGCGACGGCAATCATGATGGCACCGCCAAAGGACTGGAAGAACTGCACGCAGGCTGTCGCGACGGGAACCTCTTCCTGGGGCAAGACTGTCTGGACAACGAGCACGCCAATCTGAAAACCTGCGCCAATGCCGAGTCCCGCGAGGACCTGGTATCCGAACCACTCGCGCATGGGCGTGTCGAGGTCAAAGGTCGTGATCATGCCGGAGCCGACTGCAAAAAGGACCAGGGATGGCAGGATGATGGCGCTGTAGTAGCCGATGGTGGAGATCAGAGCACCGCTGACGATGGACGCGACGACGGTAGCGAGGAGGAGGGGCAGGATCTTGATGCCGGCTTGGACGGCGCTGACACCTTGAATTGCCTGGAAGTAGAGGGCTGCGATCTGTTAGCACGCTGACTTCCGAATCCGAATCTGCTATTGGAAGCAGAAGCAGGGGTATTAGTCTGAGAAGCACTTACAGAGATAGTAGAGGAGCGGGAAGAAAGCAGCACCAAAGAAGCAGGCAAACAGCATGGCGCAAACGACGTCGCGGTTCTTGAAGAGCTTGGGAGGAAGCGTTCCCTTGTCGCCCTGCCACAGCTGAATGCCAATGAAGACGATAATCATGAGCGCGAACCCGACAAACAGTCCAATAATCTTGGCGCTGTTCCAGGGGTATTCGGCGCCACCCCACTGTAGAGCGAGAATGAGGCAGACGATGGCGGGCAGGAAGATGGCCGTTCCAATGAGGTCGAGCTGTAGGATGCGCTGCATGAGACTCTCCCCACTGGGGTTGTTCTTCCTGCTGATGGTGAGGAGGAAGAAGATGAAGGCCATGGCGATGCCGCCGATAGGGAGGTTGATGTAGAAACACCACCGCCAGGTCGCCTTCTCGGTGAAGACACCACCCAGCAGAGGCCCAGCGACGGATGCAACACCCCACATGCCCCCAATAAGACCGAATGCCAGGGGTCGTTTCTCGAGAGGCATCGTGTAGCTGAGGATAACGATGGAGCCGGAGAACAGACCCGCGGTACCAATGCCAGCAATGGCGCGGCCGACGATGAAGGCGGTGGAGGTCGGCGCAAGAGCGCAAACGAGGGAACCGATTTCAAAGATGGCGATGGCGGTGAGGTAGGCGTATTTGATGCTGAAGAGCTTGTAGATTGTGCCGTACATGGGCTGCAGGGCCGTCGTCGTCAGGAGGTAGGAGGCGCCATACCAGCCGATATCCTTGACGCTGCCGTACTCTGCTGTGATTGTGCCGAGTGCCGGGGCGATGATGGTCTGGTCGAGGGCGACGAGGAAGACGGCGAGGCAGAGGGAGATGAGGATGAGGACGACTTTCAGGCCGGATGGGTAGACGACGTCGTCGTCGCCGGATGTGTGCGAGGGGTCCTGCTTGTCGTAGGTCTCGGCCATATTGGGGTCATCGTGAACGTTGTGTTTCTCGGTGGAAATGGAGGGATCGGCTGAGGTGGTGTCGCCGAGCTTCTCGTCGGGGTGTCTGGAACCCATGGTGATGGTGTAATGTGTCCTGGGTTGGAGGATGGGACGAGGCGGGTTGTGATGTGAAACTTTTGTTGTTGATTTTGCTCCAAGGGAGACTTCACTTATACGCTAGTCGGTAGTTTGTAGCTGGTGAGCAGAGGTCGGGAAGACGTCGATATTAATCTTTCAAAAACCTGAGGGTGTGGAAAGGAAAAAAGGAAGGACCCTGGATGATATTAAAGAGGCAAAAGGCACATGTGACAGGAAAGGTGTGTGGCAGGCAGGGCAGGTTATGTATCCATCCGATGAGGCGGTCCCAGGTCCAGCTCGCGCTCGCGCTTGCGGCCCAGAGTGCTCCTAGAGAGCTCCTGAATTACATCTGAGATCGTGAAATTTCCAAGCTGCAGCATCCCATCGGGTAACACTGCACCATCGCAGACCCCAACCCGATTTGAACACTCGTAAGCCACAGGGATGGCCCAGGCAGAACGCCCAAGCTCTCCCCTGGTCCACGCCTACCAAGACAGTAGCATCTTTCTTTGTGTGTGGGTATCCGTACCCCGTACCCAAGTAGCGCAGGTAAGAATAAACCAGGTAAGAAACTTGGCGTGAGCTTGTCTGCGTTTGAGTGGGTGGGATGGAGTTTGGACAGAGAGGGGGGAATTGGGGAAACGAGTCACTCGGTCTAGACACGCTGCAAACTGTGGTCCACGGGTCATCAAAATTGGCAAAAAGAAAGAAAATGTCCGAGGAGGAACGCCCTTCGTCGCCATAGTTACGTGAGCTTCAGTCGCGTGTGTGTCAGTGCCGGAGGGAGGGCGGAGGGATATCGGGCCAGGGGCAGGGGTCACTCCGAGCACAAAGTCCTCTTTCCACAGTAGTGCGAGGTAGTAGTATCCTCTCTACCTTATTTTACGGTTTACGACGGCTGCAGTAGACTCCATGTGGCAGTGGATCAAGAGTGTAATGGATCTAGAGGCCGGAAAATCCAGAGGAATTCCAGGCAATCGGTCGGCCCATCTCGGTGGTCGGAGGGAAAACATGTCCGACTCACGCGGGGTGGGTCATTGACCACATTCGCTGCCGGTGATTGGTTGAACCGAGCGCCCGCACCTTCGGCCCTCGCACTTTGATTTCATAATCCAAAAGCCTCTTTTTGGATTTACGACGTCAAGACTCTAGGCGTGAATCCAGTATCGCTCAGACTCCTGTTCATCTCCCGTCAGCTTGGGGCGCTAGCGGGCGCCGACTTTGGCCGCAGACACCTGGCTGTGGCTCAATTCATTCTTCCATTTATTCTGCCAGAGAATCTTGAGAGTCCAAAGGCTCCGAGGCTCACGGCGATCCTTGCACTTGCAGCTGCTTTACACAAGTGCCAAAGTTGACTCACACCGTGCGTTCGGCCGATGAATCGCTTGCGGCTCATAATCTGTCCGACCGCCGCGCCTTTGATGATTCACAAATGGCACTTTGGTTGGCCGTGGGGCCGGACGGACGTGGGTTTCCATCCTTCGTGGAACCGGACTCGACCAGGGCAAGCCGTGAGGTAACAGAATGCTCCGAGACTTTGGTCCCTTTTGGTGTGTAAGTTGCATTACCTGACGCTTTCAACGCCGTTGCAAGTTGAGGGAAGGGACGGGACACGGCGACGGGAGGGGCCGTTCAGACGGCCGGCCCCCACATGCCGTATGAGGTTATTCGGAAATCCCGAACGCGGCAAACCATTAGGTACTCACTTTGAGTTTTCTCACAAATCTTAACCAGATTGAAATGTCTTTGTGGTTTCTTCAGGACTCTAGGTCTCACTAGTATGTAAGTTGTTATACAACGCCTTAATGCGGTTATAGGATAGAGCCAAGTAGGTGAAAAAAGAGGATGCCGGTTAATAAAAGATTATCATCAATACCTTACTAGTCTTCTTGTAGAGTATTCTTTAAAGCATATGCAAGAAATCAAAAGAAGCAATAGAAACAATGAGAGTAAAAAATTTAGTAAAAACAATAAGAATAATATAAATAATAAGAGTAACAGGATAGGTGGGAATAACAAGACTAGAGCTAGAATATAGAGCGGGAGCCCAAGTGGCGTAAAATCGATTGCACATGGGCCACAAAAGGCATCATTCCCTGGTGCAAGGCAACCTCCACTCATTCCTCAACCAATTTCTCCATCACAGATCTTTCCCTACTAAGACCAGTATCCCGCGCTCACTATTACAACAGTTTGCACCGCGACCGGTATTTTGTGACCGCTCCTATGCACAAAAAAGAAGAAGAAAAAAAGAAGAGCTCGGCAAGTCAATCAATCACCTTTATAAATTCAACCGGCATCCACTACGCTGTGTAGCCAGTTGCTAAAAAGACCCAGTCTCTCGCGTCCTCCAACACCTTCATTGCCCGTGGATCAAGTCATACGCTCGCAAGGTCAAGGCCGAAGGCAAAGATCCACTGGATCGCCAAGTAGATTCTCAAACCGCCGAAGCAGCTTCCCAAGCAGATCATCTCCCATGAGATCTCTAAGCTCGATTCGGGCACGCACCTGGCCCTTTAGAAGAAGTACACTGAGGCATATTCCAGCCTCGTCGTGACGAGAATGCCGAAGCTTACGTTCTCGAAAAAGGAATTCACGGAGCTCGTCGACTGTAACAAAATCGACTAGGAGAAAGCTCCTGAGCTTCGTCATGGCGATGTGGGCCGTTATGATGTGTTTCCCGGACGTCTACAAGGAGTGGGAGGGTATTAAGAACGCGCCAGCTCTACCCAAATCGACCGACACTTTTCGTGGGGATATTCTTACGAGGACTGGACCAGAGCATACCCCACCGTGTCGATGTTCTCATATCACCGCTGCACCCATGAACCCATGTCATGGGACAAACGGAAGGTCATGGCCACGCAAGGCGTCTGTCTCTCTGGGACGGCTACTACAACGCAGAAGAGGCCACGGTGGAAGATTCTAAAGTGATCACCAACGCCCGCGAGATGGTGCTGGCATCACACAGTCTAAGGGAACTCGTCGTTCGGTTGCATTACGATTCCGATCAAGAACCCCGATCAGGACACCGAGGAAAAGACCATACGTAAGGTTCCAGAACGAGCTGGAGCAAATTGGTATGTAGGACGAGCTGGACTAATACAACAAGGTCTACTCGCCAACGCTCACCGATACCGAAGCAGAGACCCTCCGCCGGTCCATCCGGACCGACCAGCAGCATCTGATTCTCAAGATGTTCCGGCCAAAGGGCACAGCGCTTCAGATGGACAAGCTCACGGACGCCGAAGTCAAAGTCATCTTGGGTTTCACGGAGAACATTGCCAATGAGGAAGAGTATGAACGCGTTGGCAGCAGAACGCAACGCACCGGCCTACAATGTCGCCGAAGTGCACAATCCTAGCAGCGTCCTGGAAGTTGATCCCGACACCGCGGGGCTCGCGGAGTCCCGCTGCCTCATGGGCGATTATCTTCCCCAAGATACCGACTTGGTACGGATCATGTCGGGTTTTCTGGTCGCCCTCAAGGGAGCGACATTGGACAATTGCCCTATCCTACCTTATCAATATCATCGGCAAGTCTGTTGTTTAGCGCCGTTTGAGTCTTATGACAACCCTTTTTTGTCGCTTCTAGAAAATTTAAACGGCACTACTTCCTCTACGGTTCGCCTTGTGCACTTTGACACGGAGCCGTTTGTAGCGAGCGTCGAGAGTGGAAGAGAGAAAAGAAGAGAATGCTGCAAGATAGTTTTGTCGGTCGCGATGGCTGAGCCGTGTCGTTCGGGATTTCCGAATAACTACAACCTCTCTGTATCTCTCAGTATAAGGAAGACGTTCTCTCCTTCTCCTTATCCCGACGTCTTACTGCGGTTCGACATGTGGACACCCATTCTAAATGAACAGTGACCCTGCTAACCCGACAACCATCGCTGATACTTTCTCTACTACATGGGAAATCAGTCTCTTGATACCTTGAGCAATGGAAAAATTCACAAGTGTAGTGATCGACCTTGTATTGTGAGCAGATGTCAAGCTCCCTTTCACAATACCTGCTGCGCCGCCACCTAGCCATCATACCTAGACTCAGACCACATTGTCGACCTTGAGTATCTCGCCACCAAGTGAAATGTTTTCGGCCAAACCCTTGGATGATATTAACGGAATAAACAAGACTGACTTGGAGCTTAGCTCTGAGCCTTACTCTTTCTACCATACATATGAGGTAACACAAGGCGAAGTCTTCTCAAACACAATATTCACACACAACACCAACCACACGGCATATTCTACAACATGTCCCCGATTATCGTGATAATAGCCGCCTCCGAAGCGAGGCGCGCAAATCAAAACCGATTACTCGAGGAAGAGCGTCGTCTTCGTAAGAAGATCCCTGCTGAAAAGGCCGCGGCTGACTCCCTGGTGCCCGCATACCCGTCAGATACACAGAGCATCGTCAACCCGTGTCGGGAAACACTTCAATAATCAGCCTGGGCATGGTCTCGACGATTCATCGACGCTTTCCCATTTCGAACAGAGAACAAAAATGCACAAGGCCTCGATCGAGCCATGCCGACCGAGTTGCTCCTCGCCATATCCGGTTATCTCACCATGGTCGACCGCGCAGTCCTATCTCTGACAAGCAGAAGGATGTGGGCCATTTTCGAAAAGGATAACTTTCTACTGAGCCTACCGTCTCCTAAGAAGATTGAGCTACCGACGTTGCTGGAGAGGGACGCCAACGAGCACAAAAATGGCAACGTACTCTGCAGGCCCTGTCAGATCTTCCACGACCCTCACCTGACCTCGCGCAGCATTATCCGCGCCAACAACAGGGACTATAATCGTCCGTGTCTTCAGGAACCCGCAAATTCACATCAGAGATTGGTATCTCCCTATCTCCACGATGCCTTTCCGTTCAACTCATTCAAGCACGCCCAGGCTTGCAGACGTTCTGTAGAGAACCCTTATGATGCCAATCAATTGTATCTGGTCAAGTTACCCACTTTGTATCGCCACGACAATGAAAAGGCAAGGGCTGAACAAACCATGACGTGCCGTGTTTCGAAAGAAGGCGAACTGCTCGTCAAGACCGTTACAGACCTTTTCGCGGCCAAGGGTGACATTCCTTACCTTTATCAAGTGCTAGAACGGACCAACCTCACAAGATGCTGCGGGCATGTGGACTGGGAAGCGACTTATCCATTCATGTTCGAGCATAATATGCAGTATCCTACCGACCCTGATGAGTACGCGAGATGCGGCCAACCTTTGGCACGCGATGATCTGAGAAGGATACACGATGTCTGGAATCCGGCAGTGGAGCCACAGCACTCATTGGGTAACGAGAGGATGAATGCCCGTGCCTTTTGTTACACCAACTACACACACGTACGAATGGAGAGACATAGATGGAAGCCGGATTGTCCGACTCATCTCATACAAAAACCTCGGAAAGGGAGAGGATGTGAACGATATGAAGTGGGCCTCTCATTTCAAATATAGAGGCTATATAGAGGAGGACTTCATTCGTAGGGACTGGTGGGAAGGGTTTGATTCAAGATATGCTTGGGATGAACCGGACGAGAGTGAGAGAAAGGCAGAGACGTGGAGAGACTGTTTGTGACTTCTTGCCGCGATCTCCTCATAAGGGCAGCGGGAAGATGTAGCTACCCAGGAGGAGATTGTCCTAGTTTTGATAGGGCTCAATGGTTCTCTTATCATGATAACCAAATACCAAAAAAGGTCCAAAATGGCAAAAGAGTTCACCCCCCCGGTGCTGAACTGGGGGCTACATCTCTGGTGCTCATGCCGGGAAATTTTGGTGTTCATGCTGGGATTCGAACTCGGGTATGCGCTGAGCCTGTCGTCGAGTAGGCTGGTTGGCGATTTGATTGTTGACCATAAACCACTCCACCATCCAGCCAGTTTGACCTGACCCGTCGACCTAGACGGGCGCCTGCTGGCTGGTGACAGGGATGGGGTTGAGGGCGTATATGAAAGCTTGTTGTGTGACTATTCGGGTTGTGTATTCGGGTGGCGGAAAACTGGATGATTCAGGGGAGGGGCCCCGTGTTAAGACTCTGAGGGAAAGTACCTCATCGTGGGCCGCTTCCTCAGTATGTTGAGCCACACATACCAAGGGATCAGGTGTTAGTTCTGCACCTGATACCGCTCATCAGCAGGTGCATGACCAGATTATCTGATCTGCCATGATAATACTGTCCATAAACCCACAGTACCTTCTTTGTTTACTCACAATGCAGTAAATAGCATCATAATTCCTAGGTATAGTACTTTCTTCCTATTGCGTTGTTGTGACTTTTCACCTCCTTCAAGTGTTCCTGCTCTCAAAACCAGCTTTCCTCTGTGGACCAAGGTAGATGAATTAGGAAGTCTCCCAGGTGTACCTTGCCTTCCGCCTTCGTGACACCTGCCTCTGCGGCATCGGATCAACAGTTCTTTCCGACCGTGTCCGTCACGACACGCATCCACCGCTATCAAGAGTTGCGACCGCCTAGAACTCTCCTTTTTGTCCTTTGATTTCCTGTCGTGTTCTCCTGTCTGTTGTCTTGCAAGTTTCTACGGTTTTTGGCAAGATGCACTCAAGTTTTCAGAATGAGAGTTCGTCCTCATATTACCCTAGGTTCTTGATTGGGAAGTCTGCTACGCGGTCGTGCCCTCTTCCTTCCTCTCTACATTGGATATGACTCCCTCCTGACAAGGTAAGTACGATGCCTCATTGTTCCAAGTAGGCAAGAGGTATCCGGACTCATCTCAACAACAGCCAGTCTACAAGAACCCCAGTATGCCCCGCGTTGTGTCAACAGAATCTCTTCTCTGCAAGCCAGCAACCACTCCAAAAGCTAATTCTAATTCTCGTTTTTGACGTCTTCTATCCTATTCCACAAACAGTCCGTCACATCTTCCAACAGGAATATACAACAATCACAATGGCAGGACAGGAGCAGCCGTTGTTGCCCACCCATTATAAGAGGACCTATTCGCCGCCCGGGCCAACCAGACCCTCCCCTCCCAGAAGGCCCTTTCTACCGCCTTCAATCTCCTCCCCACGGCCGCCCTCGGTCCAGGTATTGCTTGATGTCATTGTTTGAGCTGTGGGAGGTGTGAACTTGGCTCTTTTTTCTCTCTTTTTTTTTTTCTTCGGTAAGTAGTGTTCATCGTTGGGCGTGGGTTTGGGGTTTTCTTCGTTTGCCTGGTTTGGGTACGACCAGGGGGAAAAGGCCTACAATAACAAGAATATTGATTGATTGATCTAAATACGTTGATATGTGTCTTTTGTAATGAGAAAGAAGCAGGAGTTGGACATGACCCATGAATTCCTTCCAAAATGTGTGTAAATCAAAGGGTCGTTGGGGTGGTGGGCTCTGATTGGCTCAGGCCATTCCGCGCCCTTTCTCTCAGCAGAGATGAGGATACCTACCTCAGACACCTTGCGACGAAGTCTCCCCAAAGACAAGATCAGCGCGCGTACCTAGGATAATCTGATCAGAATTTGTGAGGATACTTTGGCGAGTGCTTGATAATTCGTCGTGGTTGTGACAATAGTACTAATAAAGGTAGATATAGAAACTTAGGATGTGTCGAGCAGATTTTTCTGTCACTCATCTGTCAATCATCTGCCACCATTCTGACGAGTTGCTTGATCGCTGAATAGCGTCTTTCACGTCTGAGCCAGGCGTCGGGAAAAGGTTGCTGTCCTCTTTCTGCCTTGAAACATGACCCTACCAAGTATATTCCACCTCGGCTGAAAGGTGATAGGCCCTGAAGTGTGACCAGACACACAAGCGGCTCATCGCCCATCAAACACCCGACCATCACAAAGTCGACGGAACCTAGGGCTGACAGAAGTGAGCAAAGACCAAGGTCTCTACTATTTTAAGCATTTCGTCCCCCGCGGCGTTTCGGTTCGGGACTGGTGTGGGGAAGTGCAGGCGGGAGCCAGAGAACACCTGTTTGAGTGAGTGGTTGAGTGGGTGAATGACGGGAATGTGTGTGAACGAGAATGAGAATGGGAATGGAAATGGAAATGCCGTTGTGGATCGACGAAACAAATGGGCAGTGCTTGAAGTAAAACGGCAAGGTACCGACTGCACCAAAATTGGGTGCGATGATACCTCCGATTCCCCAGCAAGGGGAGGCCTGCAAATGAGCCTCGGACGCTTCAACACGGTTCGCTGTTCATGGCGCCTATTCAATCTCCAACCCTGGCCGCATCCAACCGGAAAGGTTATCCTACGGTATCCGTACCTCAGGTAGTGTACGAGGTGGTAAGGTACTTTAACCTCTCCAAAACTCCAACGTCTGCCCGCCTGCCCGCTGCCGCTGCACTGCCCGCCTACCCGCGTTCGCCAACCAAACTCCAATTCAACCTCGACCCATCTGCAACAACCTTGAGAGGTGGCTGCTTGAACTATCACTACTACACCAGTCTCCGTTTCGTCGACATCAAACATACAAAGAGCGCTTCAAATGGTCTTGCGACATCTAACAATGCCATTTGCAACCCCGCATGTTACAGCCAATATCTCAATGACATCGCCAAAGCCTTAATCGCGATCCCCGCCAGAACCAGCCCCCAAACGACGACTGGACCCAAACCACCTGGTCCACTACCCACTATTTACGTTATCGAACTTGCAGCGTCACTTATACTACAATAAATCCCAGATCGGTCCGTGAATCCGGCTCTCTCGACTACCTCGACAGTTGTAAACCTCGCTGCCGCCCGCCATGGATAGAACCATGGATCTGAGGGATATGGACTTTGAGTCTGCCATCGTGGACGACGATAAGGACGCCGACATCCCCGTAAACGCCCTCAATACTCCACAGCGCCTGGGCCGCTCGCCCTTGTCCAAGACGCGCTCCATGTCTGACGGAGGAGGAACTCCTTCCAAGCTCACTCCTTCACCGCACATTGCGGATGGTCGCCAGGCATCCAAGGACGATAACCACATCAGAGACACGGCCACCACGCCCGTAACCCCTCACCGAACTGAATTTCCCCTCCGCGGCCTTTCGCTGCAGATGCCCGCCAACCGCGACCCTGCCTCCCCTGCATCCAACTCGTCCACCGCATTTACGAAGCCCGCGCCGCTATCACCGAAGCTTGACCACTCGCAGATCTATGCGAGCCCGACAAATATCCTACCCCGTCGCTCCCGCGGCCTCGACTTCTCACGCGCTGCCACCAGCCTGCACCACTCAACACTCGCCGAGTCCTCGCCCGACTCCTCGCCTACAATCGGAGGAAGGGGCATGAACATTCCGGGACGCAGGAGCAACGACTACGGACAGGCCGAGCAGACCACCAACTCGTTGTGGTCCATGATGGGCAACCACGAGCGCATGACGGTGTCGAGCTCCTTGGGCAGCGCGAATCAGATTGGGTCAGATTCTTCTTCCGACTCCGACGACGATGATCTTATGGATGAGGATATGGACGAACCATACATAGGTACACCACAAGCCAACAAAACCGCCGCGCCCTTGGGTACACAACCTATGATGGCGCCCTGGGGAGGCTCTCCGGCAATGAACAGTCTGATGAGCTTCCAGCATAGGCAGCGCCAAAGGAAACAGCCCAAAAAGAAACACAAATTGCCACTGGGTCTAGGATTCAGTCCCAGCACAAATGCCGGTGTCTCAAAGTCGCCGCCAAACAACGTGCCCAAGGATATGTCTGCGCATTCGCGGAGGGAGAGCATCAGCTGGCAGGCCAATCAGTTACATATCTCTGGGAGCGAGGAGGAGCGAGGTGATAACATCGACGGACTACTCTCGACTCCCAGTCGCGATGGGCAGCGCCCTACAGTCATGCGACGGGTGGTCACGCAGCGTAGAAACCTACTACCCAAGACGAAGAACTTTGCTCGTATCAGGGCGGCATTATTCGAGGAAGGTGCGCCAGTTGAGACGGAAACCCAAAGAGAGGCCGAAGTCGTCCGTCAAGTGCGAGAGAGCGACGTCGATCTCGGAGCACCTCGTCAACAGACTGCTCCTCCCGCTACTACCCACTCGTCGCCGAACCTAGGGAACCAAGATCAGTCCCTGGATGACATACCGGAAAGCATGATCACCGACTCGGCCCTTCATCTCTCGGGCAGTTTTAAGCAGCAAGCCTTGAAGAACTCAAAGGGCACCAAGTTCTGGGATACCTTTTCCGAGTCTAGCAGTATCGGCGGCGCTCGCACAACACCGCCGCCGCCTAATGGAGGACTTCCTCGCGGCTCATCGTCAGGAATGAGCGAAGATATTTGCATGGATTCTCCGTCACTCGGCCCTACGGCCGGCTTCGCTATGGCCGCAAGCAGCGGGGAGTCCCAAAAGGGGGACACTCCTCTCCTCGCGCAGGGCCCGCAACCGGCACCCAGTGCGGCAGAAATCACACGGCGAATCAACAGCAAACGCCGGCGGGAGGACGACTACGACCCCGTCAGCCTCAAGCGCCGGGCCGTAAGTCCAGGCATGAGCGTGCACAACTCGCCCATCATGCAGAGCCCCATGCAACGCGACGTGGCGCCGTGGGGGTCGCGGCCCGGAAGCAACAGCGGCGACAGGGGCGGCAGTGGCGGCAGTGGCGCGCCGAGCGAGTCGGGTAGCCTTGGAGGCGGCACGCCCGGCGGCGGCGCCAACGCCAACGGGCGGGTGATGAACGGGAACAAAGGACGCGTTGGGTTTCAGGGCATGGTTGATACCAACGACGGTCTGATGCGTATGAGCATCGAGTGATATTCTCGGGGTGTGTCTTTGCGAGAAGAGGTATTGGCGCAGTCTGCATTTCTTGGGCGTTGGGATAGGACAGTTTGCGTGGAAACAAAACACTGGAGAGAATGGGCGGGTTATCAAGGCGAACGAACGTTGGGAGGTCATGCACCAGGAGCAAGGAGCTAATCAGTATATCCCATAGAGACCGAGCTTCGGCACCACACGCACACAAGCACCATATGCTACTTGCCAATGAAATAGAAATCCTTAATGAGCAAGATATCTGTACATGCCAGAGTGATTACGAAGATGAATGGTTAGTGAATTCTCGGCCGGTGGTATCTTCCCTCGAAACGCCCGTGTACGCCTGTGATGCTTCCCGCCCTTTCGTCCCCTGCTGATAATTCGATGTGGAAATTCCATGCAACCTCAACTCATCCTTCCAGATTTCAGAGCCCCTATTCGTACAGCGTCCCCGTCGTTTCCTACCCGAGACAAAAAGAAGCCAAAATGTCGACACAATAGCTTCATTCCACACCAACACCCTCCTCGGGAACCCGCAAGCTCCCAAGCTTATCATCCAACCACCTCGCCAGCTCCTCCGCGTGCCGCCGCAGAACCACGACACCCGCGGTGTTTACGCTCCCGACGCTGGCGAGGGACGTCGTCGTCTGCGCGCCAAGGCTGAGGATACTGTCTGCTTCCGAGGGGGACGCGGGGATCTGGGAGGGTGTGCCTGTGCCCGCGCCGCCGTTTGCATTCGCGTTCGCGTGGAAGTGGTGATGTTGGTCGGTAGAAGAAGAAGGTTGTTGAGCTTCCATGTTCTCGGCAAGGGGCCCGATACAGACAAACAGCAATCCGCACTTTAGTCTCCGGATGACGACGACACCGGCGGCGAGTTGGACTGTTATCGTGAGGGGCTTCCCACCTGCTCCTGCTCCCCCGATTCCTCCATATGCTCCATCTTCTGTAGCTGTGTTTGCGGTAGCAGCACCCGCCGACGACGGCGGCGACGAAGACGAAGAGGGAAGCGCGTCGGGGATGTCGGGCGTCGCGGAGGCGTGGAGGGCAAAGAGGGAGGAGGCGACGGTGGACTGGGTGCGGAGGAGGGAGACGGGCTGCGGGGAGGCGTGGGCGAGGAGGCGGCCTGAGGGGGTCGCGAGGAGGGCTGTGTGGAGGTTGGTGTTTAGGTTTGAGGCGAGGAAGGAGGTTAGGCGTTTTGTGAGGAGGAGGGGCGTTGGTTGGTTTAGGGACATGTTGTTTGTTTGTGTCGTGGGTGTGAGGTTGAGGGGGGGTTTGAGAGGTTGTGGTTGTGAGGTTGTGAGGTTGAAGTGAGGTTGTAGATATCGCGGTCCCGGTGTTCGGGAGGAGGTGTAGTCCGACGTGGGTTGCTTCGTGTGGATTTTGGCGGGATGTTTTGCGTCGTTTGGGAGAGCGCGTTGTCCAACGTCACGACTGCTGAACGTGGTCGGTGTCGAAGCTTGAAGCTGAGCAAGGGGCGTGTCGGGCAAAGAGGTGCAGATGATGGTGGTTGAGGTTCAGTTTGTGATCCACCCGGTGGACAAGTTGGCCAGGCTGGAACTCGGAGCTTGTTCTTGTGCTCTGTGCTCGAGGTCGCGCGCCAAGTAAAATTTGGGGAGCACCTGGTGGAGGTGGGGCTTGTCAAACGTCTGAAGGGTACGTACCGGCCACGGTCTGAATGTCACGCAGGGAATTTGTGTGCTTACTACGTAGTGCTCGGCATCTACTGCAGCTAAGGCAAGGTAATTACCATGACAGCTCTACATGATTCAGTCGTGTGATTCATGGGTGACTTGGATGAACTATGATGGGACAAGTGCGAACTTCCTCACTCAACCAGCCTGAGAATATCCTGCTCCTTCATGCGTTGAAATCATGACATCAGCTCATAGGAGCACACTCTCGAGGCCAGGTAGGTGATATATCCCCCCTCTAGACATGGCCAACACAACCCAAACGCAAGTTCGCCCACAAGAGACTACTGCTAGTCCTTGATCTCATCACCAACCTTGTTCAACACCATGAACCGGTACCCAAGATCATCCAACACATCAACATACTCCCTCCCCTCCTCCGTCCCACACCTCCACTCCTTATACAATCTCTCCATCTCATCCGCCAACCCCTTGGTCTCCACCGCCGGCGTCTCGAGGTCATACTCCAACAACATCCGCACCGCAAGCTTCAGGTTCTGCGAGTACCCCAACCGATGCAGCACCTCGTCAACATGAACATCCGCAGCGGCCCCACCGCATGCCGGACCGGAACCCGGTGGGCCTGACCCCGTCCCAGATCCGGAGGACACAACGCACCGACAACCCGGGAAATTCTCGTGCAAGCACCCGCGGCTGCCCTTGTGCGTCTCGGTATCGTAGACGCAGCCCATCTTCGTGCACCGCCGGATATGGATGCACTGGCACGTCTGGCACCCGTCGAGGCTGGGCAGGAACCGGCCGGTCATCATGCGGAAGAGGACGGCGCCGAGGGCCCAGTGTTCGTCGCTGAGCGTGTAGAGGCGTCTGTTCTGTAGACCCGATATCAGTCAAGCTGCCATGTGGGTATGCAGAGTTGTTCGGAGTCAACTCACCTTCCTCCCCGTATTCAAATACTCCTTCCACTGCCCCCTCATCTCCGTCAACCGCATATGCCCCGTCTTCGGCGCAACCGGAAACCCATCACTGTGCGGAAGCGGCTCCTCCCTCTCCTGCGCCCCCTCCCGCCGCGCCGGAACCCCCGATACGAACGCCGTGCCAAACTTGCCCAGCTTACACACACCGTAGGTCTCCTTCCCCCGCGAGTGCTGGAAGAAAATGGACTGCGCATCGATACCGCGGTGCAAGATGGGCATCCACTCCGTATCCGTCTGCGCCCACGACTTCTCCCCCGTAGTCCAGTCCACCTCCTGCCGATACCCATCATGCAGCCAAACAAGCGTGCGCATCACAGAGGTAAGAACGTGCCAGCAGAGCGACTCGGGCAGGAAACACCCCGGCTCGTGCTCCGCCTGCCGGTGGTCCGCAAAGAGAATCTCAAGCGTGCCGGCGTCGCAGATATCCCAGACCAAGTAATCCTCCGTGGCCTGCTGTTGGGAGCGCGGGTCGACGGGTTGTTGGCGGAGGTATCCCGCGAGGGAGATGAGGTTCTCGTGGTTGAGGATGTGGGAGACGGTGCGGCCCATGTTGTGCGTGTAGAGGAGGTCCATGAGGCCCTTGATCTGGCGCTGTTTCGTGGTGGTGAAGCTCATGGAGTATTTCCCGGCGTCGTAGTATGCGTCAAAGTCATCTACTTTGCGCGCGATGAATTCTTCGCCGTCGGCGTAGCCTGCGTGCTGGGCATTGCGGCGGGTGATCCAGATGTTCTTTTCGACTTGCTTGATGAGTTGGAATGGTGGCTGCGGGTGGTCTGGGTCCGCCTTTTCGGCTGTTGAGGTTGACATGTTGGACCTTGGGTATCAGAATCAAAATGAGACGTCACTTGATGGGCATGGAGATAGCAGGGTCATGGCGAACAACTATTGACATTTTTGAGAAAAGGTGATGCTGTCGTCTTTGTAGGTCGCTCTGGTACAGCATCGTCGTTTGCTTGTCAGATTGCATTTTCTGGAAAGGAATCATGATCACGGTCGAAACAAAGAATGGCCCTATGGCCATTGTGCTCTGTGATTCAACGGTTGCCGCCTTGGCATGCCGGAAAGGGTTATAGAGTACGCCACTTGGCTAACGAATGTGATGAGCGTTGGTGTTTAAGACAATCTTTAGGATCAACCTCACAACGGTGTAAGTTGCTGCAAATTGAGAATAGACGCCAGCCATAGAGACCTCTCGCCGTCTAGCGTATGAGTGATAATCATTAGGTAGGCGGGCATCACGAAAGATTCAAAACGAATGTCCTGTATCCCGCCGGTCGAAACGTCTGTACAATCGTTCGCCAAGGCAAACGAAGCAGCAGGCTGGGCCAAACGGGAACCAACATATGCGAGGAAACATTTTTAGTCGTTCGCGCTGAAGCCGCATCCTCTGGTGACACAGGGCGTTTACCGATACGGCCCTTGGAATTCCTGGTGCAGGCTGGTAGCACGACTTCTGAACCCACCGTCATTTCTTTGTCGGCCTGTCGCATTCAAATTAGAATGGCGATAAAGATAGCCGAATGGCCGGGGTAATCCACGTGCATCCAGCACCCACCCCGCCGAGCAAATTGGTCGTGGAGAAGCGAAATGCTGCGTCTTCCGGATGTGGGAGGCGATCAAATTGGACTGAGCCCTTTTTGGGTCGTGTTGGCCAAGACCTGCCGTCTGATCCGGGGGCGTTTGTCGACACATCCCTTGAAGTTGTTTCCGGAGGCTGGTGCTGGTAGGCTGTATGTAGGCTGTAGGTCCCCTCATGAGGTTCGGGCTATGCTTTGGGAGGGAGCTGTAAGGAGGCAAAGGCACTCGTCGTAGTGTGGCACTGTAGACTCGGCGTCACTCTGTACTGTCTGCCATCCACCCTGCGTTCGGCCGAACCGTCGAATGACATAAATGGAGGGACAATCAATGCGAAAGAGGGTGCACTGGCCATGTAGGAGGTAGAAGAAGCAGCAGAGGGTGAGAAGTAACCCCGGGGTCGTGTATCCGCGAGCTTGCCGTCATGCATACCGTTGTATGGGCCAGGGCAAGGCGTTTCAGCGAGACTGCTCCGGGCAAAGCTGAGCAGAGTTGAGACGGGATGCCCGTGTTGAAAGGCTGAATATCCATTCTGGCTGCGACGACAGTGGACAGCCGGCGTCGTTGTGAGTATAGGTTTGGTTCTGGAATAATTGTTTGCCATTTGTCGGATACCCGAATGTTGGGCCTAGCAGAGTCAGTTTGACGGAGTAATGACTTGTAAGTTGTAAGCCACATTCGGTTGGGGCCGAGGAGAGGCCTCGTGGTCGGCCTCATCTCCACGGCGCCGGCGCGGCTCTACTGCACAGTCACGTTGGAAAGCTGACGTTGCCGTGTGCGGGAGTGGTTAGCGATAAGTCCACGATCCTCCAGGCTTTCAGGACGGTCGAAACAACGCGACCAAAGTCGACCACAGTTGGAAGAATACAGCTTCCCGATGGTTTCCCGCCGCTTCGAGAGGCGCAGGACTTGGATTGATGGTTGGATGGGTGAAGCGGGCGCGTCCGAGCCGCGGCTGTAAAGATGAGGCCGCGAACTATGTGGCCATGCCGCCATGGTCAATCTCGAACCAGTGCCTGTCTCGAACAGAGCGACTGGCAGGCCTGGTGCGGGACGATGTCTTCCATGGGTTGGACGCAGGAGAAGATGCACAACATGAGAGGCTGATGAGGCACAGAGGACGCAGTACGGAGTAAGGTAGTGGGTAGGTACCTAGAGGCAGGTACCTAGACCGTAGGGACAGGAGAGGAGGAAGAAGGCCGACGGCGATGGAACCCTAGGTACCTCGAGTACGTACCGCTGTACACGGTAAGAGACAATGGGAGAAGTGGGGTCCTTATCAAGGGCTATAATTGAGTTGAGCCAATCAATTCCCCAGGTGGTCACGGGAAATGGGACCTCAAACGCTCTGTTGGTGCACTAATCCCAATTAGGCGATTTTGTGACATGGTACCTGCGTTAAAGGCCGCGCTTCCGTTCGCTATTGCTCCACAAGCCTCTCCTCCTCTCCTCGGACGCTGGACACTGGACGCTGGACGCTGGACGCTGGACGCTCGAAACCGCCAAACTGCCCTCGCCCGTCTTACTCTTCCACTGCCCTTGCCTTGCATCTCTGCGACTTTACGGTACAGACACAAGGGCAACTGGCGGCAATCATCAATTATTGGATCATCTTACCCAAAAGGCCCCCCTTTTCTTCCCTTTTGGCACTGACCCGGTGTCTTCACCCTAGTCAGACTGTCAGACCCCCCCCCCCCTCTTGCAGATCACTCTTGAAGGCCTCCACTCCCCTCTCTCTCTCTCAGAGACTTAGACTCTCTCCCTCACTCAAGGGTCACTTGCGTCTTGTGCTCTTACACACAACCACGCCACACACGCCTTCTCAACATTCCTCCTCGAGCTTCGCGAAGCACTTCCATGGCCTCAAGAGTAAGACTCGACGTTTTCAACCGAAACATTCCGATCGTGCGAAAAATCCACGACGTCCGCTCCTTCTAGACTCGAACTTCGAATACCTACACACAATACTCACTCACTCACTCAATCACTCGCATTGCGCACTGTAACTCTCTTCGCCCTTTTCGACATCCTGAGACTCAGCCTTGCAGCCCACGGCGGCCGATCAAACGCGGATATTCACCCACAACCAGAAAACCGTCACCGCCTAACTTCAAGTGCTTGCTCGACTACGGACCTTCCTTCCCCATTCCCCGGGTCTGTCAATTCCCACCGTCGACCAGCCGACTTGGCTTTTGCTCGTTGTCGTCACGTCTCCACGAATCTTCACCAAGTCTTGATCCACCCTCAAACGCCCGGTCGCTCGACCATGCCAGCTTGACAATCGCGCGGTCCGAACTCTTGCGTCGCACATTCAGCCCTTTCCAGTCCCCTTCCTACCCTGGGACCCACATTCCGTTCCTCCCTCTCGTTCAACAACCGAATCTTCTTCCTTTACTCTTCGGCTTCGTCCCGTCTCAAGAATCGATCTTTTTCTCCTGGTCATCACCAAGAGAAACACTGTCGATTACTTCGCGGGCGAGTAACGACTTGTGTTAACGGCAGGTCCGGGTTGCGTTATCACACTCATTCACACGACAATCGGTCCCACGGCGACCATTGCACCATCAACCTTCTTCTTCTTCTTCTCCTTCTCGACTCGACTGCGTCGGGATTCATCCATACAACCTTGACAATCGTCACCCTCGCCAATTCGCCCACTCTTCAAAATGGGCTGCCTCACTCATCGCAAGAAGGTCATTGACCAACGCGCCGAGCAGAAATGGGACTACATCGTAGGTACACCTTGCAGTTTCAACATGCTCCTGGTTCTAACCTGTCTAGAACCTCAATGACTTCAAGTCTCGAGGATGCCTTACTCCGTTCGCGTACTTTTACCTCTGGCTCATGTTGATCATCTCCCTCGCCGTCTACGGCGTCGATATGTTCACTGCCATCAACCTCCTGGCTTTCGACCGCTGGTCCTCTGAAATCGACCCCGCCATCGACTTCAAGATCTCGAAATGGATCTTCTCCATTTCCATTATCGCCTCCTTCGTCAACCTCGCCTTCGAGCACTTCCGGGCGCACCGCGTTATGAAGCGAGGAAACGTAGCCGAATGCTACCTCGACACCATTGCCGTTCGCCTCGAGAGTATCCGATTCGGAAAGGGACAGGGTTGGAAGCGTTTCTTGGTCTTTGCCGAACTCACCAAGAGCAAGAAGGGAGCCGAGTACATTGCTCTGTTCACCTACTTCAGCTTTCAATGTAAGCCAATCCCTATTTCTCGTTGGGGTCTCTACTAAACTCATGCAGCCTGGATTCGTGTACTGGTCTGTTCCGGACCTCGTCAGGTCGTCAACGCATTGACTCTCAAGTCTGTCTACGACGCCAAGCTTGCCGTTCACGAAATCTCCGTCGAGGGCTCCCTGCTTGGTTTCTTTGATAAGATTAAGACCCTTGCCACGGAGGACTATCAGCAGGCTCTCATCCTGTCGGGTATGGTCTTCACCCTACTCATCTGGGTCTTCTCCGCTCTCTACCTCATCATGGCCGTCCTCTTCTACGTTTTCTTCCTCTTCCACTGGGTTCCCAAGGCCGACGGAGGTCTCTCAGGCTACTGTGAGCGCAAGGTCACCAAGGCGCTCATGAAGATTGTGACCGTCAAGGTCAACAAGGCGTTGGCGAGGCAGGAGGAAACCAAGAGAAGGTTAGAAATGAAGGCAGCCAAGAAGAATGGCGAAAAGTTGCCGCTGGAGCGACAGGCAACTCTGCCGACTCTGCCCAACGTTGGAGACCCAGACAAATTGGCCGAGATGCCCATGTTTGGCCGCAATGACACCTTTGCAACACTGCCCGCCTACGAGTCTCGTCCTGGAACCCCCAGCAGCATCGAACTCAACTCCATGGATCAAAAACGCCCGCTGCCGTCGAGAATGGGTACCACCACATCCACTGCCAGCTACTCGTCACGCGCACCTCTTGTTGGCGGCGCTGCGGACTTTGGCTATCAGCGCTCAGCTTCACCGGCTCCTTCTCTGCCACCCATGGACTTGAACAACTACCCGCCTCAGCGCCCTGGTACTTCCAACTCCCAGAGGAGCTTCCGGCCTCAGATCTCTCACGTGCAAACCAACTCGCAGAGTTCTCTCCGTGGTGGTTTCTCAGAGAGCCCCTCCACATACTCTCCTGACACGATGCCTGCCTTCCCTCCGCCTATGAGGACCAACACTGGCCGATCGGTAGAAAGCTTCAGATCGCAAAGACAAAACACCTACCAGAGTGACCGTGCCACACCGGCGCCCAGAGGCACCTACGACGACTACTCGAACCAGTCCACTGGACGGGCAAGTCCGGCGCCCTCAGCATACTCGGGCCGCGCTCCTGCACCTGTGCCCCGTGGCCCCGGCCCGCTCAACAATACCCCGTACCAAGCATACCAGCCGTTCAACCCGCAACGGAGCGCCACTGGCCCGGTTCTTCCACGAGGCCCGCCGAATGCTCCCATGCGGAACATGACGGCGCCGGTCCCTCCCCGCCCGCAGGACGACTACTTCAACCGTCCCGGCACATCACAGAGCCAGCGACCGAGCCCCCGCGGCCCGGGGTACGGCTACAACAACGATGTAGAATCCCAGAGGGACCCGCGGTACTAGGAATACCGCGCTCCTTTCTGGGGCTCATAGATTGCGTGTTTACAGGGCTATGCGGCTTCGTCCCGCTTTTCTTTTTTTCATAATGTCTTTATGATTCAAAAGGGGTGTCTACTTTTTGCGCTGGAATCAAAGCGCATCTTTCACGAAAGGCCTGTCTCGTCATTTCCTCTTCGCCTATATCTGAGCCTCTCACACTTTGCTTCCTTTGAGGATACAAAACAGTGTTGAGGGCGGGATGAAGTTGGCTACTCATCCGTCTTTTTACGACCATCCTTTCGATACCCCCCGAACTATTTCGCTTCATTCTCCGTTCGTCCATGTACTACTAGGAAACCAAGGGTCTACCGGCTACAGAAGTGCTCCAAGAGCCGCTAGAGTGGAAAACCATCACAATCCAATTGTACTTTTAGAAGCTGGAAAATAACAAAGTCTATTGATGACAATCCGATGTTCACACTTTGGGGATGTCAACTACACTTGACACTGTATCTACTAACGTCCCCGCGGCGCCAGGGCCCCTGGCAAGCTCGCAACGCCAATGCAGGCGATTAAAGTTTTGGACCCGTTTCCCCGACGTGATCGCCCCCGCCTGGTACATGAGTTTCGCCAGTGCCAAGTTATCTGCACCAGCTGCCAGCCTACGTCAAGCTGTCAGCTTTGGAATCCTCTTGGCTGATCACGACATGCGCCCTTTGGTGCTTGATTTGTCACCCGGAGATGTCAATTTCATCCTCCATAGCTTACAGATATTCAATGAAAAAAAATAATCCCACGGTAGTAGTGATGATTTCAAATGATGAGATATTTCTCTACCCTTCTCACAATCCTCACAGTTGAATGAAAAGCGTCGTGATCACCCGGGACTAACACCAATACACACCTCATATGAACAATACCCTCCTCCTAACAACCCTCCTTACCTCACAAGTCCTCACTCCCTCAACCCTCTTCCTATCCAACTCACAACAAAACACCAAAATGCCAGGAAGAACAATACCCTTCCATCAAGGCGAACTCGCTCTCCACGACCTCCTCAAAGTCCCCCGCCACCGCGGCAACCCCACCGCCGCAGGCCTCCCCCCTTCCTACGGCACCCGCATTGCCGCCGCTCCGCTCCTGGCCCTCGGCACCCTCGACGCCGAAAGCCGGCCCTGGACGACATTATGGGGCGGTGAGGCCGGGAACGTGGCTAGGCCGATTGCGGAGGATGTACTTGGTGTCAGGAGCCTGGTTGACGTTGTTGATGATCCGGTTTTCAGGGCTCTTTGGGGGGATGAAGGTGGGCAGCAGTCGCAGGAAGTCATTCAGCCTGGACAGGGCCCGGATGGAGGGAAGCTCGTCTCTGGGCTGGCTATCGACCTTACGACGCGGGATCGTGTCAAGTTTGGGGGGAGGATGGTGGCCGGGGCTGTTACTACCAAGAACGGAGACCGGAGCACATCCTCCCCCTCCTCATCGAACTCGGCGTCCTCGGAAGTTCAGATCGCGGTACACGTCGAAGAGAGTTTGGGAAACTGCCCCAAGTACCTCAACAAAAAGGACGTCATCCCGCGGGCGTCGATCGGCAAGGGCAGAGTGGAGCGGGAGTTGCCGCTGTCTGAGGAGGCTTTGGAGGTTGTGCGCGAGGCGGATATGTTTTTCCTTACGAGTGGGCACGAGTACGGCAGTGGTGGGAGCGGCAGTAGTGGTAGCAGTATGGATACGAACCACCGGGGAGGGTCGAGGGGGTTTGTGAGGGTTGCGAGGAACGATGTGGATGGTGTTGAGATTGTGTATCCCGAATGTGAGTTTACTGCCGTCTTTGAGTCATTTGGGGTGGTCACATCCGGGTCGAGATGGGGAAAAGGCTAACCATGTGGCTCCTTTTGGGGTGGTGGTTTACAGTTTCCGGTAATCGGTTATATCAGACGCTGGGGAACCTTAAACTGAACCCCTTGGTTGGGATCGCGATACCGGACTTTGAGACGTCTGGCGTCCTTTACGTGAGTATTACTTCGGCCCTGTCTCAACTCACTTTGGAAGACGAAGGCTAATAAGCATGTGCTGAAAAGCTCACGGGATCGGCATCGATACTCGTCGGAGAAGAAGCAGCAGCCTACCTCCCGCGCACGAAACTCGCCGTCAAAATCACCGTCTCGGCCGCGGTATTCGTGCAGTCCGGCTTACCCTTCTCCGGCACCCCGCAAGAGCCGTCGCCGTATAACCCGCCTGTCCGACCGCTCTTCTCCGAGCAGCAGCATGCTTTAAGCTCGTCTGGGGAGGGTGCCAGGACAGCCACCCTCCTGCGCCGCGAGATCATCACGCCGACGATTGGGCGGTTCGTCTTTCGCTTGGAGCCGGCGGCGCAGTGGGAGGCGGGACAGTATGTTACGCTTGATTTTGCGGAGGAGCTGGACGTGGGCTGGAGTCATATGCGCGACGACGAGCCGCAGAGTCTGAATGATGATTATGTGAGGACTTTTACCGTTTCGAGTTCCCCTGGCGGTAGTGGTGGGAAGGAGGTTGAGATTACGGCGAGGAGGAAGGGACCGGTTACGAATTTGTTGTGGAGGTGGAATTTGAGGGTTCCGTTGGAGGTTCCTGTGCTTGGGTTTGGGGGTGAAGAGGCGTTTAGGATGGGTAAGGGGAAGAAAGGTAGCGATGGTGATGATGTCGAAGAAGTGTTTGTTGCTGCTGGGGTTGGGATCACGCCTTTGATTGCGCAGGCTGGTGGTGTTTTGGGGGCGAGGGTGAGGATGAAGGTGTTGTGGACTGTGCGAGGGAAGGATGTCAAGTTGGTTAGGGATGTTGTTGGGAGGATTCCTGGGTTGGGTGGTGTGTTGAGGGTGTTTGTGACGGGTGAGGTTGGCGAGGCGGAGGAGGCTGTGATTCGGGAGATTGAGGAGTTTAGGGCCGTTGTTGAGAGGAGGAGAATCGGGCCTAGTGATGTGAAGGATGGGGAGATCAAAAGGAGATACTTTTTGTGCACTGGGCCGGAGATGCTCAAGGTCATGAATGGGTGGTTGAAAGGTGAGGATGTGGCGTTTGAAGACTTTGCTTTTTGAATAGCTGGTGGAGGATATATCCATAATCTACACAATGAAGTCGTCGAGCTGTCTGGCGGAAGGCCCCAATTCGGCTATCGAACCAGGTCATTAAAACTCTGTCCAGAGATTAGACATGGGAATGCTATACAAGTAGAACATTAGAGACAAAACGAGCGATCTTGGTAGAGCCAGCGGACTGTGGAGGGCGAGAACTGTAAGTCTTCGTCTAATTGTCTGTATCTTGCTACCTAGTATACGTGATTCCTGGTGATCGAATGTATACCTACTTCTGTACCCATAGTATACAGCTTGACTGTCTAGAGCATTTCAAAGCCAATGCTCATGCGGTGGTATTATTCAGGGAATGATCCTGATAATTGGTACAAGTATTTACACCATAAAGATGGAGTTCCTAGGTATCATGGTAGACACTCATGAAGACCCAGGTATCCAAGAAAGAAGCTCTTGAATGTCTGCTTGCCATACTATAGGTAGTGTAGGCTCGAACCAATCTGGAAGAGCGGAGTCAAGACAACTACCGGCAGCACAAGGTCCAGTTGAGACATTGAATCTGGGAGAATTTCTCGCTAATTTGATTTGTAAGGGGCATGATCACCCAATCAGAGTTCTGGGACTGGCTGAGCAAGATTGAAGAATTAATTAACTTGAAAGGCGTAAAGGCAACGTCAAGTTGTATCATTGCTGAAAAGGAAAGAACAGCGGAAGTGTAAGCGAGAAACCGCACCTGCTCAAATCGACACCCACATTGTCGTGGACTATCAGGCGTCTGCAGCTGGCTACAGCTGGCACGTCCACTTCCCATCGCCGCGATCCTCAACCACAAGCGACGATGCCACACGATTTTCCCGATTGCCGCCAAACCCCAGAGTTCTGGAACACCATTCTGCCGCCCGATCGGTTTACGCTGAGATCATCGCGTCTCTGTCTGCGATTGAGCGACACCCGCGACAGACACCACGTCGAGCTGTCTCTGAGTATTTGAATTCGAGACGGAGCGAGACGAAGGCTCGAGCTTGATTGTCCCAGTTGAGCCTCAGAGTTGAGAACCAAGAGGCCACCACGATGAGATTCAGCGAGGCGAGGAGTGCTATCGAGATGGTCGTTACCCAACATCAAACTGTCAACTGAGGCACAGCCGACGTCTACACTATGGATACGCTAGGTGCATATGCTGCCCCGCCGTCAGGCTCTCACCGGTGAATTGAACCTGCAGCTTGGCTCATGCTCAGCTCGGCAGTGGGGATTCCCTGAGGGCACGGCGACTCAGATCGAAGACATGGCTGGACCACTGAAAACGATCAGACCCAGCTGCCTGCCAGCCTGCTCGAATGGGGAATCTCGATCGGTAGTGAGAACTTGGGATTGAGGGCATCGTCGGGTCGACCGATGCTCGCAAAACCCCAATGCGTGGAAGATGCCAGAGGATACCTTGTCCGACTCTCGCGTAATATACAAACATTCCGCCATGATCCGGATCCGTTGTGTGCTCGTGCGGAATCACCTTTCGCTCTCGCCATTGTTTCCGTCATACCCCCTGTCTCTCGGCCGATTCCTTCTGCTGGATCGATCAAGGGGCATTCAAAGATCTGGCCTGGACTCGTTGCGCGAAGCGAGACGGGTTGCTCTCAATGGCCAACCAAAGGCTCGCGGCAAGTTCCCGGAATACGGATGTTGGGGGGATAAGTTCGACAGAAAAAATGAGAGATCTCGATGGTGCTACTTGGCCGAGCACAGACTCGGACGGCGCCCTTGTCAACCTACACCCAATTCTTTCAGGGCAGCAACAGATATGGATGCAAAGGACCAAATCCAGTCTACCTCATTGCACCAGCCAGCCGAGCGCGCTTTCGCCCTATAGGCTATAGGTGTCTTCTTCCACGGCCCCTGAGACGCCGTGTGTGTGGTCACTGTGGTGTAAATGAGCACCCGACTCATTGAACTTGGCGGTTCCTAGGCAGATGACGGTGGAATGGAACCACAACCACATCTCGATGCCAATGTTGAGGCCTGCCACCCCAAAGCCCATGTCAGAATTCGATGGCGACCAGGGGATTCTGAACGACGTTTCTCCAGAAAGAAAAAAGCCCGATTCCGATGCTGGTGGCCGGACTGCCACACCACCAAGGTCCACGGCCAACATGGGCAAAACATGCCACAAGTGAGCTAAATGCACATCCAGGCGGGTCGAAATGGGTGCAGGGGCCCATGCCAGTGGAATCGAGATTGTGGGAAACCCGTTGCGGCGATCGCTGTGATCGCTGGCCCAAACGCAAATCTGAGCATCGGATTCTGCTCCGACTCATCACCCCTGGCTCGCACACGCCCATCGGCCATCGCCCTGCGCGCCCATGCAGTTCGTCACCGATTGTCCACACGAAGCGGCACTTGGCCGGAAGCAGCAATGCCATCGATCAAAGATAGCGACCCAAACCTGTCTGAGGGCTTGCGCTGACAACGGCTTAACATTGGGCACGCCTCTTTGGGTCCCAGGTGTATGGTAGATGGCACAGCTGCGCGTGTTGTTCTCTACTGCCGGTTGTTAGGCTCCTGGTACGAACCCCGCCGCACCGCCGCTGCCGTCCAAACATGACGAGGTGACGCTCGTAGCCATCATTCCTCACCCTCCTCACCCCGCGCGAAGACGGCTCTCCGTGTAGCGCATACTCTGTCTGCACAATATTCTGCACCTGGTCAAGCGAGCACCCCCCTGGCAAGCAACGAAGTGGGAGGGAGTTCTGCGAACCGAGGACATGGGCCCGATCTGTTGGCAGTGGTCGTTGGTCCTTCAGCCATCTGTCGTTGATGTAATGGCCCATCTGACGACCAAAATGCTCACCAGGATTGGATGCTTAACGCCTGCTCTATTACGAACAACTCGGAGCAAATACCGTTTATTCTGCTCTCCCAAAGCTCAAAGAAATCCTTGTCGAGTTTACCTCACCAAGCTCACCTGAGCAAGCAAACGCCGAAGACTCCAAAGAGACACCAGACCCTTAACTTTGCGGGAGGCCGTCCCAGGTCTAAACCCACACCCTCCCCACACTACTGCTCCCGATCACTGTGTTCCACGCATCGACTCGCGATCAGTCCTGCAACATCAACGATCGCTCCGCTTGCTGGTGGACAACGGTATCTCCAACCCGCCCCTACCGTTCTGCCACCAAATTTACCCAAAGTGTACTCTGTACGTTTGCCTAATAACGTCGGCTGCACCGCCCGACGCACCTTTCAGCGAACAACCTACCGTTCTTCGATATCTTGGCTTGATGACCTTACATCCTTCCACAACGACTTGTCACTTTTCCCTGACTCTGTCATCCAACGATTTTCACTTGTTATAGCATCCATCTATCAAGCAGCAGCCCTTATAGTCCGCGATCGACTTTTCTTGCCAGCACATCCAGACATACGCATAATGCAAAGCGCCTAACCGCCTTACTCTGTACCATATCACCAACCACCAACCCTGCCTTCTCGCTGCTCGAACCGGCCAAACCCCCCGGTCACACGTCCCGCTCCCTCATAGTGACCCGTCACATCGTCGCTTTATAATAACATTCAGGCTCTGCCAACCTTCACAATGTCGACGCAGGAGTTCCAGTACCCGGCCTCATATCTTCAACCGCAAAAGTCAGAACGCATTCTATCATTTCGGTCACAAAACCAAATGTCGCCAACTATGAATCCGTGGGAGTCCTGCGCGTTGCAGGTACGTTGTTGACTCTAAACCCAGTCTTGATTGTTCTGGTACTGACATCCCTCCTAGTACCAATTCTCCGAGGGGACTGAGCAAGCTGCGCAAGGAAAGCCTGGTGCTTGGCGACAACCGCAAGCCGCTGCCGATCCCGTCATGTACCCTGGACTTTACTGCCCCAGCGGATTCGACATGATGAGCATTCTCGTAGGTGCTTTACGTTGACAGCAATGGTTATCGCAACTAACAAAACGTCAGCTCCGCGTCGCTGGAAGGCCCAACCCCAAGGTTGAACTCGGTGCGATTGACTGCTCTGTCGCTCTGCTCCTCTGTGACCTCGAGCAACCCGATTGCCCGATCGTCTACGCCTCCGAACACTTTAGCATTCTCACCGGGTACAAGAATAGCGAAATTCTTGGCAAGAACTGCCGCTTCCTTCAGGCACCCGGCGGGAAGGTCAGCAAGAAGTCTGCCCGGAAGCACATTCCCAAGGAAACCGTCAAGAGCATGCGCAAGGCTGTCGAGGCCAACGACGAATTCCAGACCGATGTCCTCAACTTCAGGAAAGACGGCACTTCCTTCGTCAACCTCCTCACGATGATCCCTGTTCGCTGGGACTCTCAGCATTTCCGATACTCAGTCGGCTTCCAGGTCGCACGCGAGGACTGATTCCTGCAATATGCAAACACAGACGTCTGGTTCCATTTTTCGTCAGCGGTACCTGTTAAACTTTTGGCCGCGAAGGCAACGAAACGTTTTCTTTACAAAGGCAACAACAATGTCACGACTTCATTACGAGCGAGGCATCTGCTATTAGGCATTTACGATACCCACATTACACGCATGCGAGTTAGAGCCCACGCATCTCGGAAACGATACGACGTTTTTTTTTTTTTTCCATCCTTGATTTCAATACTGGGTGTTTCCGCGGAGTCTTTCTTTAGGGCACGAGCAACGAAGAAAAAGCGAATTACGATTGCATGGAGATCTGGAGTCACTTTTAGGTGCATCAAGACATTTATTACTATCCGCCTCATTGGAGTCGATGGATGGCAGGGGAAAGCCAATTGAGAAAAGAACCAGCTTCAAAGCATTTGGGATGGCGTATTATCAACAGTCGGCACTGGCCTTGACTGCTAGGAGGGCTTCTTGGGAATTTTCTATCATGTCCGCAACATGATATTTTGATCATGATGAAATGTTAAAGCATAGCAGACGGCCCAAGGCCCTCGGCGAATTGAGTAACAGGCGTTGCATTTGGGAACACGAATCGGGCACTTCTTGTTGATGATGATTGTTGCTACCCTGACACCGCATATATGACCACCGCATAGAATCAATGTCTGATAATCAGGGCTGAACGGAGGGCGATTTGAAAAAGCCTGGGAGGAAGCTCGGGAGGTTACTCGATGGAGCCCCTCACCTTCAACCATCATTGTCGTCATCAAAGACCGGTGAGACACCTGCACATGTTGCTGAACCCAAACCCAAGCTAAAGCTAGAAAAGGTCGACAGCTCGTGGCAGGGCAAGCTCAACCCACCAGGTCTAACCAAACCTCTCTCCGAGCATGCAGTGCAACCGCAAACTCGTGTTTTCACCTCCCTCGTTGCTTTTTCCGGGTGAGTTCGAGGCTAATGTACAAAGCAAACGCCTCATCCGCCTAGTCCGAATTCAAACGTAGAAGAGATGCAGACAAGAAAGACGGCAGGTCCAATAGGTGTGCTGTCTTACCTAAGCTTACGGCTAAACCTCCCCCCTCCCTCCTCGACGGTGCACCGGACGTCCACTTGGGGAGATTATCAGTACTATCAGATGAATGTCACGGATTGATACTCGGAAGTTCAGTGAGGTCATATTATATCATTTTATTCTCACGTAGCCCGGTCCTCGTTATTCTTCTCATCCCCAACGGCAACTTCGTTAGAATCCCAAGAAAAGGGCAGCAATTTACCACCCCCCAACATACCACCACGAACGTATACTCCTATACAGGGAAAGTAAGGCCGCACGCAGCCTCTCTCATTTTCAAGGATGCCTCTCCGTGGACCCGTGCCAGTGAAGCTCTACACAAAGGAGAACAGCGAGTGCCTCAAGCTGGGACCCATGACGATTTACATCTTTGAAGACGGGAGTAACACGGATAACCGCGTCGGGTGTATGACGCTGGAGCTGCCGCCTGCGACGTCCGGGCCGCCGATGCATTGGCATCGGTTCCACGACGAGTGCTTCTTTGTGACCAAGGGTGAGTTTTTTCATTCCCCCGCCTCGCATTCCATTGCCGTATTTCTTAAAACCAAATCGCTGTTGGGGGGTTCTCCCATTGATGTATTTGAATCGAACGATTGTTCATGAACGGAGGATTTCTTGCCCCTATTGACATTTGCTCGCGTTGGTGGGATGTAGGTACGATCCGGTTTTCAACGCCCGAGGGCAACGTGGATGCCGAGGAGGGCCAGTTGATGGTCGTGCCGCCGAGGGCGATTCACACGTTTTCGAACCCGTCCGAGACGGATCCTGCGGAGTTCTTCATGACGTCTACTCCAGGTATGTACTTCTAAGTTGACGCCCTTCATGAATGTCATTGTGGGAGGTGGCTGATGTGGAATACTTAGGATATTATATGGATTGTAAGTCCCGGAAAGCCAGAATCGCGGGAAACTCGTGATGGGTGATATGTTGAAGTAGAAAGCTGACGGTTGACGGCAGACTTCCGTATGATGGCCAAGGGCGTAAACGAGGGTAAGAAGTTATCCCGCGACGAGACGCAGCATCTCATGGCGCTGTTTGGAACGTTCCCGCCGGATGTGGAGTCGGAGCCGTGAAGGAGTATGAACGTGAGGGTTCTTAGTAGGGGAAGGCTGTGACATTGACGAGATTTGGGACTTGAATGGGATGTAACTCTGATTAAGATATGAATGTTCACGCCTTCAGCCGGAGGGATCTGCGTCTCCCCGTGTCCTCCACCGTCGTCTTCTCTACTGCCTCTTCCTTCTTAACGGATGTCGTCTTGGCCTTGGCTGATGGGGCCTTGGGCTTCCCCGCTGCAGCCTGTTTTGAGGCTCGTTGCTTCTTGCTTGGTGCCGGTGCTTCGGCGGCGGGCGGCTCGGGAGTTTCTTCCTTCTTCACCTTTGCCTTTGCTGAACCCTTGGCGCCTCTTGCTCTCTTACTGGGCTTCTCCTCCTCGTCGCTCTCGTTCGCTTTCGCCGGCCTCTTCTTCTTGGCGACGGCCTTGGGTTTCTTGCCATCATCCTCGTCCTCCGCCACGGGCTCCTCCTTGGCCGACGGCACAACCTGTCCAGTCTTCTTCTGCCTCCCAGGAGCATAGCAACTCGTCCGCCCTCCCACAGTTATAAAAGCAAGCTTCTCTCCGTTGGGCAGCTCCGATGCGGCATCTTTACTCCCCTTGCCCCAGCGGTAATTGAACAACCAATCGTCTGGAAACGCATCCGAGTCGCCCAGTTTATCGACGGCCGTCTGACACACATACCGCACGGCCTCATACAACCTCTTCATCTCCCCTTCGTCAAAGGTATCGCAGTACTGCTCAGGGTGCAGTCGGGACTGGTATAGCACCTCGTCGGCGACCCAGTTGCCGATGCCGCTGATGTGGCTCTGGTCCAGGAGGAGGGCCTTGACGGGGACGTGGCGGGACTGCATCTTTTGCCGGAGGTAGGTTTCTGTGAAGACGTCGACGTCGACGACGGGGTCGGGTCCGTTTTCTTTGAGGGGCGAGTGGGACCTGATGTCTGCGCCGGGGCAGTCTACGAGCCGGATGCGGCCGAAGCGGCGGGGGTCTGTGAAGGCTGCCGAGACTTTGGGTGTGCCTTCGGTCTCGATGTTGAATTTCCAGTATTTGGGGGGCCAGATATCTGCCTCGCCTTCCTTCATCTTTTTGTAGTAGTTTGTATAAGCCGTCTTGTCGCCTTTGATATGGATCCATCCTAGGTGGTGTCAGTTTTGATACAGGGAGGGTGCTTGGGGCGAGGTTGACTTCATTTACCTGTCATGCCCAGGTGCATCACCGCATGAGGGGCCTTGTCGAATGTGATCCTGAAATGAAATGAGTGTCTGTCAAGACCATCCGTTCGATTGATGGAGCGGACATACCAGAAATACTTTCCTTGACTTCCAACAGAAACGACCTTCCTCCCCTTCACAGCCTTCTCAAACGCTGGACCGCTGGTGCCGACTTTGCCAAAGACATTGGCATCGTCAGGGGCGGAGACCTTGGCGATCTTCTTGCCTACAAGATGAAGGCGCAAGAAGTGCACGCACCGCGCAACTAGGAGAACATGAGCAAACCTGCCTTTCTCACTTAACGGTGTTAGTCTTACCTTCAGCAATTTCAGGCATTTTCACACTTTTTCTCTGAATTCTCTAGTGCCCAGTCTAAGAAGGAGTACGAAGCAGTTGACCGTCCTTGTCTCCCGGCGTTTACAACGACTTGCACTGCACACTGCGTCATGGATCCGCAGACGCGTCGAGCTCTCACCTCCCCTGGGCCGGCCATCCGCGTCGACCGTTCACGACAGCACGTGACTGTGCACGTGAAGAGCCGACAGCTACACCTCGAGTGGGTCGTGGCCGACCGCCAGCTTCGCACCCCACTCGCGGCTCAAAATTTCCAGCACCTTTAAAACTCTTCCCTCGCAGAGCAACCAACCTCACGATCCTTTCTTCCCACACTGCAACACGCAGCAAAATCGGCTGCGTAGCCTCGCATGATCTGGTAAGTTTGCGCTCGCGCTTGTTTCCTACTTTTTACCTTCACAACAACACACCCATCCTTGGTGATGACACGCAAACACCGCAAACTAGAGTCTTTGACCTAAATGGAATGAAACCTCTGTTTTACACGTCAGTCTGATAGGACACGACAATGTCGCATTTGTTTCCTGGATCTTCGCGCTTCGCTTGAGCAAGTCGCTAACCAAACAAATCAGGCTTTTGCAGATTGATTCTATCTGACGCCGGCATCATCGGGCTATGTGGCTGCCTCGAAATGGCTTGACAAAAGGTACGGTACACTTCTTTTTCTTTCTTGCTCACCTTCCCACCCGAGATCCTGATGATTAGTTTTTTTGTGCTTTGCACAGTTGGAATTACCGGCTGAACACTCTTGTTGAAAACAACTGGCTGTTTCTGATTGATCTCACTACCCATCTTTCCATTTATGCCTTCGGTTTTACCAGGCTCAATTGCTAACATGGAAATCAGTCATCTCAGATCTTACCGACAAGGTACATACCAACCACTTCCTCTCCCGCCCTCCCATCATTACATGATGAAGCGGCACTGGGCTCCGAGAGTACCCATATGGGGCTCGGCCATGAGCAGACAAGCCACTTTGCGGCAGGCCTAGAAAACCTCGCCCACTGATTTCGATCGGAACACTCAACTTGTCGGGATACACCTTAGTCTTCAGGTGGCTGACCCGTCTACAACAGTGTCGATATGGATCTTGCTATGCTATACACTTTCGCGATCTGTTCTGCTAGTTCATTGCAGGCGCACCAATTCCTTCTGCTTCCAACCATGGTAGGTCCTACATTTTTCTTTGCTTACCCCTCATGCCTTCCTGATGAGCAACTTAGATGACGAGTCTGATTTGGATTTTCCAATGCGGATACAAACTTTTTATACCATTCATGCAACGACTGAATTGGCTTCATTACACCAAGTTTTGACTGATGAGCATGAACATCGCTGACCGTCTCTAAGATCACAGTTACACACTTTGGCATGGCCTCACCGGATGACCAGTATGCATCATCACATGGCTCAAGTGGTAAGCTTTTTTCCTCTTCTCACCCATACCTCCAGCCACCCACGGCTCCGTTCTCCTGATGAACGATAAACCAAAGACAAGCATATGTCAGAGCCTAACGGCGAAGCTGAGACACGTTGACTACCAGTCATTCTGATCGAACACTTCACATTTGCACTCTTCATTGGAAACAATTGTGGACGTACAGGAGGCTAACATCCAAACTTTAGATCCATGTGGTGTACACACTCCCGTGCCTCTGTCACGTCGGCGCTCTTGCATTAAATGGTATGCTCTTCAATCTCTCGTCTTTATCCCCTCAACCCCTCCCGCGTCTACGTGATGATCATAACATATCACGACGGTCTCCTGAGCCATATGCTTTGATGATACTGCCTTTGACAAGGCCCCTTACTGATTTTTGACGCTTCACACACTGTTTTGTTGTCGAGTCGTGTACGTTTGCAAACGGTGGCTAACTGAAGTCGTCAGATTTTCTATGATTATTTCTTCATCAATGATGCAAGCCAAGGTAGGTCTATGCCGTGCATGTCTATATACGTACTTCAATATAAGATACCAATGACTCTTCACTTTTACTGTACCCTTGCCTCCTGTGATGCGGCTTGCTTGATTGTGTAAATCACACGTAGTAAGGAGCTTTGGGACACACTTGGCCCTTCTGGCTTCATTTGAAACTTGCATTTCCATAACACCGTCCTGCCTTTCTCAAGTCTACCGGGTCCTATCGGGTGCTTCTCCAGCGGACCAAGTCCCTGGACCTTGTCGCACCGGTGTGGGTTGCCACAGCCAGCAAACAATCGGCCATGTACAGATATTGCGTCCACAAACTTTAGTTCCATCGGTTCCTTGACTTCGTCAAGACGCGAAAATACAACATCATCATCGATGTCAAGAATATACGTACGCTGCTCTGTGTTAAGCTATCATTAAGGGGTATCATTAAGTCTTTAACCAACACAAATCAAAAACACATCCAGCACATCTCTGTAGTGCCTCTCCTTTTTTTCGTCCCTCCATGTTTCCTTCACATCCAAAATGCCCAGAAACGCCAACCCAACCCAGATGGTTCTCAAGAACGTCACATGCTCCCTAGTGCCTAATCACATATGCACCTACAATGCTCCAAAGCTCTATGATGACTTTTGATCAACCACTCCCCATCACTCCGAGCAGGAACACGCCAATCGAGAGTGTAACCGAAACCACAAGAGGCATCCCTGGTGCGTGTGTTGCTACACTGCCACTCGTTGGCGTCGACGTCGCCGTGAACAAACCCGTAAGCACGGTCGACGAAGTGGACGCGGCAGGCTGCGTAGAAGTCGGAGCCTCGGTGGCCAGAGGCCAGTCGCTTGAGGCACTGTACAGCACACCATTGATGACCGTCCCTTCGCCGCGCTGGAGCATGCTGACCTGCTCGTCGCTGCATGACGCTTGCATGTAGCGCAGCCAGCAGGTGGCTGCAGGCGAGTCGGGCAGCTTGTCCGTATGCGTGGCGTGGGCATCGCCAGAGGTATTATAGTTCGCCAGGTTCACCTGGTCTCCCGTCGAGATGGAAGTGCCCATGATGACGCGCGCAAAGACCTGGAACGCGGTTTCTGGCTGATAGGCTGGCACCGAGTGGCCGGCCTGGTAGATGCGGCTGAAAGAGAGGTTCCCAAACTGCCTCACGACACCGCCAATGTACGAATCGTTGACAATGATAGGCGCGTAGCCCGCAGCGCTGAAGTTGCGTCCGTATACGGTGCTAGCTTGCCAAGCGAGAGTCGTCGATGCCGCTTCCCCGCCCAACCAATTGCAGATGTAATCACGATCGCCGTAGATCAGAGCGACGCGGATGCCGCGCTGCAAAAGACCGGCCAATTTCGGGATCAAGGGTCCTCGCATGTAGTCACCCGTGCCAGAAAAGGCGGACAAGACAGCCTGGCTCGTCATCGTAAAGTTGACGACGGAGCCGATGGACTGCTGGAAGCCCGCGGTGTTGACATACTCGAGATAGGTGTTGGGCGGAAATGAGTCTGGGTTCTTGCGTGCAATGTCGTACCAGCTGCGGCCGGACTCGGAGTACGGTGTGACAACGTTGTCAGTGCAGGTCTGATACGCCCTGGAACACAGGGTGTTTACTGTGTCCACCCCGCCGGTATTGTTGGCGTCGTAGACGGATTCGGCGGTGCGACATTGTTTGATCAAGTCGAGGCAGCCGCCCGAGGTGTACAAACTGCCGTTGGCCAGGCTTGCGCGGACATCATTCATCGCTTTGAAGCCGTACGTGTTGTTGGTGGCCATGGCGGGGTAGAACTCCGCCTGGACCTGATCATCGATGCAGCCGTTGACAATGCCTAGCGACGTGAGGTGAACTTCGAGCGTGTTGTTGGCAGACAGAGTCCCGTTCTGTCGTCTCTCGTTTTGCTTCTCCCACACATCGGAGAACACAGGCCCGTATTTTCCGCCATAACTTTCGGCAAAGAGGTTGATGCCTAGAGAGCTATTGTTCGGAGGGTTATACTGCGGAAAGGCGCCCAAGAAGCCCTGCAGCATGTGCCATATCGCATAAGCAGCCGTCTCGGTGGTGTTCGCAGTGTTGTTGGAGTTCAACGAGCTAAATGTGCCGTTTGAAAATGTTGCGGGTGACTGGCCATTGGGGACTGGCTGAGGCGGACTAGACTGGTTCGCGTTGAACAGGTCCATGGAGCCATTGGTAGCGATGTCGTACGAGAAGCCAACTTGGTTTGGCTGCGTGGTATTAGTATGTTGTCATCAAGTGCTTGGAGACGCAGCAGATGCCGGAAGCGTACCTGATCGATAAATAGCATGTTGGAAGCGCGGTCCCATCCCCATTCCCGAGCAACAGTGTCATACTGGTCCAGGCCCTTTTCAATGACCTCGCAAGGACCGACCTCAGTGAACAAGCCAAAGAGAGAGCTGACACCCGGGCCGCCGTTAAGCCAGATGGTCATGGCCTCTGTGGGTTCGCGGGCGCCGATGAACCAGAAGAACATGTTGGCCGGGTAAGGCCCGGGAACATTGACCCATCCTGTGTATTGCTGCTGGGTATCGTAGGCAGTCTTGCAGACACCCTTCGGGGTCTTGTAGCGAATGGTGATATTATTATCTACGGGCGAGGTGATTGTGGTGAGATTGACCGAGGTGGAGGGGAATTGAGCATTGGCGAAGGCGGAGAGCAGGCAGGCGACGGCGAGGACGGAGTGGAGGAGGCGCATGGTGAGATGTCCCGCATCGTGTCCTCGGCGCATACTCTCGCTCAGGGCGATGTCGTCGGAAGCAGGAACAATACGCAGGCGCCAATGTTTGTATCAAGTCGAGTAGAGTCGAGTCAGGTCGAGTCGAGAATGATAGCGACAGTGACGCAGCACGAGCGAGTGTGGTGTGGTATGGTGTTCGGAAATGGAATGTGCAAGTGCGACGGAAGTTGAGAGAGGAATGTTGGAGGTTTTGAAGGTTCTAGGTCGTCAGCTCCCCCGTCGGATAGCGGCTTGGCAGACGTGCCCCTGCATTTAGCGCCATTGTTTGGTGTCAACGGGCGCCCACAGGCCTTACGGGGCCCTGAACACCTGCCCCGCCCGCCCGTGGGTTACCTAATTTAACATCACCTCAACCGGGCGTCCAGGGCCTGATGCTCGACATGTACTCCGTAGGGAACCTGCCCGGGCAAGGTAGGGAACCTGGAACACGCGGCCCGCGGGGAGTTTTGCAGGCGGGATCGCCCAGTGGCCGGGGTCTGGGGCTGACAGAATACTTCGTAGCCTGCAGGTCACTGGACCAAGGTTCCTCCTGCACAACAAAGTCCCAACCACTTCCCCTCTTCCACCTCTTCATCTCAATGATCTGTAAGCAGTCAGCAAGGCATCACAAACAAACTACCAGGTGCAGCCTGTACGGTCTCTGGTGATGCCGTGTTACCCACAGTGGTTCAAATCTCGCTGTTGGCCTGTTCATCCCGTTTCATCGTACTAATGTTAAAGAGCTGACAGCGGAACAGCCTGATAGATGACGAACAGATGAACTCTGCTCAAGATGCGAAGGACCAAGTCAGAATGCTGTTTACTCAAATAGGGATGACTCGATGCATGATTGCTAGACATTCTTCCAGCCGAGCAAGCTCTCGAATCATAGAATCATCGCTCATGTGCCTCGAGGTCAGCAACCCGCATAAGCTCATGCAGGCAAGGTACTTTCATCCTTCGGCATTTCGTTGGCTTGTACGGAGTACTCGACTCGATTCGGGAAGCCTTGAGAGAGCCAGTGCTACTCAAATCCTCGACAAATCATAATCTGCTTTCGGCACTTCGCTCAGGAATTATTTTGCTGTCCCTCCATACAATTGAAGAACCAACAGACCTGACTATTCAGTTTTCTACTATTGTTCAATTCACGTCACAAGACCCCAATCAGGCTCTATGTGCTATGGGATATGTCTCCAACAAAAATAATATCGAGTCCCGAGTCACCGGCACTTGAAGACAATGGCTGCGAGGACGACAGGCACATGGAACGGCTTAGGACCAAAGAGGCATAGTTGGTGATTAGCCATCGCCAACGCCTTCCCAAAACTATGCGGCTGAAGGCCATCGGTCAGGGGTAGCTCCCAATGACTTTATTCACAGAGACACAATAGCTTCATTTCTCTCGCAATAGGACATTTACTTTCAAAGTCTACCAACAAGGCAGTTCTTGTTTGGTGTCATACCTCAGTTGTAGTGAGGTATCTTCTCATATTCTCTTATAGTCCAAAAGCTCTATAATACGCTTCTTCTCTCAGCGCAATGTCCGGCTACGACTCCGGTACAACACCCACAGACATCATCACCTACATCGGTGTTCCTCTAGCCGTTCTCGGTGTCCTCCCAATTCTTTACAACACTATTGCGACGCTCGCCGCGCGATCTCGCATCAGGCGCATGCTCCGTCATGCCCGCCTGACAGCCCTCACCCGCTCCGACGTTGTGAATCGCGTCATTGAGGTTGACCTCCCCCGCTACGCCGTCACGCCCTGGGACCGCTTTGATCACCGCGACGAGTACTGGTCTCTCGCCCGCCACCCTTCCTCCATCCCTGGTGGTACTTGGACCACCTTCAACTGGCGGACCAACACCATCGGTCTCAAGACGCAGAGGGTCGAGTACGCAGACCAGCTGCGGCAACCGCAGGTCGATGTAACTTTTGACGAGTTGATCAGCTACCTCCTGGATCTCGGCGCCGTTCCCGATGCTCATGGATGGAGGCTGCTCAGGAGCACCGGGCTATGGACTCCCGTCGGCTGTACCCTGATGCAGAGCCCCGATGGACAACATAAGGCCCTTACCATTGCGCCTCTGAACGACTCAGACGGCCATCTGTCGCTGTCTGTGAACTGGTCCTCGCACTGGACCACGAGAAGCCATGAGTCTCTGCCCCCGTACTGGGTGCGGCTCTTACCACTCCCCACTCCAGAAACCTCAGTCATCGAGCAGGATGACGAGAAGGGCGGCGACGACGTCAACGTAGAGCCAGAACCAAGCGGCGCAAGCATCAAGCAAAAGACGGCATCCCCATCATCCTCCGTCGCCAGCATATCCCGCGCCGCAAAATCTAACGCCCAAACCCCAATAGCCTGCAAAATCTCCTCCCACGGCCTCATAAGCGCCATCCCAGACCACCCAGACTTCCCGCCAACGAGCCTCTACATCGAACACGTCCGCATCCGACCGGACCACACGGCGGGAACGTGGTTCGCCAGCGCCGCCACGGCCTACGGGACCTCGAGCGCCACCATCCTGTGGAACTACCGCATCCCGGACGACATCCTCGCCTTTGCACGGGGTTCCTCTGTCCCCTGCGGCGTGCTCGAGGTCCTGGGCGTCGTCGACGGCTCGCAGACGCCCGAGTGGGCGAGCTCGCACAATGACACGCGGGATAATCTTGACGTTTTGCACCGGCGGATGCGGGATCAGATGAATGCCATCTCGGCTGAGCAGCAGATGAATCCGGTGCGGAGAGAGCAGGCTGTGAGGGAGAGGATGCGTAAGGAATCTGATCAGCACATGGACGATGGTAGGCTTTTCCCCCAATCAACTGGAAACAATCAACTGAACTTGACCTACATAGTCCGCGATAGAATGCGCCTCGACGCCCGCCGCCGCGAAACCCGCGCCCACGAAGCAATCCAATCCCCCAAATGGGATGCCGCCCTGGTGGCAACCCACACTCTCCCCTGGCTCCAGCAGCAAGGCTACCTATCAGCCCCGACTACCAGCGACATCATCACCCCGACCCTCCGCTCTGTCGCCGCGGGTCTCTTACACCGCATGCTCCTCGACGGCGCCTTCGCCTCATCTCTCTCCGCCGTCCTCGACGCGTGGAAGGCCTGGGCCGACAACGGCGGCATGCGCAAGTCGGACCTCGAGGCGCTGCGGGAGGGCCCCAAGGCGCTTGAGATATTTGCGCTCGCAAGCGTCTTGGTTGCTATGATTCGAAATGTCGGGGGCGCGGCGGAGGGGTCAGTGGGTGTTGATTTGCAGGAGTGTTTGAGGATGTGGCGGCAGGTGAGGTTGGGATGAGTGATGGATGATACACTTAGGGAGGGCATCTTATAGACCCGGTCATAAGGGGGAAAGGAAGGATACGAAAAGAAAAGAAGAAAGAAAAACGACACCAAAAAAAGAGTTCACCACCGGTGTGGCTACATCTCTTGGTGCTCATGCTGGGATTCGAACTCGGATACTCTTCGCTAAGCCTGTCGTCGAGTAGGCTGGTTGGCGTTATGAATTGATTGTTGGACCATAAACCACTCCACCACCCAGCCAGTTTGCCCTGACCCGTCGACCTAGACGGGCGCCGTCTGGCTGGTGACGGGAATGGAGTTGAGGGGGTGTATATGGGCTTTCGGCTGCAGTATATTCTTGTTGATGGGATGAATATGCGGATACACGTGATCGTGGTCCTTCACCGAGGGGTGCTGGTGATTGTATGGTACTAGTTTGAACTGTCACCTGGGTGATGGCCTCTTTCCTCTGTGAGTTACTGTATCCTACAGGCCCCTTAGACTAGGCGCAGATCGCCAGGTTACCTTGGTCGACGGAGGCATAATCAAGCCCTTTCGATATCCCTTGACCTCCGGTGTCAGGCAAGGTGATTATGTAAGAGGGCTTATGGAAGAGCAGTTCAGAGGATTGAGCAAAACGTCAAGCAGACTCAATTCTACCACAACTGGCGGAGCAATAATCGTGCTCTCGAATACTAACCATTGCATGCCTGCCCAGCCTACTTGCCAAACCCAGCCATTGTGTCCATTCTTCTTGCCCGTGTCCCAGAGGCTCGTAAGCCAACCGACGCAAACTCCAACGCTTAAAAACATAAATACCAATAATACCCCACCTCCTCCAATTACAATCGAGTAGTAAGTACCTCAGAGGCACATTGAAACCGAGCTCCTACAGCTCGTCATCCTGATCCGAATCAAACACAATAATTTCGTCGTCGTCACCGCCGTCATCACGCAGCAGACTCTCGGGCAGCATCTGGCTCTTGGACAGCAGCTGCGAGGAATCCATCTGGAACGTGCCCAGCGGCAGGTGAACGGGACTGTCGTCCTCATCCTCGTCGTCCATAAAGATGGGCAGGCTCGAATTGTTGTTCGAGCGCGTCGGCCGCCGCGGTGCAGCCCTAGACTTAACGGGCGACTGGGAGGGGCTCGACGTCTGGCTGACCGTCGTCGCCTGTGAGGGCCGCACCGCGCGCCGCGGCGTCGGGTTGGGCGGACGGCTAAGAGGTGTCGGGGGCAGAGCCGGCTTGGTAAAGTGGGGGAGCTCCGTACCGAACTTTCGGCCGCCGCGATTCTTGGTCGGGGTCTGGCTTGAGGGTACGAGCAGGTCGGCGTCGGAGGAGTGGTGCTGGGTGGAGTGCTCGATATCGCTTCTGAACTGCTCAAGGAGCTCTTGGGAGACCGTCTGCTCTTCCGACGGCCCTTTGGCTGCCGGCAGAGACTCCTTCCTGCCGGTCTCGGGTTCCGGTACGTCTTCCTCATCCTCTTCTTCATCGTTACCGATAACGCAACAGCGCAGGTTGGCCATCAACTGTCCGACGACGGCGGGCGGCACGTAGTTATACTTTTGCGGTGGTCCGTGAAGCCAATCCAGACCCATCATCTCCTGTAAAGGCATCGGATCGTTCAGCTGAAAGACCTTCTTTAAGTGGTACGCAAACTTGGATGTCTTATGCTGATTGAAATCCGCGTTGCCGATCCCATCCTCGTCAATCTCGCCAGGCGATCTAGCCTCGCTGATGCATGCCATGTACCGAAGTTCAGCAACAGGCTTCGTAATGTAAAGCCACATGCGGGTGACAGTGTGTGGGATTCTGTAGTTGCGAAACTCATGATTTTTCTCGCCAGCCACGATAGCGTCCATATGTTCGGGATGTATGGAAATAAATATATCGGTCCGATCACCCTGACGTCCCATGCCGTGAATGACACTGTAGGGCAGCCGCTGGCTCTCCAGTCCTTGGGTGTGAGGCGTCTTTGGTGTTTCTACAGGCGCCTTTCCCTTAGCCTTGGGAGTTTTCTGGCTCTGTATGGGTGTCGTCTGAGAGACGGACTCTTCGTTGGTCTCCCTACTCGCTGTCTGAAGAACGCTTGAGCCACTGGTGTGTGTAGGCTCTGGGGACGACGTGATGACCTCCACAGTCTCTCTGCGTGAATCCTCGCGTGCCAACTTGGCAAAAACAAATGGCTTTGATAAAACCACTGTCGCATCCTCTTCCTCTTCATCATCATCATCATCATCATCATCGTCCTCTCTGGCGGCAGGGGCGACATTCTCCTTATCAGAGTCGCCTTCCTCCGCAGGAGACGCTTCTTCGGAGGTCACATTCTCCTCTGAAGAGATGAGAATCTGGTCCATCTGAAATTGAGTGTCTTCGCCAACGGCCTCGTACCTCTCAGCTTCCTCGTCCAGGATTTCAAGACTATCGAATTCATCCTCGGAATCTGCAATTTCGACCAGAGGCGACCTCTGTGGTCTGCGAGGTGATGGGCTGACCTCACGTTCTCGCTCCTCTTCCTCGTCTTCTTCCATGGGAGCTAGACTGGCCGTAGGATGAGGCGTGATGAAACGGACATTCTTGGTGGGCTGCAATGGCATTTTGGTGGGCGATACAATTTGACTCGAGCTCTGGCTGCCAGTCGTCGCATAAGAATCCTGGACTGTGAGAGTTCGCGGGCGTTTGACGGATGTGTTAAGTTTCGGGATCGGTGACATTGTGTTTGTAGACTTGTCTTTCAAGGGAGACCTTTTGGGTGCCGGGCTGTACCTAGCCAGCATCGGGGTGAGAGGGCTACCTACAGACGATGGAATCTCGAAAATAACGCGTTTATTTGTTGGCGTCTGGGGAACGACGGAAGGTGTCCTGCTCGGCGGTTTGCTCGACTGCTTCTGGCCAGGCACTTGATTTTCCTTGTCGTTGGCGGAAGGAAGCACCGGCGGGTTCTTTTCCGCCTCGTCGTCCGAAGGCTGGAACTGCCATACGTCCTCGTCCTCCTCTTCTCCAGGTGATTTCTCGGATGATCTTCGCGACATCTGCGTCAACGTTTGGGTGTGAAAGGACGAGCTGGGCGTCGGTTCGTCTCCCATGGTCTTTCTCCTCCTCTTCCTAGGCTTAGGTTCTTCTTCGTCGTCGGACAGATCAAGGCGCACCGGCGATGAGCGCGTGGTCTCAAACATCTGGGTCAAGGTTTTTTGCTGGTGGTTGGCAATACGAGCGGTTGGTTTACGACTGCTATACGTTCGAACTTCGGTTCGTCGATGCGGGAACTTGGCCTGCTTGGCCGGCTTGCTAGACTTATAGACTCGATCGGGAGATGGGTCGGCGGGAACCCGGCCACTGGAGCGGGTTTGTGGTGGCATGTTGGATAATGGTGCAAACCGTCACCGCAAGGCGTGAGCTTGATCGCTTCCAGAGCGCGCAGATCGTTGATATGTGCAATTGTGTGAAACGTTGACAGGCAAGGTGTCAGCGCATTTGCTCGGAGAGTAGGCCTTGTTCAGTTCGAAGGGCGCGTCGCGTACTCGAGTGTGGGATTGATTTACGCGTGTAGTAGCGTGTGGGACGTGGTGACATCACATGCAACTAACGCGGCGGCGGGGAAATGCAATGGATGGTGCTTCCCTTTAAGTGAATAGTGTTATCTCAGGCCCTCTTTCCTATTGGTCTTTCACCCAAACCACTCAACCTACCCTCCCGATGTGCAATACACGAAGACATCCTACGAAGGTCAAGGCCTGTATGGTTCACAATCAAGCAAGCATTTCGATTATTTGAAAGGGGTTTATTACGCTACAGGTAATTCTGGTGTAGCAAGCCTCCTGCGCCCCTTGGATTCTCCTTCCATCGAAATTGGTTCTTGACGTTGATAATGTCAGCCTTGCGCTGGGTTGGACCCGCGACAGCAGCCTTGAGGTCTGATCAGAGTCAAGCTTGTAATTGTACCGCTGCATGGCGGCAGTGACAACCATCTTGATTTCTCGGAAGCCCACACATTGGCCGTTTCGATACTCTTAGGCAGTCTTTGAACCGAAGTAGTGGTGAAAGTCGAGGTGAAAGTAGTGGTGAGAGTAGTTGTTGAAATATGGAGTAGACAGTAGAATTGAAAGGCAGTATGGGCCGTGCAAACTGCGCTTCCACCTACTTCCACTTCGGAGGAATCGATGGGCTTCGCCAATTTGTTCTTTGGAGGCGTCCTTGGTGAGTACGACCTGGCGTAATAATGGTTCCTTCCCGCGGATTTTCAAGGGATGTCGAGAGCGCACTGGTCCCAACAGAAGTGCTGGGCTCTTCCTGCCGCAAAACCCTACAGCGTTGCGGTTTTTGGCCCATCTGATGTTGTTCCTGAGCCTGTGAGAGATGGCAGAGCATGCTTTGGGCCGGTAGGTCCTGTGTTATTTAGCGGATATGAATCTATTTCGTAGGGCCAATGTCATGTTGCAAAGTTCACGATCCCATGGGCATGACATCGACCCTTTGCTAGTCCTTGAGGACTCATCTCAGTAGTCTTCTCCGGAGTGGAGAAAGTATGGCGCCCGGTGGCTGTACGAGAAGCAGACCAAAGTCGTGTATGTGTGGGTTTGATGGCCGCTAAAAGAGCAGATTGTCCATCTAGAGCCTATTTCTGGTGATGTGTTGAAGAAGACGTCTCAACCTAGATTTGGGCTTCGTTGAAGCATCGTCTGAGGCGAGCAAGGCTGAAGAGGTTGAAGTGGCGCAGTTCTGGTGCTTGTAGTATCCCTCAATGAAGGCATAGATGTAGTCCTCGAGGGCAACATTGCAGAATGCAAGGTCGAGAGCATGGGCTTGGTAGAATTGCAACTTGGCCTCGTATCTTAGCTCCTCCAGCTTATGCGCAGACAAGAGCTGGAAAGTAGAAATGGTAAATACAGACATCTTGGCTGTAGTGTGGAGTGAAGCTTGAGGAGAGTAGTAGTTGATATGAAGAGCGTGATGTCTATGAGTATTCAAGTGAGAGGTGAAGAGCTGAGATGTTGAGTCTGAGATGAGTGACGAGGATGTAAAAATCAGAAACCAATAACGACTTTTCAGCAGACCAGCTGCCTTTATATGTTGCAGAAAAGGAATCACAATTAGTGTCAAGTACAACACGGTGTTGGCCTTAGATGTTGAGTTGATGGTTTGGGTGGCACTTAGCGAGGCTTCTCCGATACATACCACGGAACGAGCAAGATGCCCTCGCGGTTCAAGGTAACAAGCCATCAAAACTTCTGAAATTGACGTCCTTTATTTGCTCACTCATAGACAGTACCATGGCTCACTCTGTATTTACCTTGTTGAGTTGTATTCGAGATTGGCTATCCGGCACCTGGCGATGCTTCACTGTAATTCTGGAACACGCTTGATGCCTCTGGGGGCCCTAGCCACCAGTCTACAGCCAACCTCCACCTTACACATTAGGTAGAAGAGGGGAATACAGTCAGTACTGAGTCCACTCTGGTTGACCTTGATGGATAGTCAGTCTTAAGCCCGACATTGGATACCGTTGGGTCGAGGCTACTGATATGTATCTGGCGAGGCTTCTCCGGAACCATGGGACACATTGAGAACCCCGTACAATATCGGGAGGCGTTCTAGTCGTTGGCGCAGAGCCAGCAGGACGCTGTTCACCAGCATTTCAGTGCAGCCACGCAAGGTTCAAGGAAATAGTGGAACGCAGAATGGTTGTACAACAAAGAAGATTCTAGAGTCAGCTATATACACGTCAGAATCTTCTGATCTATTTCTTCGGCTCCTCCTTCTTCTCCTCTGGCTTCGGCGTAGGCAGCTTGAAGGTGTCGGGGCGTCTGTCCGTGCCAGGTCCAACTCCCTCCCAGGCACTTGAGCCACCCTCGAAGTTGCGGAAAGCCTGGGTAAGCTCAAGGGGCTCGGTGACGATGCGCTTCTTCTCCTCGTCGTATCTGACCTCGGTGTAGCCAGTGAGGGGGAAGTCCTTGCGCAGGGGGTGGCCCTCGAAACCGTAATCGGTCATAATTCTGCGCAGATCGGGGTGGTCGGCGAAGAAGACGCCGAACAGGTCGTAGACCTCACGCTCGTACCAGTTGGCTCCATCGAAGAGAGAAGTAACACTGGGGACGGGGGAAGCCTCGTCGGCATAGGTCTTGACGCGGATACGCGAGTTGTGGCGGACACTGAGAAGGTTGTAGATGACCTCGAATCGCTGGTCTCTGGTCGGGTAGTCGACGGCAGTGATGTCGCTGATCTGAGTGTACTCGGCCGAAGTGTTGTCTATGAGTTGTTAGATGAGAGCGAAACTACTTGGTAGATCAATTGACACTTACACTTGAGGAAGGAGAAGACGGGGATGATTCCCGAGGGAGAGACGTAGATGGTGAGCTCGTCCTTCCAGACAGAGATCTGCTGGACGTACTTGGGCAAGCAGCCCATGATCCAGGAGCCGTATTTGTGCAGGTTATCGGCCTTGGAGCCGTACTTGTCGGCAGGGTTGATGAGGGGAGCCTTGATGGTGCCAATGTGCTCACGAGGAGACTTCCTCATGTTTTCGGCATCCTTGGGAAAGCCGGTCGGGAAGCCGGCCAATTGAGGGATTGAGGTTGAGAAGGATCGGATCTCGCTGGGGCGGCAGTTGCGCAAGCCCGCCAGAGCTCTACCACGATAGAGCTTTGTCGCCATTGTTGCGGTTGTTGCAGTGCTGGGGGGCTTGTTGCCTCTGGGGAAGTTGGTTGATGATGCTGTGCAATCGCGATGCCTGGGGATTGAAAGAAGCTAACCGGCGTAGGTCCACCCCCAGGGTGGTACTTGCGACAGTGAAGCGTACCTGAAGGTACCGGGAAACCGGCTGGACGTGTCGCTCACAACCTCTGTGTCTTGACGGTCTAAATCCTTGCGGCAAATTCTAAAAGACTCAAACTTTTAATGAAGATCCAATTGCCAATATTGAGCACCTTTCTGACATTCACAAATTCCTTTCAAAATCAGAGCAACCGCACTTGCCGTTACTCGAGAGCGTTCTTCCCTTCACATTTGCCAGAGCGACCGGGAGGGGTGGACCTAAATTGTGCTGACTTGCAATATTCTCGGCCCCTTGATTGGCTTGTCATTGGCCTTCAGCACGTGACGGCGGCCTGTGGGGCCATCTTACCTAAGGCACCACGCTCTAGTGCAGCAGACGACCCATCCGAGAAAGGCTTTGGCTTCACCTCTGGTATTGAACAACTTCCCTCTCCTAACCACCTCCACTCACAAATCGACACCCAACCTTGCCGCACCCCACGAAATATACCTACCGCCACAGATCGTCGCCATGGCACCCCAAGACACATTCATCGACGAGGAGGATGATACATGGTATGTGACCCTACTTCTGACTTCTGGCCTCGCGCGCATCTTGCATGCAGCACCTGCATGAGGCCTCGAGGCATTGGGCATCGTGAACTAACCCTCTCCACCACAGCCCGTTATGTATCGAGGAGTTCGACCTCTCAGATCGGAACTTCAGACCTTGCCCTTGCGGCTATCAGGTATGGTGACGGCAACACCCATGTTCCAGCGTTCCTGCCGCTGGAGAAGAACATCGACCTCTAACCGTTTCATAGGTGTGCCAGTTCTGCTTCAACAACATCAAGAACAATATGAACGGCCTGTGTCCTGCATGCCGAAGACCTTACGACGAGAAGACAATCCAGTGGAAGGTCGTCACTACAGAAGAGTGTGTACCCCTCCTTCCACTTAGGTCGACGCCACGCTGACAAACACTAGGGTCGCCGAGTTTCGAGCAAACATCCAGAAGAACCAGAAGAAGCGAGCTGTGGAACAGAAGCAGAAGGAGGTTCAAAAGCGCGAGGTCGAGAAGGAAAACCGCAAGAACCTCATCGGCGTCCGGGTCGTTCAGAAGAACCTGGTTTACGTGACCGGTCTGACACCTACAGTGCGAGAGGACGAATTACTCAAGACGCTTCGCAAGCCCGAATTCTTCGGTCAATACGGCAACATCCTGAAAATCTCGATTAGCAGTCGGAAGAGCCAGGACGGCCAACACCAGTCTCTCGGAATTTATGTGACTTTCGAGAAGAAGGAAGACGCCCAACGTTGCATCCAGGCTGTCAACGGTTCTCAAAATGGCGATCGCGTTCTCAGAGCCCAGCTCGGTACTACGAAGTACTGCTCGGCCTGGCTCCGGCACGAACAGTGCACCAACAGGCAGTGCATGTTCTTGCATGAGCTGGGTGACGAGGAGGACAGCTACACTAGACAAGATCTGTCCTCGATGAACAGCATCAGCTCTCAGCGGCCCCTCCCGGGAGGTGGTTCCTCCAGCAGCGGCGGCGGACCGTCTCGCACTGCTTCTCGACAACAGAATACCGCACCGCCTGCGGCTCCCGCCTCTCAACCTATGGCGCGTTCCTCAAGCAAGGACGGCTCCGAGAATGGCGGCGACGGACCAGCTCTGCCTGCCTCTGCCAACTGGGCAAGAAATCCTCAGCGTAGTCGCCGGGGAAGCCACGCCACTAGTGGCGCCGCTTCAAGCCCTGCAATCTCGACAGCTCTCCCCGTTACCACCGAGGCAGTACCCGAGGCCATCGACGAGACCCCCTCCAGAAAGGAAACTCCCGCACCCCCGACCGAGACCAAGGCCTCGAAGGCGCCCGCTCCCACCCCCGCTCCCGCCGACACCCGAAAGTCCAACAGCCTTCCGGAGAATCTACTTCGACAGCTGCTCAAAGCTATGCAGGGCTGCCCTTTCTCCTACCATGCGCCGGACACGAACCAGATCGAGACGATTTACCCTCCCATGTTCGACACCCGCGGAGGCGAGAAGAGAAGAGCCATGCGCGAAGAAGAGGAGTCGCGCCTTGGCGTGGATCAGGAGCAACAAAGCGAACCTCAAGAGGCCTCGGAAGGCGAGCCGGAGACTGGAGGTAGTCTGGCGCTAGGTGGCGAGCCCGAAGACCGAGACGTTGCTCGCGACGTCGTCTTTGAGCAACGTAGACCTGGCACCCAGCCTCCCATCCAGCGCAACAACGCCGACGGCCCCTTCGGTCCCGCGCTTGGCTCTGGATTCGGTCAAGCTTCTGTGTCTGCTAGTTCCGTCGGTGGCAGCCGATCGATGACACCTCAACAACAGCTCTTCGTTCGATCCCAGAGCGGTTTCGGCGATCATCTGCCTCCGGGCATTCCAACTGCGCAGCCTTCTGCGGTTCAGCAACAAGGTGGCGGCCACAACAGACAAGGATCTAGGTTCAGCTTCGCTAATGACACCGCCGGCACTTCAGCTTCAGTCAAGGTTGCCGCCAACCCCAGAATCATGGCTCAGCAGACGGCCATGATGCCTTCCGCTTTCCACTCGCAGCCCGGCAGCCAGTATTATGCATCCTCCATGCCCGGACCTCCTCCAGGTCTCAAGTCGACAGGAACTCCGCCAAACATGTTTGGACAGGGCCAGTTCGGTGGCGCCTTCAGTGCGACTTCCAAGGATTCCGCCGAGCTTCTCCAGACGTTGATTCGGGGTCGGGGAACCAATGGACAGGGTCATGATGCTGGTAAGCGTGAGTACATGTTATCTTCTTTCTCTAATCAGTACCCATCCTCTACCTCCTCCACCCCAGCTCCTGCTTCGGGCCTCCTGGCGTCGCTCTACGGTAACCAGCCTGGAGCATTCCAAGACTTCGGTCCCAAGCAGAAGAAGAAGGGGAAGAAGCACAGACATGCTAACACTTCCTCCTCTGGAGGAGGTGGTCTAGTTGATCTTGCGGACCCGAGTATCCTGCAAGCGAGAATGCAGCACCAGTCGCAGAGCAACGCCGGAGTCGGACAGGGACTGTTCGGTGGACAGAGCCAAGGTGGGTACAACCCGAACATGATGTACAATACGCGTTTCCCAGGCGCAGGCTGGTAGCCTCGAGAGACAACGCGATAGATGAGGTGTTGGTGTTGGTCGTTTACGGGTTTTATTTTACACTTCATGTATCATGAGTGGGAGGGCGTCGCGGCATATCACAGGCGGACGACCGTCCTTCAAAGGGACCGAG